GGCTACAGTGGGCAGGGAACAGTATAAAACAGGGGGGACAGAGCTGGGCACGGTGGCTCACTCTTATAATCCCAGCACTTTGGGAGGTCAAGGCAGGCAGATCGCTTGAGACCAGGAGTTTATGACCAGCCTGGGCAACAGAGGGAGACCCCATCTCTACAAAAAATACAAAAATTAGCCGGCTGTGGTGCCACACTCCTGTAGTCCCAGGTACTCTGGAGGGCTGGGGTGGGAGGATCATTTGAGCCCAGGCAGGTTGAGGCTGCAGTGAACCGTGATCATGCCAACAAAGAATAGATAGGGTTGGCTGCAATGAGAAGGTGACATTGAGGCTGGGTGTGATGGCTCACTTTGGGAGGCCGAGGCAGGCGGATCACCCGAGGTCAGGAATTTGAGACCAGCCTACCCAATACGGGAAACCACATCTCTACTAAAAAATTAGCTGGGCATGTTGTCGGGCACCTGCCGTCCCAGCTACTTGGGAGGCTGAGACAGGAGAATCACTTGAACCCAGAGGCAGAAGTTGTAGTAAGCCAAGATTGCATCACTGCACTCCAGCCTGGCGACAGAGAGACTCCGTCTCAAAAAAAAAAAAAAAGAAAGAAAGAAGAAGGTGACATTGAGCAAAGGCTTGAAGGAGGTGAGGGAGAGAAGCACACAGATCTGTGGACTCCAGGGAGGGGGCACAGCGAGCGCAGGGTGCGGCCCAGGGCATTCTTACCGACCGCTTCTGCAGTGTGTGCTGTGCTCTTGGCCTTGCTGTTAATCCCTGCTGGCTTGGTCTGTGTCTGTCTGTGTACGATTTGTCTCCAAGGCCAGGGACCATGTCCTTCCACTTGAACCCATCCACCTACAGAGTGGCCCAAGTAAAACTAGATCTCTATGGATGGTGGGTCCAGACTAAGGCAGGATTTCTGGTCAACCAGAGCCCAGGAGCTGGGACAGGCCCTCCACATCTCTTCCCAGAGGTTCCCAGATGTTGGTGGTCTTGTGCCTTCCCAGGAAGTTTCTCTAGTTCTTGGTAAAGTGAAGGGAATGTAGGGTCAGTGTGGTGAATTGGACCTAGGCTAAATGGATTCCATTTAAACATTCAGACATTATGAACTTCCTACTTTTATGAAACATTCTTTTCTGAACTCATGGCAACAGTCAATGGTCATTGTTTAAAAAATCTTTACTTGGCAAAATAAAAACTTGGCACTCCAATATTAGTGTGCCCCTACCACCCCCCTTTAAAAATGTTTCTTGTCTGCATGACCCCCCAAATCTGGGAATCACTGATCTAATATGTCCCTCCACTGGGCAGATCTGGGATCTGGGACCCTGGGAGGTGCCTGGTTTGCTCAGGCACAGACAAATGTTAGTTGTCCTCCTTTTGGGCAGAGGATGGGGTCAGGGAGCAGTGCCGAAGAGCTGTGAGAGGGAGCCAAGAGGAAAGGAAGTCCTTGACAGAGCCAGCTAAGAGGAGGGTGGCCTCCCAGGCTGCCAAGAAAGGATCCCGCATCAGCTAAGTGGAGGCAGGGCCGTGCCTGGTGCATGGCAATGAGGCCTGGAGTGAGGCTGTGGCCAAGTCAGTGAGACCCCATAGGCCCTGGGACTGCCCTCTGCCCAGGTGCAGGAGGCCACAGGTCCTGGAGTCAGATAGACCCAGGTTTGAAATCAACCTTCCTCAGCTGTCTGTGAACATTCTTTTTTTTTTTTTTTTTGAGATGGAGTCTGTGGCCCAGGCTGGAGTGCAGTGGCGCAATCTTGGCTCGCTGCAACCTCCACTGCCCAGGTTCAAGTTATTCTCCTGCCTCAGCCTCCCAGATAGCTGTGTGAGCACCACCACACTTGGCTAATTTTTGTTTTTAGTAGAGACGGAGTTTCACCATGCTGGCCAGGCTGGTCTTAAACTCCTGGCCTCAAGTGATCCGCCCACTTTGGCCCCCCAAAGTGCTGGGATTACTGGCATGAGCCACCGCGCCCGGCCTGTCTATGAACTTTAGATGTGGTATTTAACCTCTCTAGTTCTCATGTTTTAACTTATGAAACAGGAATAATAGTGGCTGTGAGGATTTAGTGAGATAGCACAGTGTCTGCCACAGCCAATGTTTTACCAAAAGCTAGAGGACAGCCAGGCCCTCTCCCAATCCAGTGAGGGAAGCCCCGTTGCCAGATAGGTTTCTCCTATGGTCAAGGGTTGCTGAGTTAACATGGAGAAATTTGAGCCACAGAAGAGACCGTATTATGAGCCTCATACTCATAATCTTATCTGTTGCTCATTGAGAGCTGACCCATGAGCCCAGTGCCCAAGGAGTGGGTACTATTGGGCTTATTTCACAATTAGTAAGAAGGGAGACAGATCCAAACCCAGACTGCTTTATGGTCACTTAGTTTTTGTCATCCTCTATTCTATTTGAAGCCTCTTAGGGGTTTACAACAATAGACTAGGAAGGTAGTGAGTTCTCTGTCCTAAGAGATATGTAAGAACAGGGTTGGTCATCATGTAGCAGGTGTGATCAACGTGGGTGACACTGCACATCATTTTAAACACCAGCTTTCTATAATTTCAGGATAAGGACCTTACCATATTCACCATGGTCTCCCCTGCTCCCTCGAGGCCTAACACAGTGCGGTGTGCACTATGTCCCCCAGAAATGTTGAAAGACTGAATGAATGGAGGAGCAATGTCCAGGTCCTGTCAGCTCAGCGATAAAGAATGGAAGGTCCACTGGCCAGGTGCGGTGGCTCACACCTGTAATCTCAGCACTTTGGGAGGTCGAGGCGGGCAGATCACATGAGGCCAGGAGTTTGAGACCAGCCTGGCCAACATGGTGAAACCCCATCTCTATAAAAAAAATACAAAAATTAGACAGGGTGTGGTGGCTTACGCCTGTAATCCCAGCACTTTGGGAGGCAGGCAGGTCACCTGAGGTCAGGAGTTCGAGACCAGCCTGCCCAATATAGTGAAACCCCATCTCTACTAAAAATACAAAAATTAGCCAGGCATGGTGGTGGGCACCTGTAATCTTAGCTACTTGGGAGGCTGAGGCAAGAGAATTGCTTGAAACTGGGAGGTGGAAGTTGCAGTGAGCGGAGATCACACCACTGCACTTCAGCAGGGACAAGAGCAAAACTGTCTAAAAAAAAAAAAAAGATAAAAATACAAAAATTAGCCAGGCATGGTGGTGCACACCTGTAATCCCAGCTACTCAGGAGGCTGAGGCACAACCTTTGAACCTGGGAGGCAGAGGTTGCAGTGAGCTGAGATCATGCCTCTGCACTCCAGCCTGGGCCACAAGAGCGAGAGACTCCATGAAGGGGGGTTATTTGCAGAGTTCAGGTGGTAGGAGGGGAACGTGCCCTCTGCTTCCTCATCTGAATACAGGTTTCAGGGCCACTGGATGGTTAGCCACAAGGTACATAAGGTACCTGGCACTGTGCCTGGCAGGTGCTCTCTCACCTGTTGCTTTTGGCTTTAAGGTCAGAGGCCAGGCCAGATGAACACCTGCAGCTGCCCACCTTTAAATGTAGGGGCTAAGGATGCAGGCTCTAAATGAGATGGAGCCAAGCTGAGACTTATGAGCCTCAGCTTCATCACCTGCATAGTAGGTATAATAATAGTAGCTACCGGCCAGGTGCAGTGGCTCACATCTGTAATCCCAGCACTTTGGGAGGTGAGCAGATCACCTGAATCTGGGAGTTTGAGACCAGCCTGGGCCACATAGTAAAACTTTGTCTCTACAAAATAAATAAATAAATAAATAAGCCAGGCGTGCTGGCGTGCATCTGTAGTCCCAGCTACTCAGGAGGTTGAGGTGGAAGGATCACTTGCTGGGGAGGTAGAGGCTGCAGTCAGCTGAGATGGCATCACTGTACTCTCGCCTGGGTGACAGAACAAGACCCTGTTTCAAAATAATAATAATGGCTCCCTCTTGGGACTCCTAGGAGATGTGAAGAGATTATGTAGGTAAGGGCTTCACCCTGGAGGCCGCTGTTCATGTCCAGTCCTCCCTACCCTGTCCATCTGGTTCTGAAAGGACTCATTTGAGTCTCTCCAAGCATCTGAAGAAAAGGCAGGCCAGGGAGTAAAACCCCCATTTTATAGGTAAGAAAACAGGTGAGAGGGTAAGTGTATAGTCATTTTCCAGCTAGAGCAGAGACAACAAATCCACACTCTCACTGGTTTTTTTTTTTCTTTTTCTTTCTTTCTTTTTTTTTTTTTTTTTTGAGATGTAGTGTCCTTCTGTCACCCAGGCTGGAGTATAGTGGCACAATCTCAGCTCACTGCAACCTCCACCTCCTGGGTTTAAGCTATTCTCCTGCCTCAGCCTCCGGAGTAGCTGGGATTACAGGCGCACCCCCACCACCACCACCAAGACCAGCTAATTTTTGTATTTTTGTAGAGATGAGGTTTCACCATGTTAGCCAAGCCAGTCTCGAACTCCTGACCTCAGGTGATCCACCCACCTCAGCCTCCCAAAACGCTGGGGTTACAGGCATGAACCACTGCGCCTGACCTCACTGCATTTCTATGCAAACTCAAAAAGCAAATGATTCTCATTTGGTAGATAAGGCAACCGAAGTGCAGGGAGGAATGAATGAGCTCAGGATCACATTCCTAACAAGCTAATGATGGAACCAGGGGCTTTGGAGCTCACAACTTCACGGATCTGAAGCTGGCATGTCTTTGGAGCTCACGACTTCATGGATCTGAAGCTGGCGTGTCCTTGGAGGAGGGGCATGGGTCCCAGCACTGGAAATGTGGCTGCTGGCTGGAGGGCTTATTCACCCAGAACAAACCCTCTGGGGCTTCCCCAAGCCGCTGGATAAGCTTCCTACCCACGGTGCGGACAGTGCACCTCTGCCTCCAAGGGCAACAGGAAGTGAACATGAGACAAATGGGCCTGGTGGCACCTGGCTACCCGACAGGAGGAAAGGCACCTGGAACTGGGGCCCACGTGTGGGTGACTTCTGTCCCCAACCCCTTGCTCAGCACTGTCCTCTCACCTCCGTAGGAGTTTCTCTGTGACCAGAAGTACAGTGATGAAGAGAACCTTCCAGAAAAGCTCACAGCCTTCAAAGGTAAGCTGGGGCTGCCTGCCCTGCATTTATTCCTGGAGAGGTGGGCTGGCCCCTCACCCTTGCACACAGGACCCCCTAGTCTCACAGGGCTAGGCTGTGGCCCTGTTTCATCCAGAATGCCCTTCTTACTGGCAGGCTTGGAGATAGGGACCCCCTGAGAGGTGGGAACAGGCCCCTCCACCTGCCTCCCTGCCCCGGTGAGCCCCGTCACCCCTCGCCTGCAGTGCTGGCCAGGCCCTGCCCCTCTCTCTCCCCTCACTGCCCGCAGGGCTCAGGCTGGCGCCTGTCCGCCCGCTGCCCAGGCCCCATCACTCCCGGGCCCCGCACACAATCAGCTCTTTGTGAGCAGGCCTTGCCTCTCCCCCTCCCCAGCAGAGTGTCTCAGGAGCCCCTGCGGAGAATGGACGTTTGTGTCGCCGCAGTGGGCAGGGGGGCAGAGTTTCTGCCCATTGAAACCCGGCAGCACGGGATGAAAAGAAAACAGGGCCTGGGAGCCAGCTCGGGGAGAGGGGCTGCATAAAGGTCTCTCTGTTTGGGGCCCTGGCGCTTGGTTCCCAGCCAGCACCTCGAAAGGAGAGGAACCGGGCACATGGGGGTGGCGCAGACCCACCTTCCCTGCCAGGGGAGGCACTCAGGCACAGGGGCCCTGGGCTCTTGTGGAAAGTATCCTGGCGGTTGCATTCCCCTCCAAAGTGTTTGCACTGTGAGTATCCTTGTGGCCCCGGGGCAAAGAACTTGGCAAGCGCTCCTCAAATCGCTTACAGTTGTCCTTAGGCTGTGCATCTATGGCTGATGATATTAATAACAGCTGGCTTTTGTTGGAAGTTGGCCTGTGTGAAGCACTTCTCATGCAACGTGGTGAGCTCTGCACATCACCCCCATCGCTTGTTAATGTACAGATGGAGAAACTCAGGCTTAGAGGGAAGGGTCATTGGCATGGGGACACATAAGCTCACTTAGGGCAGAGTTGAGACTTGAACTCATGTTAGTCTGGCTCCCAAGCCCCTGCTCTTAACCATTATGCTAAGATGCTTTTTACATTAAGAAGAGAGAAGGGAAATAGTAAAAGACAGTCCTGACCCCATCCCATCCCAGCCACATGTAGGAGAGCTGTGCAAAAAAGAGCAGTCCATTGGGAGGCCGCGGCAAGTGGATCAGGAGTTCGAGACCAGCCTGACCAACATGGAGAAACCTTGTCTCTAAAATTATAAAATTAGCCTGGCGTGGTGGCGCGTGCCTGTAATCCCAGCTATTCTGGAGGCTGAGACAGGAGAATTGCTTGACCCCAGAAGGTGGAGGTTGCAGTGAGCTGAGATTGCGCCATTGCACTCCAGTCTGGGCAACAAGAGTGAAACTACATCTCAAAAAAGAAAAAGAGAGAGGCCAGCCCATTCCCTTCTCTCTGCATAGCAGCGAGGCCACCCTCACCGGTGGCTCTGGGAGGAGGGAGGCGTCTCAGGGCTCTGGCATCCTTTCTGCTTGTCTTCAGTGGGATGTTGGGACAGACAGGAAGTTATGTTAGAAAGGCAGAGCCTGGAGAGGGCTCCAAATCATTCACTCATTTGCTCTCCAAATGCACACCTGCATGGCACCAGGCCCATTCCAGGCCAAGGGCACCATGGTGAACCTACAAGAGAGCCCCTGTCCCGGGCAGCCTGTGTTCTACCGGGGGTGGGGTGGGGGGGCGCGTGAGAGGTGGTGGGAACCTAAACAGAGAGCAGAGAAATACAAGGTGGGCAGATTGTGGTAGAAACTTTGGTGAGAAATGAGGGAGGGAGGACAGGGGTGCTCAGCGGTGGGGAGGGGGTACAGTTTAGAAAAGGCCTACGGGTAGGCTGGGTGCAGTGGTGCATGCCTGTAATTCCAGCTACTCAGGAGGCTGAGGCAGGAGACTCGCTTGAACCTGGGAGGCAGAGGTTGCAGTGAGCCGAGATCAGATCACACAACAAGAGCAAGACTCCATCTCAAAAAACAAACAAATAAACAAAAACAAAAAGCTGTGTGTGGTGGCAGACTTCTGTAATCCCAGCTACTCAGGAGGCTGAGACAGGATTGCTTGAACCTGGGAGGCAGAGGTTGCAGTGAGCTGAGATCAAGCCACTGCACTCCACCCTTGGTGACAGAGTGAGACTCCATCTCAAAAAAAAAAAAAAAAAAAAAAGCATAATGGTTAAGAGCATGGGCTTTGGAGCCAGACTAACATGGGTTCAAGTCCCAACTCTGCCCTAGGTGAGCTGTGAGTGAGATCTGTGAGTGACAGTGAGATAGAGCAAGACTCTGTCTCAAAGAAAAAAAAGAAAAAGAAAGGATGGGGAGCCCCGAGGCCATGAGGAAGGGCTGTGAGAATACTTGGGAGAACATTCCAGGCAGAGGGGCAGTGAACTGGAGCAGGCAGGGAGTGGGCGGGGGCAGCGCAGGCTGCAGGAGGGCCTCGGCTGTCTCTGCTAACTGCTGTGGGGCAGGATAGATGGTGAGGGCCCTGCTCTGCCAGGGCAGGGGTGACCTGCGGAGGCCCCATGGTCTGTGTGACACATAGCCCCTGTCGGAACGTGCGGAGCCCACTGCTCTGAGTGTCCCCGAGCGTCCTCCCTCAATGCCGGAAGTTTTCCTGATCAGGGAAGTTTAACTCAGTCTGTATGTGAGGTTTGAGTGATGGTCTATGCACCCCAGGAAACTGTATGTGCACTTTGTGGGCTAGGGCAGGCCTTTCTCCTGGTTTCGGAATCACAGGTCCCCTGAGTCAGTGCTTTCTGCACCTGGTTGCCCATCAGAACCGCCTGGGATGCTGAAAGCGCTCGCATGCCTGCTCCCACCCTGTCCTTCCACACCCACCAGCCAGAATCCCCCAGCAGGGAATTGGATCTAGTCACTTTGCTACTAACTCAGATGCAGCTGGTCCACACTGCCGGGGACCCAGCAGGAGGCAGCTGCCCTCCTGGTAAGAGGTTCAGAGTGATCCCAGCCATCTTTCCCTTGTAGCACCTCTAGGAGAGTGGTCCAGGCAGGATGAGCTTTCCCCAGAGACCATGGCTCAGCTGACGGGGCACTCAGGTCAAGACCCTTGGTAGGGTGTGGGAGGCGGTTCGGACTCCCGAGGCGGTCAGTTGCCCACTAGTCCCGGCAGGGAGATGCTGCTTCTAAGCTAATGCCAGTTTTTGCTTTGTGATTTCCAGAGAAGTACATGGAGTTTGACCTGAACAATGAAGGCGAGATTGGTGAGTGAGGCCTTGACTGTGTTGAGGGAGGAGGGCATTAGGTGGGTAGAGGGCTTGAGGGACCCTTTGTGTGAGTGAGGAGCATGGGGCAATCCAGAAGTCTGGTGAATATGCTGCAGGTGAGTCAGCCCCTTGCCTTCTGCCCTGGCATCACTGCCCTCGGACTCCTCCAAATGCTTTCCTCCCCTACGGCTTCCCTCCCCACCCACACCTCAGCCTCCCACCCCAGGTGCTACAGGGATTTGGGACAGAGGGTGCCACACCTGCCCAGGGCTGGGGACACTCAGGGTGGACAGGCCCTGGGCTCCTGGCTGGCATTTCCATTGCCCTGAAGTCTGTCCTTCCATCGTATGCGTTTTGGCAGTTGACAAGGTGCTTTTACATATGTTGATTCTCTCCTTATTACATCCTGCTGTGCAGGTACTGGCACTTCCATTCTGGTAGGAGACCATACCTGGACCTTACCAGCAAAGATATGGTTAAGGCTGGTTTAATTAGCCCCATTTTACAGATGAGGAAAGCAAGACTCAGAAAGGTGAAATGGGCTGGGTGCAGTGGCTCACGTCTGTAATCCCAGCACTTTGGGAGGCCAAGGCAGGTGGATCACCTGAGATCAGGAGTTCAAGACCAGCCTGGCCAACATGGTGAAACCCCATCTCTACAAAAAATATAAAAATTAGCTAGGTGTGGTGGCAGGCGCCTATAATCCCAGCTACTGGGAAGGCTGAGGCAGGAGAATTGCTTGACTCTGGGAGGCGGAGGTTGCAGTGAGCTGAGATCACACCACTACACTCCAGCCCGGGTGACAGAGTGAGACTCTGTCTCAAAAAAAAAAAAAAAAAAAAAAATGAAATGACTTGCATGGGACACTGGTCGTGAACCAGGGCCCTGCCTTTGGTTTCTGAGCCCTTTTCCCCTTTTTCATTTCACTCTGCACCTCAGAGTGATGCTCCCACCAGCACTTTCCTTCTCCTCCTCCTCTGTCCTCTCTCTTTTCTTCTCCCTTTTGAATATTTGATCATTTTTTTCTTTAGAAAGAAAATTTTTTGGCTTGTCAAATAAACATATTTTCATCATTAAAAAAATTGGGGCAACACAGCAAAGCACAAAGACAAAAATGCATCACCGGAAACCCCACCCCCCGGAGGTAACTGCTACGGACATTTCAGCTTCTATTCTTCGGTTTTTTGGTTCATTCTAACCACAAAGGCTGTTTTATACCATTTTTGAGCCTCCTTGAAAAAAATAACTTTCTATTGGTCAGCCTGGCCAGAAAAAATAAATAAAATAAAACAATGGTGAGTATTTTGAGTTATTATTGATTTTTTCTTTTTTTTGAGGCAGAGTCTCATTCTGTTGCCCAGGCTGGAGTGCAGTGATGCAATCTCAGCTCACTGCAACCTCCGCCTCCCAAATCAAGCAGTTCTCCTGCTTCAGCCTCCCAAGTAGCTGGGATTACAGGCACGTGCCACCACGCCTGGCTAATTTTTGTATTTTTAGTAGAGATGGGTTTTCACCATGTTGGCCAGGCTGGTCTCCAACTCCTGGCCTCAAGTGATCTGCCCACCTCGGCCTCCCAAAGCGCTGGGATTTACAGGCGTGAGCCACTGCACTGGCTGATTTTTCTTTTGAAATATAGTTAATGACTGCATTGTAGGAGTGGATTCTAATTTGTTTAGCCGATGCCTTTGTATGGACCATTTGGATGCCTTCCAGTTTTAACTGTTATTGATAATCCTGTAAAGAACCTCTTTGTACACGAGTGTTGTTCACGCCCTGGTTATTTCTGTAGAGGAAATCTCAGGAAGTGGACACCATGGGTCAAAGGCTTTTGAAGCATCTTGCCCAACAGCCCGAGAAAGGTCCTGCCAACTTCAGATCCTGGCAGTACATGTGCAGCCCTTTCCCCCTTTCCTGGAGAAGGCTGCCCAGCTCTCTCTGAATGCCTGGACATCCTGGCACCTTTGGGCCTGGCCCCAGTCCCACCCGCCCTGCCAGGAGGAGCACGGGCGGCACCACGGCCCTCGGCCTCCACTCTACCCCCTCCCACCATCCTTTTCTGACCCATTGTTCACTGAAGAACAATCTGAAGGAAATTGCCTCAGCTCCTAGTAGGAGCTGGGTGGTCAGAGGCAGGGCCACCTCGGGCTGTAGTGACATTCTGGGGCCTCCCTTGTTTTTCTTGAATTTTGTCCTTTTGTTGGTTTTCCTGCTCTGTGGGATATTTTTGGTGTCCTCTCCCTTCCAGCCAAAGCAGAGCCCTAGGACAGCAGGACTGGAGTGGCACGTGGGGACAAGCCATCTGCCCCTTGGCACCCAGTACAGTGCCTTTCAGTGCCTGACTCCCTGACTTGGCCACACTGGGCATAACTCCCTGGGCACAGGAGAGTAGGCGCCTGGCCCACTCTAAATGCAGGAAATAGCAGAGCCCACAGTCATGGTGTGAAGAATGTGCTTTGGGCCGGTGCCTCCCACATGGCGATCTCTGAATGATCCCCTCCACCTGTTCTACCATTGATGGGAGCAGGGGTTCTGAGAGGTTAAGTAGTGTGTTCCAGACCCCAGAGCCAGGAATAGCAGAGCTCGATTCCAGTGCAAGCCCAGCCCAGGTCACAAACCACTAGTCTATACTGCCTCCGAAGAGAGCAGGGAGGGTGTGATGGGCTCCTCCTCCCTAGAGGAGTGCAGACACCAAGCTTCTGAGGGTGGGGTGCCTGAGTGGAGCTTTCCCAGCTTCCCCCCTAAACCCCAGTGGCCAGTCTTCACTTAGCAGACCTGCTTTTCCTCCGACAGACCTGATGTCTTTAAAAAGGATGATGGAGAAGCTTGGTGTCCCCAAGACCCACCTGGAGATGAAGAAGATGATCTCGGAGGTGACAGGGGGGGTCAGTGACACCATCTCCTACCGAGACTTTGTGAACATGATGCTGGGGAAACGGTCCGCTGTCCTCAAGCTGTGAGTACCTCCTCCCTCCCCGGGGCCCCTGAAGGCAAAATCATTCTATGCAGAGAGGCTCACGGCTCTGGGCACCCCAGCCATTCCCCAGATAGTAGGTAACTTGTGTGACCTGCTGGACATGGTACTTACTTTTCCTGAACCTTATTTCTTTATCTGTCAAATGTTTTTTTTTTTTTTTTTGAGATGGAGACTCGCTCTGTCACCTAGGCTGGAGGGCAGTGGGGTGATCTTGGCTCAGTGTAACCTCTGCCTCCTGGGTTCAAAGGTTATAGAACTCAGGAGGCTGAGGCAGGAGAATCACTTGAACCTGGAGTGCAGTGGTGCAATCTTGGTTCACTACAACTTCCACCTCCCAGATTTAAGCAATTCTCCTGCCTCAGCCTCCCAAGTAGCTGAGATTACAGGCACGTACCACCATGCCCAACTAATTTCTGTATTTTTAGTAGAGACAGGGTTTTGCCATGTTGGGGACCTCAGGAGATCTGGCCCCCTTGGCCTGCCAAACTGCTGGAATTACAGACGTGAGCCACTGTGCCTGGCCCAAATGGTCATGATAATATGTACCTTGCAGAGGAAATTCGACTGTAGCAGAGTCGGGCAGAATCAGTACTCAGTAAGTGGCAACTGTGATGACAATGATGATGGTGGTGGTGATGGTGATAATAGTGATAAATCTACTGTGGAAACGTTCTGAGCCTCTGTCGAATCTTTCTGAGTCAGAGTTTCCCCCTTTTTTTTTTTTTTTTTGAGATCTTGATCTGTCACCCTGGCTAGAATGCAGTGGTGCAATCTCAGCTCACTACAACCTCTGCCTCCGGGCTCAAGCAATTATCCTCCTGCCTCAGCCTCCCCATTAGCTGGGATTACAAGTGTGCATCACCACGCCCAACTATTTTTTGTATTTTTAGTAGAAATGGGGTTTCACCATGTTGGCCAGGCTGGTCTCAAACTCGTGACCTCAACTGATCAGCCCCACCATGGCCTCCCAAAGTGCTGGGATTACAGGCGTGAGCCACCTCACCTGGTAGTTTCCCCATTTGTAAAGCAACTCCACTACCCCCACAGGGCTGTTGTAAGCATAAACTAGAGGCAAAATTGGCCCCAAAGGGAGGTAAGGTTTGCATCTTGATGCTATTACTTGCTACCAAAATGACCCTGGGCAAGTTACCTTAGATCTGCGAGTCTCTGTTTCTTTATCTGTAAAATGGGGTGATAATCATGTCTTCTGTGATGTCCTGAAGGCTAGTGAGATGACACAAAGATTCCAGCCTAGTGTCTGGCTGATGGCAAACACTTAATACATAGTAGCACATTGTGGGTGCTGCCCCACCAAAGAGCGTTAAAGCAATGCCCTAGACAGTCTCATTGTCATTTGTCACAGCTAAAAATAACACTCCACCAGGCACAGTGGCTCACATGTGTAATCCCAGCACTTTGGGAGGCCGAGGCAGGTGCATCAGAGGTCAGGAGTTTGAGACCACCCTGGTCAACATGGTGAAATGCCATCTGTACTAAAAATACAAAAATTAACTGGGTGTGGTGGCTCACACCTGTAATCTCATCTACTCAGGAGGCTGAGGCAGGAGAATCTCTTGAACCTAGGAAGCAGAGGTTGCAGTGTGCTGAGATTGTGCCATTGCACTCCAGCCTGGACGATAACAGCAAAACTCCATCTCACAAAAAAGAGAAGAAAATAGCATTCACTTGGTTTTTATGAAATAAGATTCACTTTTTTAAAAGTATGAACATTGGCTGGGTGCAGTGGCACACGCCTGTAATCGCAGCACTTTGGGAGGTTGAGGCAGGCAGATCATAGTGTCAAGAGATTGAGACCATCCTGGCCAACATGGTGAAACCCAGTCTCTACTAAAAATACAAAAATTAGCTGGACGTGGTGGCGGGCACCTGTAATCCCAGCTACTTGGGAGGCTGAGGCAGGAGAATCGCTTGAACCCGGCAGACGGAGGTTGCAGTGAACTGAGATTGCGCCACTGCACTCCAGCCTGGGTGAGAGAGCAAGACTCCATCTCAAAAAAAAAAGTACCAATGTAAAATATACCTATCTCATTTTACAAAGGAGCTTGGGGAGGCCCGAGGAGACTAAGTACCTGGCCCATGAGCCCATGGTCCAATCTGGCCAGATCTTCTAGCACCCCACTTCCAGAGAGAAACACCAAGGATCAGAGAGGTCAAGTGTCTTGCTTGAGCCACTCAGCTGGGAAGTAGTAGGGCTGGCATTTGAATCCAGACTGTTGCCCTGGAGGCTGTACTCTGAGCCCCTACAGTCTGCTCCCCAGACTCCACTCTTAGAGCAGTGGGCAGGTTTTTGAAGATCTTTGTGCAGAGACATGGCCCAGCCTGGCTCAGCCTCCTCCAGGCAGTGTGGTTCAGGGAAGGGCATGGCCTACAAGTCAGAGCCTGGAGTCGCATCCTGCCTCTGCCCTGGACCGCCTGTGTGGTTCTGAGGAGTCACATCAGCACTTTGCACCTCGATTTCCCCCTCTGTAAAATGGGACCAGCAGCCCCTTCCTCGGAGCTTCTGTCTTGGGCTTCTGCAAGGATCCCACCGGAGAACAGATTTAAGGACATTCTGTCAGGACCCTGCCGACATCAAGGCTGGGTGATCTTTCCCTGGATGAGGGATCTTAATCTTGCTTTGCTTTTCATTTCTTTTCTCCAACTCCAAACCAGAGTCATGATGTTTGAAGGAAAAGCCAACGAGAGCAGCCCCAAGCCAGCTGGCCCTCCTCCAGAGAGAGACATTGCTAGCCTGCCCTGAGGACCCCGCCTGGACCCCCTGGCCTTCCCGCCCTGCTCCTCCCTCCCGATCTTGCTGCCCTTCTTGACACATTGTGATCTCTCTCTCATTTGTTTGTTCATTGAGGGTTGGTTTGTGTTTTCATCCATGTCTTTGTAAAGCACAAATTATCTGCCTTAAAGGGGCTCTGGGTCTGTGAATCCTGAGCCTAGGGTCCCCTCCCTCTATTCGTCCCTCCTTCCCCACTCCCTGTGCAGAAGGACTGATATCAAACCAAAAACAAGAGGGGGCAGGGCCAGGGCAGGGAGGCTTCCAGCCTGTGTTCCCCGTGCTTGGAACTGGCATTCTCCATCCTTCCAGAAAGTCTCCGAGCCAAATTCAGGCTCACTGGCCTGGCTCTGGCGAGGACCCCAGGCCACTTTGGGAAGACCCTGGAGTAGGGACAAAGCTGCAGGGCCTCTTAAGCGTTTCCTTGGACAGTGCCATGGTTCCAGTGCTCTGGGGTCATCCAGGACACAGCCACTCAGTGCCCCGCTGCCCCAGCTGATTCATCCCTCAGTCCACACCTCTTCTCGTACTCAACGATGTGACAGAAGGTGGGAAGGAAAGGAGCTTGGCAACGTGAGCCCTTCAAGAAGGTACCAGAAGGAATCCTCAGGTCTTGCTCCCTGGCCACACTTTTGCAGGCAGCTGAGAGGCAGCGTGCAGCCCTACCATCGCTTACTGGGGCAGCAAAGGGCTTTGGAGGTAGAAGTGAGGCCAGGGGTCTTGGGGAGACAGGTCAGCTCAGTGCAGTTCCACCTTTCAGGGAGGATACTGAGGGGACCAGGATGAGAGAATGAGGAGTAAAATGCTTACGGCAAAGTCAGCAGCACTGGTAAGCCAAGACTAAGAAATACAAGGTTGCTTTTCCGATCCCAACGTGCTTGAAACCTGACTCTACTTCCTTCATTTGCCTTCCCGCCCTACTCACATCATTCATTCATTGACTCACTCATTGAGCAGATATTTATTGACCTCATATTATAAGCTTTACGCCCTCCCATGTTGTCCTGACACGTGCAGTATCCACTGTCTAACTCACCTCTCCCCAAATCTCGGAAAACCTTGAGCTTGGGAATGGCACTGGGGTCACCTGTGTTCTTTCTTATGGATTCACAGGATTTCAGAGCCCTGATGCACCCTGGAGGGTAGCTGGGCCAGTCCTCTCACTTCCCAGGTGAGGAGACTCGTGGCCCACAGGGATTAAGTGCCTTAGCCAAGGTCAGGCTTATCTCCAGAGGGATGTGCCTGGACTGGGGCCAGATGTTCAGGGACCCTGCCTACACCTCATCTCCAGTCTGGGCTGCCTTAGTTTGTGATGAGAACAGGGAAGGGCTGGAAAGGGGTAACCTCCTAGGTCAGCACTGGGAGAGGGTTTCACTTGCTCTGAAGCTCCTGGGCCAGGATCCGCCCTCCCCAGTGCCTCCAAGTCAGCATCAAGGCTTCAGGGAAAGACCAGGCCTCTGAAGCTGCCTCTTGTAATTCATGCAGGAAGATGTCAAAGTCAGCCCCATCTTGGCTTAACCCCACCTGTGTTCTGAAGTCTCTTACCCTACCTGCTCAGGACTTACACACACTTATTCACTGAACATATTTATTAAGCACTTGCTGTTGGCCAGCAGATAAGAATCCAATCATGAAATGGACTGATTCGTGGAGTCCAATAGGAAAGTGAGACCCAGACAGTGACAATGAGATAAATATTAGAAAGGGGAAGTCTGGGGTGACTTCCCTACAATCCTGGGGTCCTAGCTGGGCCCAAGACTGAGTGAGAGCCTTGGCAGAGCCTTTGCAACACCTTCAGTGGACAGGACTGGGAGATCTTGGCGGTCAGAGCCAATGTGGGTTCCCTGCGGCTACTGAGTCATCTCTGATAGCAGACTGAGGGAGGGAAGCAGGTAAGGCATGGGGAAATGGCCAGGTTGGGTTAACCCACTGGTTTCAACCAGTTCAGGAATGAAGTTATTTGGCCATGACTGGCTGGTTTTGAGCTCAAGGATCTGCTTCAGATGCACACAGGCCTAGTTGAAGTTTAAACCCCAGTAAAACATTCCTCCCTGTAAATGGAAAATCCTGCTCCTACCCCCTCCCTTGCCCTGTTTTTTTGTTTTTGTATTTTTTCTCCTGAGATCATTAGATTAGCAACTGGCTGTCCTCACCCCTCCTCACTGCCTCTCCTCTCTGGGACAGGCAGGGACCTTTGAGGAAGATAAAGCCTTCCTTGACTACCCATCATATTCAGTGTCCCTGTTCTTCACTTGGAGAGGAAGGCAGAACCAATCAGGCTTATTTCAGTAAGTTCTGCAGTTCTACAAGACTGCAGGAAGCCTCCTTAGGGAGGAGAGCAAGCGGGTGTGGCCCAGCTTCCGGAAATGGCAGAAAAGCGGGTTTTCTCATTGAATGGTGTGTTCTGGGAAACCCCATGAGTCACTTCATTTCTTGGAACTCAACTCCTAGGAGGAGAGGGTCTCAAGAGTCGTCCCTGGAAGGAGGGTAGGGGCAGTCTGCATTATTTCAGGTTGTGGCTGTTGGCTCTGGGACTCCTCTGGCCAAGGGCTCAGCTTCTTTCGACTTCAGCTGTCTTCTTTCTGAAAGACCAAATTTAATGTAACCAGTAACGTGAGGACTGCCAGGTATGGCTTTGTCCCTATGACTCAGAGGAGAGTTTGTCGGGCAAATTCAGGTGGTTGAAATATGTGTGTGTGTGTGCATGGGAGTGTGTGTGAATTGGGATATCATCTCTACAGACTGGAAATAAACCGGACAAACTTACCAACGTCTTGACTGATGTATTTTGGGATGGTTCTGGGCTCAGCATATTGTGAGCTAGCTAATATAGTAAGAGATGAAATGAGCGTGTCCTGTGCATTTGGTCTGAGACAGCTGAAGTTTATTTACTCCTCACCACCTCCCCCAAGAGACAGGTTTTATTACATCATCCTTGTTTCACAGCTGAAAAGCAGGCTTGGATAAGCAATGTGCTGAAAGAAACAGTAAATGGCACAATCTGCCTCCCCCAATCCCCGCCCTGGAGCCAATCCATGGGGTCCAAGTTAAGAACCTCTGTCCTAGAGCACTTATAATTCACTACAGAAGTTTATTCTACAAAGGACTGTAAGATCATCAGTCAGCCTTAGCCAGACAATCTCAATACTAATGCTACCACCACCACTTTCTGACTGAGGGCCACTGGAGAATTTTCTCAACTTTTCTTACCTCATCAACTATTATTATTACGCATATATATACTTTTTTCTGAGACAGAGTCTCACTGTCGCCCGGGCTGGAGTGCAGTGGCGCAATCTCGGCTCACTACAAGCTCCACCTCTCGAGTTCAAGCGATTCTCCTTCCTCAGCCTCCTGTGTGGTCCACAGGCGTCCGCCACCACACCCAGCTAGTTTTTGTATTTTTAGCAGAGACAGGGTTTCACCATGTTAGCCAGGTTGGTCTCAAGCTCCTGACCTCAGGTGATACACCTGCCTTGGCCTCCTAAAGTGCTGCGATCACAGGGGTGAGCCACCGCGCCCAGCCTATTTTATTTTTTGAGACAGAGTCTGGCTCTGTCACCCAGGCTGGAGTGCAGTGGCGCAATCACAGCTCACTGCAGCCTCGACCTCCTGGGCTCAAGCATCCTCCCACTTCAGCTTCCTGAGTAGCTAAGACTATATGTCCATGCCATTCCTCTGGCTAATTTTTTTTTTTTTTTTTTTTTTTGAGACGGAGTTTCGCTCTTGTTACCCAGGCTGGAGTGCAATGGCGCGATCCCATGCCCAGCTAATTTTTTTTTGTATTTTTAGTAGAGACGGGGTTTCACCATGTTGACCAGGATGGTCTCGATCTCTTGACCTCATGATCCACCCGCCTCGGCCTCCCAAAGTGCTGGGATTACAGGCTTGAGCCACCGTGCCTGGCCTAATTTTTTTTTTTTTGAGAGATGGGGTCTTGCCATGTTGCCCGGCTGGTCTCAAACTCCTAGGCTCAAGCAATCCTGTCTGCCAAGTGCTGGGATTATGGGCATGAGCCGGCGGTGCCTGGCCTACCTCATCAATTAAATAAATAACAACCCCTAGGACGTCTCTAAGATTACGTGAGATCCCAGATCTGAAGGTTTTTGCAAAGGACTTGGCACAAACTCGTGCGTCTGGGAGTGGGTATGGCTCTTGCTCTGGAGATGACTACCTTGATAGGAGCAGACAAAGTTGCTCTTTGGTGCCCGTTAACCTCCCCTCCCAGCCTTCACCTTCCACATTTTAAAAGTCGCCTCTGGCGACCCCTCGACCCAGTTTTTCTTAATCTCCCTCCCTCCCCTTGCATAGCCCAAAGCCTCCCTCAAAAGCAGCCCCTGAAAACATCTGTCAAGTTCCTAACTTCTCTGAATCGGAAGCTACTAATAGCCAACCTACATCTAAGGGGAACTGTAAGGTTTCAGAGGAACAAGGGGCATATGTCTCTTAGGCGTGGGCCGCTCAAGAGGCAACACTGACACTACACGGACCCGCGCTGGCCGCGAGGGCGGGAGCACCAGGACGATCCAGGGCGCAGGCGCGACGGCCCTACGACCTCCCCCAATGAGGACCGGCTGCCGTGACAGCGCGCGTCTTCTACCGATTCCGCGACCTCCGCTGACCAAGCTTAACGTCACCAAAGCGCGCCGGAAATGTAGGGTCTGCTGCGCGCCACTGGCGCTGAGGGAAGTAAGTTTGCTGTGGAGCGAACTGGGTTCTGCGGACTAGGCCGTGGGAGGCAGCGTCGGCTGCTTCGACACACCGAGGGCGACACGATGGGAGACGAGATGGATGCCATGATTCCCGAGCGGGAGATGAAGGTCAGAGACTAGCCAGGGCCTTGGAGCCCCTCTGAAAGGCGAAGCGCGATTGCCCGCTGTCCCGCCTTCTCCTTGAACAATTTACCGCGTTCACAGCTCTTGGCAGCGCGTTTGCCGCGATAGCGCCACCCGATGCAGTTTCCCAGTCCCTTCCTGGTCTCGTACACGCCTCTTGAGTTACTCTAGCTACTTCATGTGGCGGTCACCATAGTGGCAATAACTACTGTTTATTGAGCGTTTGCTGTGTGCCAGGCACGGTGGTAGTCATCCCAGCAGCCCTACGAAGTAGTCGTTAACGTAGAGTCGAGGCTCGGAAAGTGATTGACCTAAAGTCACATTTGACAGGGGGCTGAAAGCCAGCATCATTTAAGACTTTTGCTCTCCCATTACTTCTGTAAGGTGGTACGGGCTTGCCTAACGTAGAGCCACGGAAGGTCATCCGTCCTGCAGAACCTTTAGTTGATTGGACGAGGAAGACTATTTTTGACATAGGGTATCAGCCCAAAGTCAGGAACCTAAATCGAGGGCCAAGTGGTCCCAATAATGGCGACGTGGGAGTCCCCAGGGATAACTCCAGGATGGTGTGGTTAAGAGTTCTCATATACTTTCTGACAGAGTGAGGGGACAGCAAATGAGCTACATCTGTTTTAAGCAGTGAAAGGAAGTAAGTTGCAGGAATATATATATATATATATATATTTTTTTTTTTTTTTTTGAGACGGATTTTCGCTGTTGTTACCCAGACTGGAGTGCAATGGCACGATCTCGGCTCACCGCAACCTCCGCCTTTTGGGTTCAAGCAATTCTCCTGCCTCAGCCTCCCGAGTAGCTGGGACTACAGGCTCACACCACCATGCTCAGCTAATTTTTGTGTTTTTAGTAGAGACGGAGTTTCACCTTGTTGACCAGGATGGTCTCGATTTCTTGACCTCGTGATCCACCCGCCTCGGCCTCCCAAAGTGCTGGGATTATAGGCGTGAGCCACCGCGCCCGGCCAAGTTGCAGGAATATTTTAGTTGCCTGTGTCAACAGTAAATCACTAAAATGCATTTAGGAGATAGTAACCCATACCATGTTTAGAAAAGTGATTTTTTTTTTTTTTTTGACAGAGTCTCCCTCTGTCGCCCAGGCTGGAGTGCAGTGGCATGGATCTCAGCTCACTGCAACCTCCACCTCCCAAGCTCAAGCGATTCCCCTGCCTCAGCCTCCCGAGTAGCTGGGATTACAGGTACCTGCCACCATGCCCAGCTAATTTTTTATATTTTTGGTAGAGACTGGGTTTCACCATGTTGGCCAGGCTGGTCTCGAACTGCTGACCTCAAATGATTCGCCTGCCTCAGCCTCCCAAAGTGCTGGCATTAGAGGAGTTAGCCACCATGCCCTGCCTAGAATAGTAATTCTTTTTTGAGAATCACCACCTGTGGTGAGCTACCTAATGGGATTGTGTCATATTTCTCAGATATGCTGGGGTAGAATTAAAAAAGGGTTTATTAATAGAACCACAGACCTAGAAGATGGTAATCTCATACTCCCTTTGGCAGTACATATAAAATTGGGATAATGCAGAGAAGACAAGCACGGCTCCTGTATGAGGATGACACACAAATTCGTGAAGTGTTCCATATCAGAAAAAAATCAGGGCCAGGCGTGAGTGCCCACTATACTCCAGCCCGGGCAGCAGGACAAGACCCCATCTCAAAAAAGAAAAAAAAAAGGCGACCACAGGCGGTGGCTCACGCCACTTTGGAAGGCCGAGGGGGGCAGATCAGGAGGTCAGGAGATCAAGACCATCCTGGCTAATACAGTGAAACCCTGTCTCTACTAAAAATACAAAAGATAGCCAGGCGTGGTGGCTCATGCCTGTAGTCCCAGGTACTTGTAAGGCTGAGGCGGGAGAATTGCTTCAACCTGGAAGGCGGAGGTTTCAGTGAGCCGAGATTGCCACTGTCCTGCAGCCTGGGCAACAGAGTGAGACTCTGTTTCAAAAAAAGAAAGACAATTGAGGCAGTCCTTGGTCTTAGTAACACACACTTTTGTTGTTCTGAAATTGAGTCTGCTGAATATAATATGTTTTAATTTATTCATTGAATTGATTTTGTTTTGATTCTTTACAATAGGATTTTCAGTTTAGAGCGCTCAAGAAGGTGAGAATCTTTGACTCCCCTGAGGAATTGCCTAAGGAACGCTCGAGTTTGCTTGCTGTGTCTAACAAATATGGTCTGGTCTTTGCTGGTGGAGCCAGTGGCTTGCAGATTTTTCCTACTAAAAATCTTCTTATTCAAAATAAACCGGGAGATGATCCCAATAAAATAGGTAAGTTCCCTGGTTTATGTTGCAAAGTAGAGAGAGGAGTATGGTGTCATGATAATGGGTTTCCTTCCCAAGAAGTCACTCTAATGTTAAAATGAATACTGTCAGTTTTCAAGTTGACGCCCAAGAAGATTAACGGAAACCTTTCTCAGTTTTCCCTTTGGTCCTTTGTATTTCTCTTTCCATGAGTTGTTCCTCTCAGCTCAAGGGGGAAGAATTTACCATTATGCCATGCTTTTATTTTTACCCAGTTGAACTTGGGCTCTGGCTCTCTGGGTGAAGGGTTTTGTTGGAATGGGTTTTCAGTTGGCACAACAGGACGATCCAAGCTATTGGGAATGTGTTCTATTTAGAGCATTGTTGCAAAACTATTTTCAACAAGGGCAATAGCCACAATTAGTTTCCGCAGATTGTATGAGGAAGAATTCCTGGGATACTTAATGAATTGTTATATATCTTTAAGAAAGTTAAGATTTTATCTGTATAACTAGGTGTCGGGAGTGTATGTGTGTTTATGCAGATGCAAATATATTTTTTCACATTGACCTGGTTAGAGGTTGTGGCTTTATGCTTAGAACATACTGTTTTTTTGCTTTGTATTTTTTTGTTTTCATAGTTGATAAAGTCCAAGGCTTGCTAGTTCCTATGAAATTCCCAATCCATCACCTGGCCTTGAGCTGTGATAACCTCACACTCTCTGTGTGCATGATGTCCGGTGAATATGGTTCCATTATTGCTTTTTTTGATGTTCGCACATTCTCCAATGAGGTAAGCTACTTTTATACTGTGATATCAACGTGAGAACCCTAAGCAGATTTCCCTGTGTTGAATTATAACTTGGAAGCTTCATAGTATAACCCTTGAAGTCTTTCTCTAGATTAAAATATGGGATTTAAAAAAAAAACACCTTAATTATAGAATCATAGATTTTTGAGACAGAAGGGACTTTAAGAAATTCTTTCATAACACTATCTGCCCCAAGGTGTTACCAGGAGACTTACATGACTTGCCCAAATTTGTAATAGATAATGTCAAAAATTCCTACACTTTGGGTCTTTAGCCTCATAATGCAATGTTCTTCCATTCCAAGCAGTTTAAGAATGATAATAGTAATAGTGTGTCAGACTCTGTACTAAGTGCTTTATATGTCTTGTCCCTTGTTCATGCCTACCACTGCCTTATGTAGTAGGTACTATTATCTTCATTTTATAGGTAGAGAAAGAGGCTCAGAGTTTAAGTAACTGTCCAAGGTCCTAACACTGTTAAGCAGAGCCAAGATTTTAATCTCATGTCTGCTATTTATTGGTTATTTTGCATTTGTGCATTCCCCTGCTGAGAGTCTCCCTGAACATGTTAGGATAACTGATTGCTGGCTGAGTGTGGTGGCTGACGCCTGTAATCCCAGCACTTTGAGGGGCTGAGGCAGGAGAACCACTTGAACTCGGGTGGTAGAGGTTGCAGTGAGCCAGGATTGCGCCACTGCACTCCAGCCTGGGTGACAGATGGAGATCCTGTCTCAAAAAAATGAATAATTGATTGCCATTTTCTAAGTTGTGTTAAAACTGTCTATAGCAAATAGATATATAAAGCTAAGTCTTTTTTTATGGTTATGGAGAAAAACTAATTTGAGATAACTTGTATATTCGGTAATTTCCATAGAATATTAAATGTCTCTGCATTTACTAATTTGTTAACTTATTCCACTTTTGCATATTTGTTTTAAAAGGCTAAACAGCAGAAACGCCCATTTGCCTATCATAAGCTTTTGAAAGATGCAGGAGGCATGGTGATTGATATGAAGTGGAATCCCACTGTCCCCTCCATGGTGGCAGTTTGTCTGGCTGATGGTAGTATTGCTGTCCTGCAAGTCACAGAAACAGTGAAAGTGTGTGCAACACTTCCTTCTACAGTAGCAGTAACCTCTGGTGAGTAACAAAGGCTCTCACACTGTAACATACAATAATGGCAGTCTACTTAAGAATTGATTTCTAGAAGTAAAAGTGGATAGCTTTTCGTCTTGTGTGTGTGTGTGTGTGTGTGTGTGTGTGTGTGGTTTTGTTTTTTGTTTTTTTAAACATGACAGGAGGTTAAGAGTGGAGGGTTTTTTGTGGAACTTTGAAAAAATAACCATTAAAAAAAAGAAAACAAAAAAAAAGAGTGGAGGTTTTTTTGGTTTTGGAGACAGTCTCACTCTGTCACCCAGGCTGGAGTGCAGTGGCATGATCTTGGCTCACTGCAGCCTTTACCTCCTGGGTCCAAGCAATTCTTGTGTCTTGGCTACCAAAAAGCTGGGATTATAGGCCTGTGCCACCATACCCAGCTAATTTTTTGTATTTTTTTGTAGAAACAGGGTTTCACCATGTTGGCCAGGCTGGTCTCAAACTCCTGACCTCAAATGATTTGCCCTCCTCCGCCTCCCATTACAGGTGTGAGTTGCTGCACCTGGCTAAGAGTATTCTTTATTCCCATACTTACTGTCCTTGAAGCCAAACAGCATACATAATTTAACCTGAATATACTTGGGTTTTGGAGAAATCTTTTGGTATAGCTGGTTTGAAACTGTTTTTGAGAATAATTGCTTCTGGATCTATAATGGTGATACTCCAAAAGTCACTTGTACCTTCATGGGGAGAGGCATTTGGAATATCAAATAGGAGCAGGAGAATGATTTCTTTCTTTCTTTTTTTTTAGACAGAGTCTGACTCTGTCACCCAGGCTGGAGTGCAGTGGCATGATCTTGGCTCACTGCAGCCTCCACCTCGCAGATCCAAGTGATTCTCGTGATTCTCCTGCCTCAGCCTCCAGTTTAACTGGGATTACAGGTGCATACCACCTTGCCCAGCTAATTTTTGTATTTTTTTAGTAAAGACATGGTTTCTCCATGTTGGCCAGGCTGGTCTTGAACTTCTGACCTCAGGTGATCATCTGCCTTGACTTCCCAAAGTGTTGGGATTACAGGCGTGATCAACCACGCCCAGCCAATGATTTCTTGATGTTTGGAAACCTTCTGTGTTCTCCTTGTCTTATCTAAAGACTACAGAGTTTTCTGTATTTTGCAGCTTTCTGGGCAGTAATTTATTGAAAAAGCATTTTTAGCTTTCAATTCAATAGCCCAGTGATAAATCAGTTGGCTTATATCCTTAAAATAATTTTACTTTTTTCCATTTTGTCGGGTGGGGATGATCCTACAATCTTCCATGGACTGACAGAGGAATGAGAAGTGATAATTAGCTGTGTGTGATAGATCTCATTGGTTTGCTCCATTTTCTTGTTTTTATTTGGTAACATTGTCTTTGCTCAGTGTGCTGGAGCCCCAAAGGAAAGCAGCTGGCAGTGGGAAAACAGAATGGAACTGTGGTCCAGTATCTTCCTGTAAGTTCATATCTTGAACTTTAGAATTTTTCTTAAGTCACCCACTTTTTTGGGGGTGGTTTCGGAGTATTGTTCTTGTTTTTCCTATTAAAAAGTAATGCTCATTGTAACAAATCCATCAGTGAATGAAGAGTGGAACCTCTTCCCTTCTCTCCCATAGTCCTCCCTCCAGAGGCACCCACTATGTTGTATAGACTAGGTGGCCTTCCAGGCTTTTCTGGATGTTATACAAACAATCTGTGTGTAGCTGCATTTTTTGTTTTGTTTTTTATGTAAAACATGATCATACTCTGTACTGTTCCCAACTTAATATTTTCAGTCCATTCCATAAAAACATAGCTTAAAGGCAAAGAGTTAGTGAAAAAGCTATGACAACCGTGCAGAATCACTCTGGGTTAAAGCACAGTATTTGTCTTTTAATTGAATCCATCTTAAAGAATTCGTTTCTCTAACTGTGGGCATCAAAGAAAATGGATACTCGTGTTGTTGCATGTGCCCTCTATCATCCTCCCTGTGATGTTCTTGAGATAATATTTGCAAATATCTTTCGATATCAATTGAGTTGCAAGGAACCCACATATGTCTATTGAGCCTGGACATGAAGGAGGGAGTCACAGGTGGCGCCAAGGCCTTTGTTGTGCCTTCTTCCCCGAGACTGTTCTCTGCAGGGGAGGGGCGCAGAGTAGTGAACGTAGGTCGTATAGGTCTGAGGTTAAGGTTATGTTTCTTATTTGTTATTACCAAAAGTTATATGAAATTTGGTATTTGTTATTACCAAAAGTTATATGAAATTATAGAGCATTAACCTGTAAAAAGATAATGCAGTTTATTTAATGTTCTTGCTTTGTTGTTTACCTTAAAATTTTTTTCTTCTTCTTGCTTGCTTTTTTTTTTTTTTAAGAGATGATCTTGTTCTGTTGCCCAGGCTGGGGTGCATTGGTGTGATAACATAATGACTCACTGCAGCCTCAGCCTTCCAGGGCTCAAGTGATCCTTCCACCTCAGCCTCCTGGGTAGCTGGGATTACAGGCACTTGCCACCATGCCCAGCTAATTTTTGTGTTTTTTGTAGAGACAGCGTTTTGCCATATTGCCCAGGCTGGACTCAGATTCCTGGGCTCAAGCAGTGTGCCTACCTTGACCTGGGATACAGATGTGAGCCACCTCGCCCAGCCTTATTCCAGTATTGATCATTGTCTGCATCAGTGCTAGTGATGTTGCTGTTGGGAATGGTGTTGCATTGGCTACTTTAATTACCTATGTCTGAACATATTCCTATGTTTTTTTCTTTTTTTTTTTTTGAGACGGAGTTTTGTTCTTGTCTCCCAGGCTGGAGTGCAATGGTGCAATCTCGACTCACTGCAACCTCCACCTCCTAGATTCAAGCAATTCTCCTGCCTCAGTCTCCCAAGTCTCTGGGATTACAGGCACTTGCCTCCATGCCCAGCTAATTTTTGTGTTTTTTGTAGAGACGAGGTTTTGCCATGTTGGCTAGACCAGTCTCAAATTTCTGACCTCAGGTGATCTACCCAGCTCAGCCTCCCAAAGAGCTGGAATTACAGGCATGAGCTGCCACACCCAGCCATGTTCATGCATTTCTGTAGGATGAAGTCCTAGAAGTAGACAACACTGTTCTGTTTATTCAGTCTCTCCTAGCCAAGGAGTTGGAACAGGTGGCATCTAGGGAACAGATGGATTTGACAGTTTCATTGGTTTAGGGATTGTTTCATTTGATACTTTATTATCCCCTCCAAATCTCTTTCAGACTTTGCAGGAAAAAAAAGTCATTCCTTGTCCTCCATTTTATGAGGCAGATCATCCTGTCAGAGGTAACAACTGCTTTTCTTATTGGGCTGACCTCTAACGATGTGTTACGTGTATTGCAGAAATTCATAATCATGTGATGTACCTGCCCAGTGAGGTGTTGCTGCTTGCTTCCTGAATAATGTCACTATTTCAAACAGCTAATTAAGTCAGTGTAAATTATGGCCCTCTGGTGACATCTGTGTTTCATGGTAAATGACATGAAATGGATCCTGACTTTTTGTTACAGTTCTTCATAATTTGCCCTGATTATAATCAAGCAGAAAAATTACCATTTGAGGATGAGTTTGGGCTTCTTGGGTCTTTGTACCTGTGAATTATATTAATCAATGAAATCTGGGCCTTTGTTAAAGCTATAGTATTTTGATTTTTTTATTCGTCATATATGTTATAGTTTGCAGTAGCTATTCCAAACGTGAGATGCTTTTGGCTGTATCTGGTTGCTGTGATTTTTATGACCTGCTGATTAGGGTGTGTCTTTCAGTTCTGGATGTGCTGTGGATTGGTACATATGTCTTCACAATAGTGTATGCTGCTGCAGATGGGACCCTGGAAACATCTCCAGATGTGGTTATGGCTCTACTACCGGTATGCATGTGAAAGAAACATCATTGTTTAAGAATTAGAGAAGTCTTCCAATAAAGCTGGAGGCTTTGATTTCAAGATTGGGTGTGTGTGTGTGTGTGTGTGTGTGTGTGTGTGTGTGTGTGTTGAGACAGGATCTCACTCTGTTGCCCAGGCTGGAGTACAGTGACGCAGTCTTGCCTCACTAAAGCCTGAACCTCCTAGACTCAAGTGATCATCCCACCTCTCAACTTTCTGAGTAGCCGGTGCTACAGGTACACACCACTATGCCCAGCTAATTTTTGTAATTTTTTTTTTGTAGAGATGGGGTTTTTCCATGTTGCCCAGGCTGGTCTTGAACTCCTGAGCTGAAGTGATCCACCCACCTAGGCCTCCCAAAGTACTGGGATTACAGGTGTGCATCACCACACCTAACCTGATTTCAGGTTCTTTTACTTACTGGCAGTGATTATGCAACTTCAGGTATAAGGTTTCCATGCTGTACCGTGGGCCTGCAGTCCAAAATTGGAGTGTTCACTTAAAGTGTTCTACTGTTTTGTTATAAGGTTAAAAAGGTAAATGATTTTGCTTAAGCTATAAACTCTGAGTCTTGGTTAGCTTGATAAAGAAATTTTAGAAAGCAAGACAGTATCTTGATTTTTAAAATTATTTCATTTGCCCTCAAATATTTAATGCCAACAGTGTGCTAGGGGCTGCTTTAAAGTTGACTGTATAGCAGTGATCAAGGTTATGGCCTTGCTTTTATGGTCTACATTTCTTTGTTGTTGTTTTTAATTTTTATTTATTTTTGTCTCACTCTGTTGCCCAGGCTGGAGTGTAGTGGTATGATCAGAGCTCATTATAGCCTCAAATTCTTGGGCTTAAGCCATCTTCCTGCCTCAGCCTCCTGAGTAGCTGGGACCACAGGCATGCACCACCACATCCAGCTATTTTTAAATTTTTGGTGGAGATGGCGTCTTGCTTTATTGCCGAGCCTGGTCTTGAACTCCTGGCTTCAAGCAGTTCTCCTGTCTCAACCTCTCAAAGTGCTGGGATTACAGGCCTGAGCCACCACACCTGGCTGGTCTTACATTCTAATGTGATAGTTAATAATTAAGTGTGAGATCAAGGACTGATCAGAGTGATGGAGACAATAAAGCCGTGTTAGGATAGATGATGACTAGTGTGTGCTTAAGATTGGGTGGTCAGGGGAGGACAATTTGATATTTGAAAAGGATGTCTTGTTTTTAACTCTTTTGGGTTTTAAGGTTGAATTTTTAAAATACGTTTACCTAGATGCCTTATTTTAAGTTATAATTAGAGGTTTTTTTTATTCTGGGCGATAATATTAACACTAGTATTTATTAACTGCTATTTATGTTTTATGTACTGGGCTTGAAGTTTTATATATATCATTTCATTTCACACTTAAAAATAGCCTCTGAAGTAGGCTTAGTAGGTCTAGTATACACATGAGAACAGTAAGTATCAGGAAGGTTAAAAAATCTGCTTGTCTCATGGGCAGAAAGTGGAGGAACAGAGTTTAAATGCAGTTCGGTTGAGGCCAATGTTTGTATTCCTTGTTCTAAATGCTGCCTTTATACCATGTCCTCATATCTATACTTAGACTTTGAGTGAATATTCTTATAAAACTTTAAATGATTTATCATTTGATATTCTTGTACTATAGGATCTGAGAAAAATTGCACATGAGAATTTTTTTCTTGGTTTATTTATTGTAGAAAAAAGAAGAAAAGCACCCAGAGATATTTGTGAACTTTATGGAGCCCTGCTATGGCAGCTGCACGGAGAGACAGCATCATTACTACCTCAGTTACGTTGAGGAATGGTGAGGAGAGTCTGGATGGGGCATTCCTGCTCTCACTGGAAGATCACCCCTGAGTCACCTTGTCCCATGTTGAAATATTTTCTTATTGATTGATTGATTGGCAGGGTCTCACTCCGTTACCCAGGCTTTTTGTTTTTTGTTTTTTTAAGAGATGGGATCTTGCTGTATTGCTCAGGCTGGGCTCCCAAAGTGATGAGATTACAGATGTGAGCTACCGTACCCAGCCTGAAATGTTTTCTATTAGAGAGGAAAATAGAAGCTGAGATGCCTTGAGCATATTTTCAACTGATTTTTGATAATGTCTTTCTGACTACTATTTCTATTTCCCCAATCTTTAGTTATTTATATTAAATACATACTTATCTCAAAAATCTAATTTTCTTAATAACCCCTAATGATGACTTATGAAAATATTGATACTCAAGACTCAAGGAATATATTAAAGGTTTCCTTCAAGCTGGGTGTGGTGGCTCACGCCTGTAATCCCAGCACTTGGGGAGGCGGAGGCAGGTGGATCACTAGGTCAGGAGATCGAGACCATCCTGGCTAACATGATAAAACCCCATCTCTACTAAAAACACAAAAAATTAGCCAGGTGTGGTGGCGTGTGCCTCTAGTCCCAGCTACTCGGGAGCACAAGGCAGGAGAATCACTTGAACCTGGGAGGCAGAGGTTGCAGCGAGCTGAGATCGTGCCACTGCACTCCAGCCTGGGGACAGAAAGAGACTCTGTCTCAAAAAAAAAAAAAGTTTCCTTCTGAGAGCAGAGTTGCCCTTTAGAATGGAGATTACCCAAAGCAAAGCTTCCATCTCTCTAGCTATGTTATTCTGCCTTTGGGTGGTGTATTGATTGTGCACTCTGACTTGATTCTGTTGTGTCTTTCCTTTGTTTTCATGTTGGTAGGCAGCGAGCTGATTCTGCAGGGCTTTCTCACAGAAACTAAAAAGTTCTGCTTTACATCTAAAATCTTCCCACCTCTGTTCAACCAGATAGAAAACCTTTACCTTCTCCTTGACATGTGGAGGCAGCCCTCACAGGTGTTACCTGCAGACCCGTCAGCTTAGAACTGTTGCTATATTTGAATGTAATAGTCTCTGGTTTTATTCTTTAAGGGATTTAGTGCTGGCAGCATCTGCAGCTTCAACAGAAGTTAGTATCCTTGCTCGACAAAATGATCAGGTAAATCTCTTTTTTGTCATTTTTTTTTCTTTTAATTATTGTTTTGAGAGAGAGTCTTGCTCGTTGTCCAGGCTGGAGTGGAGTGCTGCAATTTCCACTTATAATCTATGCCTTCTGGGTTCAAGCGATTCTCTTGCTTCAGCCTCCTAAGTAGCTGGGACTACAGGCGCATACCACCACGCCTGGCTAAGTTTTATATTTTAAGTAGTGGCTGGGTTTTGCCATGTTGGCCAGGCTGGTCACAAACTCCTGATGGTACTTTTCCAAAAATGATTTGGAGGGGATTAACTATGTGGTTAAGGTATACATGATCTCACATCTGTTTGACAAGTTTCTATATGAGAGCAAAGCTTCAGTGACAGGATGCCTTGGCCAAATGCCTTGGCTATTGCATGGAGAAACACAGGTGTCAGCCTTAGCAGTTCCTTCACTTCTATTCTTTTAGGATCCATCCCCAGTCTGTGGAAACATGCTGTGGAGTTAACCTCCAGCTGGAGTATGCCTGATGTGTGGGAGGCTTTTTCTGCCTTGTCTTCTTTTGTCATCTTTGTTTTCTTCCTGTTGCTTGAACCTACTCCTTCTATACAATTTAAGAATAATCCATCCTCAATTATGAAAGAAAAACATGCAGATGACACTAAATTGTGATTCACCAGGAATACGTTGTGTTTGACTTTGAAAAACTGTCAGAAAGAGAAAAACATCTTTGCATATAAGTACCTTCCTTCATGTTGTGTTTCTTGTACGGACATGGTGGGCCCAGGTAGTGGCAGTGTGCTGTTCACTATGCAGAATGACCGACTACAGAGAGGGCACAACAAAAGAAGGGGAAACTTATTTTAAAACTGCCTTGAGCTTAAAAATCTTTAGTGCACCCTTGTTGTAAATAAGAAACAAGTGCTTCTCCTCCCCACCCAGATACTTTGTGCTCCACCCATACATAGATACTTTAGCCATTAGTATTTATCTGCTACTCTCTGGGTGGCCAGGTGGCCCATTAGGAGAGGCATAGCTCCCACTGTCTAGGGGTAGCCACTTTTGGATGAGGCCAGAGTTCAGCCATCTGATTTGCTGCTCTAAAATTATCTTACATTGACTTCAGTAATAATTTCTTATTAGCACAAGTATTTCATATGTTCACACATTAAAAATATAGTTTCATTTTTACTTTTTATCAAAATAATTTATGTTCATGTTTTTAAAAAGTAAATAGAAAAGGGCTTATAAATGAAAAGAATCACCCCGTCCTACCTGTTTGCTTTCTAGAGGGGACTGTTTTTAATTTGTAGACATTTTCTTATGATGCTCTCACCTTATCCCTAAAGAAAAATCTGCTATTAGTTACAACTAATAATTGGTTATTAGTTTTAGACCTTACTGACTGGCAAATGATGTTCTAGTTCACATATGCCCCCCAGTTCCCTCTTTCCTCTCAGAGTTATAACATTGTTTTAATTTCTTCTCTTAGTGAACCTTTGTAACTTTGAGTAGTGTTTTTTACCCTCATTTCTGGTGGTATCTTTTTTGAGCTAGAGTCTTGATCTGTCACCCAGACTGAAGTGCAGTGGCGCCATCTTGGCTCACTGCAACCTCCGCCTCCCTGGTTCAAGTGATTCTCATGCCTCAGCTTCCTGAGTATAGCTGGGACTACAGGTGTGTACTACCACACCTGGCTAATTTTTGTACTTCTTAGTAGAGTTGGGGTTTTGCCATGTTGGCCAGGCTGGTCTTGAACTCCTGACTTCAAGTAATCTACCTGCCTTGGCCTCCCAAAGTGCTGGCATTACAGGTGTGAGCCACGGTGTCCAGCCTGGTGGTATCTCTTGATCTTCCACTTTGTAAGAGGAACGTCTTAGCACTCCTACCCTTTCCCTTAGCACCTTCTTGCTGTTATCTGTGTCTTCTCTTTTGTAAAATTGTATTCTGTCCTACAATGATTATTAAGTCATCCAGGCTGTAGATTTTTTTTTTTTTTTTTTTTTTTTTTGAGACGGAGTCTCGCTCTATCACCAGTTGGAATGCAATGGTGTGATCTTGGCTCACTGCAATCTCCACCTCCCAGGTTCAATCCTCTCCCCTCAGCCTCCTGAGTAGCTGGAATTACAGGCGTAAACCACCACTCCCAGATAATTTTTTTGTGTTTTTAGTAGAGACGGGGTTTCACCATGTTGGCCAGGCTGGTCTTGAATGTCTGACCTCGTGATCCACCCTCCTCGGCCTCCCAAAGTGCTGGAATTATAGGTGTGAGCCACCGCGCCCAGCCTATAGATTGTTTTTAAAAGCTGAGATTGTTTTGTTTAGTATGAATGTGTCTGTTACCTGCTCCATAGCTAAGTCACATAGTGTGATTTCATTCCCTTTCCTGAACAACTTTTTTCTTTTTTCCTTTCTTCCTTCCCTCTCTCTCTCCTTCCTCCCTTCCATCCCTCCTTCCCTCTCTATTTTCTTTCTTCCTTCCTTTCCTTCCTTCCTTCTTTCTTTGCTGGAGTGCAGTGGGATGATCTCGGCTCACTGCAAACTCCACTTCCTTGGGTTCAAGTGATTTTCCTGCCTCAGCTTCCCAAGTAGTTGGCACCACAGGTGTGCACCACCACGCCTGACTAATTTTGTATTTTTAGTAGAGACAGGGTTTCCCTGTGTTGGCCAGGCTGGTTTTGAACTCCTGACCTCAGGTGACCCCCCCGGCCTCAGCCTCCCAAAGTGCTAGGATCATAAGCATGAGCCACTGCATCTGGCCTGTTTTTCTTTTTTGTTACTCATTAAGCACTATTCCCCTGTGATTCATGCTGTCCAGTCTAGTCAACACTGAAAGGCAAAATATTAATGATTTTTAAAAACCAAGAGTCATTTGTTGGAAGGAACAGGGCCTATCCAAGCAAACTTATGCAAAAAGGGAGTTTATTAGAAAGACTTAGTAGTTTCAAAAGGAAGTTAGGGACAGGAAAGCTGACCAGTCTGAGGAACTGGTACCAAGAACTGAGAAGAGAAGAACTAAGCTGTCTCTATAGACGAGTGAGCACAGGACATCTGAGCACAGGCCAGCCTTACATGCTTCTCTGTGAAAAACTCCAGAGATCAGCTGGAATTCCTGATCCCAATCCAAAATGTCTAGGAGCAGATATTGACTGGCTTAGCGCAGCTGTTGGATTTGCCCCTCATGGTCAGCAGTCTACCTAGTTGTCATGGAAGGTACCTCAGAAAGTGTTTGTGATAGTGATTATTCACAAGGCAGAGGCTTGGTACACCAGGAACCAATAGAGGGGGGTTGATTTGGAAAATTAACTTCTCATTTGCTGGGGTACTTCTGGCTTTTAGACCATCTTCCCAGATTTCAGAGCCTCCTACTCAACACATAAATCTAAACCAAGCGAGACATCTCTGTTCTCCCCATTTGAACAGTGCTGGGAGGAACCAATGCAATGCTCTAACCCATGTGGCATTTTCTTCCTTTTTTTTTTTTTTAGATTAATTGGGAATCTTGGCTGCTGGAGGATTCTAGTCGAGCCGAATTGCCTGTGACAGATAAGAGTGATGACTCCTTGCCCATGGGTGTTGCCATAGACTATACGAACCAAGTGGAAGTCACAATCAGTAAGTGCAGCCTGGCACTTAGTGCAGAAATAGTCTTCTTTCCAGTTAGGGTTAATATTGAAACACATGTTAATATTAATGTATATGTTAATGACACAGTCTACTCTGCTGGGCACTTATAGCTTCTGGCAGCACATTTCTACCTGAAGAGTGATATAGGCTGCATTGTGAGAACATTGAACTGATTTGAATGGATATTCATTGATGAGAGCAAGGCCAGACACTGTGTGTATGTGTGAGTGCATGTTTGCGCGTGTCTGGGTGTACTTTAGGATCTGGCTGAAATATTGAACATCACGATTTTATGGCTTGGTTTCTTTGTCCAGTTCATTTCCCTGGCAACCTCCCAAAGAAGCAATACCTGAATCTGGCACTGCACACCAGTACTTAGTTTGAAGGCAAGGATTAGAAAAGAGAGACCTCAGGCCCATGGTTTTCAAATAAGTCCTGGATATGTATTTTGAGGAGATCTTCCCTGCAGTAGCTTGGCAATGTAGTCATTGAAATGTAAAAGTGCAACAAAAGAAACAGTCTTTGCTGTCTGGTACTTAAGTTTAGAGAGGTGTCTCTGTCAGGTACTATTAAGTTGCTTGTTCTTTCCCTGGTTAGGCAGGAGTATTTGTTCTGGTTAGCTCATTTCCTCTGATTCTCTTGAAGTCTTAATTGACAAGATATATACTTTTTATTCAGCTGTGAATGAGAATAAAGTAGTTTGACTCATCTTTCTGTGTCCAGGTTTCCATTCCAAAGAGTTTAGTATGTCATTTTTCTACTAACCCAAGTACTTCCTAGATACTCTTGTCTTGATGAGGGGAATGCCGAGCCTACATGCTGGACACTGAGATGCTCATAAAAACCGAGGGGCTTTTGGGAAAGTTGGAGCTACTGCAGAACCAATGGAGCTTCTAGGCAGGGCCCAGCAGAATGGTGGCAATCTGATAGCAGCAGGAGCTCTCTTTAAATAGCTGGTGCATGAAAGGCTGTTCAGATTTAAATCAGAACAGACTCACTTGAGCTGCAGTTCAGATGAGTTCCTTAAGCCCTCTTCTGATTGAGGGCAGTATTTGCCTTTTGGGCTCAGGCTCTTAAATTGACTTAGTTCTTTTACTGCTTTTGTTTTCTTTTTTAACAGGTGATGAAAAGACTCTTCCTCCTGCTCCAGTTCTCATGTTACTTTCAACAGATGGTGTACTCTGTCCATTTTATATGATTAATCAAAATCCTGGGGTTAAGTCTCTCATCAAAACACCAGAGCGACTCTCACTAGAAGGAGAGCGACAACCTAAGTCACCAGGTATGTGCCTCTGCCTGTTTTATCAGCAAGGGAGTACCATGGGTTTGTGCAAGAGTATTTCCAAGAATGAACATGGTGTAAAGACACATAGTGGTTATCTTTACCAGGCTGGTCTGTCTTAGGAAGGCATGCACTCATCTTTTTTTTGAACATCTATGCACAGATTTCAACCTTTATTCTGCAGCCATTACTGCAGATAAAGGAAGGTCAGCTAGATGGTTTGCATCCAGTTGTTTACCAACAGTATTCTAAGACCCTGTGTTGTGTAGTGTGCATCCAGAAGACATTGTGCTTAATCCTGGGATTGGTTACAGAAATGACTGTATAGTCTTACAGTGAAATGCCATGTAACAACTATATATGTTAGATTTATTGACAGGGAAGGAGTGAGTGGAGTACATCACAAAAAACACCATATTCTGTGTGATCCTTTTTTATATGAGAAAAAAATATACATGGTAAAAAACTTAGAGATGGATTTAAAATCTAAATGGTGTTTATTTCTGTGTGGTGGGAACACGGGGATTTTTGTTGTTTATATTTTATTTTCTTGAGTTTTTTTCCTCCTTTTTGAAAACATTGCTTAAGTAATAGATGTTTGTTGGAGGAAAATGAAAACATACAAAACCGTAATCACTTAAAGCCCATCAGTCATCAAGCAGTGGTCACAGTCAACGTTTTGGTACCTATCCTCCATGAAAATGAATGCACACATATAAATACTAGTCTGTATTTTAAAAATTTTTTCAGTGACATTTGTATCACTTGTGCAAAGAAACTTTTTTTTTTTTTTTTAGACAGGGTCTTACTCTGTTGCCTAGGTCGAGGTGCAGTGGCATGACCACAGCTGTCTGTAGCCTTAATCTCCCAGGCTCAGGCAATACCACCTAAGCCTCCCAAGCAGCTGGGACTACAGGCATGCTGCTTTTGAAATGTTTTGTAGAGATGGGGTTTTACTGTGTTGCACAGGCTGGTCACAAATACCTGGGCTCAAATGATCCTCCTGCCTAGGCTTCCCAAAGTGCTGGGATTATAGGCATGATACACTGCGCATGACCAGAAGATATAAAACTTTTAAAAAGGGCATTGTTTCATATATTGGAATTTGACTAATATTTCTCTTTTTAAACTTATGAGTATATAACTAATAAATTTATTTTTCTATTATGACCAGTTTCTTACCTAAGCAAAAATGTATGACCAGTTGGTTTGGATAAGGTTAACAATACTTAGGGGTGCACAGGAAGCACTGCTTCCCTGTGCAAAGTGAGTTGTTTTTCACAAATAGAGCCACTCAGGTACTTGGGCCCTAGCAACTGGCAGCAGTACCCCAAGTAATATACCAGATGGCTTGCAGAGTGTTGTATCAGGGTAGTCCATTATTCATAGTGTGTATACTCTTTGTGTTGGTTTTTTCTTACCTCCTCATTCAGCCATGACCTACCTATACCCAGGTGTCTGTTCTGTCTATAAGCATGACCTACCTATACCCAGGTGTCTGTTCTGTCTATAAGCAGAGCAGCCTATGAGATTGGGAGCCTGTGGGACGAAGTCTGTTTCTGAGTCTTTGCTACTAGCCCATTCAACACTGGAGCACAACCAGAAGCCAGTTTTATTGTTAGCCTTTCCTAGAGAAACTCTCCTCTTCCTTCATAGTTGGTCCAGAGGTAATAGTTGTGTTCAGGTGAGTAGAAGAGAGCCCTGAGGGGAGAAAGTCTGTCCCGTCAGCTAAGTCTACTAAAGCCTTTACATCTAGCTAAAGCCTACTTCATGAGTTCAGAAGACATGAATGGTTCCATCCATCTCTACACTGCAGATCCAAGGATGCTGTATTGATCAGAAGTAGTAGTAGCATGATGGTTTTCCAATAATCAGTTCTGTTTTCAGTGGAAAAAATGCTTATGATTTCTTTAGGGTCTTGTATATATTTTTCATGTCAGTTTACCTTATAGGCATGAAAGTTTAACATCTATATGTGTCTTTACAGAAGTAGTTGTTGCTGGTTCCATATCTATTGTATAAAGAAGTATTAACAATAGGTTTGCTTGCATTACACTTTAATCAAACTGACAGTTTATTTGGATTTTGGTTTTCAGAAAGTGGTATTTTCATACTTGCATCCTAAGTATTACATTGCTTTAGATATGGTGTCTTCCATGAAGATAAACTGCCATCTTAGCTAATTTGGAACAACCAAGACCTATTAATGTAAACAGAAAATATTGACACAAAGTATTCCTTTCTTATTTAGTTGATTATTTAATTTAAAGATTAATATTTTTACCTTGTGGAAAGTTTGGAAAATAGAAAAATTTACTCATTTTTGAGATAGGGGTCTCACTCTGTTGCCCAGGCTGGAGTATATTGCCAGGATCTTGGCTCACTGCAGCCTCTGCCTCCTAAATCTAAGTGATCCTCCCACCTCAGCCTCCCAAGTAGCTGGGACTCTAGGCACCGGCCATGATACCTGGCTGATTTTGTGTATTTTTTGTAGCAACAGGGTCTCACTTTGTTCCCCAGGCTGGTCTCAAACTCCTGGACTCAAAGGGTCCTCCTGCTTTGGCCTCCCAAAGCTCTAGGATTAGAGGCATGAGCCACTGCGCCTAGTCTTTCACTGAATTTTTTTTTTTAACCATTTGGATTCCATTAAATATCTTTTTCATTTTTTGGTTTATTTTCGTAAGCTTTGTTTTTAGAAGAGGAGTTACTGGGTCTGTTTTTTATGGTTTTTGATACAATGCCAAAATGTTTTCTTAAAAAAAAAATACTAGTTACAGGGCCAGCATGGTGGCTCACATCTGTAATCTCAGCACTTTGGGAAGCCAGGGCAGGTGGATCACCTGAGGTCGGGAGTTCAAGACCAGCCTGACCAACATGGTGAAACCCCATCTTTACTAAAAATACAAAAAATTGGCTGGGCGTGGTGGCAGGCGCCTGTAATCCCAGCTACTTGGGAGCCTGAGGTAGGAGAATCACTTGAACCCGGGAGGCAGGGGTTCCAATGAGCCAAGATCGTGCCATTGCATTCCATCCTAGACAACAAGAGCAAAACTCCATCTCAGAAAAAAAAAAAAAAAAGAAAAATACTAGTTACCTACTAGTGATAAAAAGTTTCAGGTTTGTTTTATCCATTCAAACATAAGGGGTTATACATGTTTAAATTCTTATAATTTAGAGGACCATTAAAAATGTACCTTGTTTATATTTCTTTGATTAGAGATTGAATGTATTTACTTTTTCTTTTTTCATTTTTTCTTTCCTTTTTTTTTTTTGAGACAGAGTCTTCCTCTGTCGCCCAGGCTGGAGTGCAGTGGTGTGATCTCTGCTCACTGCAACCTCTGCCTCCCGGATTCAAGCAATTCTCCTGCCTCAGCCTCCTGAGTAGCTGGAATTACAGGTGTACACCAACATGCCTGGCCAACTTTTGTATTTTTAGTAGAGACGGGGTTTCACCATATTGGTCAGGCTGGTCTCGATCTCCTGACCTGGTAATCCATCTGCCTCAGCCTCCCAATGTGCCGAGACTACAGGCGTGAGCCACCATGCCCAGCCGGCAAATGTATTATCATTATGTGAATTAGGTTCGCTGTTTATCAGTCCTGAAATTTTAAAATCTCTATTTGTATGAGCTTTTTAAAAAATAGAAAACGTCTTATTTGTCATTTGCTATGGGTCTTTTTTTTTTTTTTTTTTTGAGATGGAGTTTCACTCTTGTTACCCAGGCTAGAGTGCAATGGCACGATCTCGGCTCACCACAACCTTTGCCTCCTGGGTTCAGGCAATTCTCCTGCCTCAGCCTCCTGAGTAGCTTGGACTACAGGCACGCGTCACCATGCCCAGCTAATTTTTTGTATTTTTAGTAGAGACAGGGTTTCACCATGTTGACCAGGATGGTCTCGATCTGTTGACCTCGTGATCCACCCGCCTCGGCCTCCCAAAGTGCTGGGATTACAGGCTTGAGCAACCACGCCTGGCCCGCTATGGGTCTTTTTAGTTCATTACAATTTAGTTATTATACCTGAGTAATTATTTTTTTACACAAATCTTAACGTTCTCGTGATTTTTTTTTTTTCCTTTTTGGTCACTTCTAAATTTATCAAGGTGTTAGACTCTGAGACCTAACACCTATCCATATACCTCCTTTTTTTTTGAGATATATATATGTGCCTTTCTGTGTGTATTTATCTGGAATTACTTTTAATGAAATAAGTTGGAGGTCTGAATTGAAACTTTTTCCTGGTTGTTAATGAAATGTGGCAGTGACTGACTGTTTTGTGTGCCATAGTAGCACTGAGAAGTCCATGAAGTCCAATTATTCTAATGTCTTTCCTTAGTTTTCCTTCAGTTTCATTTATCTCATGCTACATGAAAACTTCAATATTAACTGTGTTCCCATCTATTCTTTTTGCTTCTTAAACTAGTATCATTCTGGCTTCATTCTACCACACATTCTTTTTCACTTGCTTTCCCTTATGTGAACCTCCACTCTTACAGTGTTAACCTTTTCCTTTTTTTTTTTTTTGTCACTGCAGGAAGTACGCCCACTACCCCGACCTCCCCTCAAGCCCCACAGAAACTGGATGCTTCTGCAGCTACAGCCCCTGCCTCTCTGCCACCATCATCACCTGCTGCTCCCCTTGCCACTTTTTCTTTGCTTCCTGCTGGTGGGGCTCCCACTGTGTTCTCCTTTGGTTCTTCATCTTTGAAGTCAGCTGCTACAGTCACTGGGGAGCCCCCTTCATATTCCAGTGGCTCAGACAGCTCTAAAGCAGCCCTGGGCCCTGGCCCATCAACTTTTTCTTTTGTTCCCCCTTCTAAAGCCTCCCTAGCCCTCACCCCTGCAGCGTCTCCCATGGCTCCATCAGCTGCTTCATTCTCCTTTGGATCATCTGGTTTTAAGCCTACCCTGGAAAGCACACCAATGCCAAGTGTGTCTGCTCCAAATGTAGCAGTGAAGCCCTCCTTCTCACCCTCAGCAGTCAAAGTCAACCTTAGTGAAAAGTAAGTCATTTCTAAAGTTTGATTCTTCTGTGGGATGGGTAGAAATATTGCATGTTATTTGCTAGACGTAGAGTCACTGTGAGAGGAGTTACTGAGTAGAATTTTTTACCCAGAGTAATACTTTCAAGTGGTAGAAATTCAGCCAACATAAAAAGCTGGCATTTCATCAGTGGATAGAGTCCAGAAGGGTCTCTTAGCTAGCATTTTGTTTTTTTGACTATTAGGGATTTATATTCAAATATTTGTGGTTTTTTTTACATTACAAAGGTAGGAAATATTCCTTATTTTAAAAAAAGAAACAATCAAGAATATATATCCTAGAAGGAAATTAATCCCTTGTAGACTTCCCCCCCAACCCGTGTCCACCCTTAATTCTCAAATGTCTACATAGCCACAAAGTGATCTTGCGACATCGTAAATTGTTAGGTGATTCTTCTGCTTGACAGTCCCTGTGAAGCCCCATGGCTGCTCACTGCTAATTATTAGGTTGGTATCCAATTTCCTCCAGATCTAAGTCCTACAGCTCACTCATTTCTTATTTATTTACTTCTTTATCTGCTTGTTCTTTTCTCCCCACTAGAATGTAAGCTTTTCAAAGGAAGCAATCCCTTATATTTTGTAACCCCTCCCAAGATAACCACTGGTTATAGATACTACCAGCCTTTCCCTGCTTGCCTGTACTCTCTGTTGTTGCTGTGGTGGTGCTGCCACTGTCAGCTACTGTTAATATTTATCCGGCAGGCAGCCGCTTCATGCTAAGGGTTGCATAGTGTTCTGTTTTGTTGGCTGCACCACAGTTTATCTGACCAGTCATCTAATGCTGGATGTTTAGATTGTCTACAGACTTTTGCTCTTTAGGTGGAACTGGCTTTACATTCCCTTTAGGCCATGAGTATCCCAAAGACAGTGACTTGCGTTTCTCTTCCTTTTTCACTTCCAGAAAAGGTGGTCACTCTCAAAACGAGTTCTTAGTAATTTCCTTGGTAAGAAAAAGTACTAACTCCAGGAGGCTGAGGCAGGAGAATTGCCTGAACCCAGGAGGCCGAGGTTGCGGTGAGCCGAGATCGCGCCATTGCACTCCATCCTGGGTAACAAGAGCAAAACTCCGTCTCAAAAAAAAAAAAAGAAAGAAAAGAAAAAGTACTGACTCCCCTAAGCGTAATTGGGTCCCACCTCCTGTTTAAAACTCAGCTGGACACAATAATATTTCATATCCTGATAAACTTGGTATTTTATATTGTGATAAACTTAGTTTTGTCTTTAAGTATTTGATATTTCCCCTAAATAACACATCCTAAATAAGCAGACGATAAGATAAATGCTTCCTTGCAGCTTTCACCTTTTGTAAGAAATAGCTAAACATTTATGTTTTCTGAAGGCACAAAAGTTTATAATCTTTGTAAGTTAACATAAAAGAAAATAAGTTATCTTCTGATGACATTGCTCATGCTAGTTTGGAAGAATCTTCTAGCAAGCTCTTCTGAGGCCTTCTGGCTGCCGTTTTTCAGGTTTACTGCCACACCTTCCTCTGCTCCTGTTAGTAGCTCCCAGAGCACACCCTCGATGCCGCCATTCTCTTCTGCCTCCAAGCCAACTGCTTCTGGACCACTCAACCACCCCACGCCTCTCTCAGCATCATCCAGTTCCGTGTCATTGAAGTCCTCAGTCTTGCCTTCAACATCAGGTCTGATTTTAAGCAAACAACTTCAGACCTTAGCCCTGCCTTCTCAGATTAATGGTTTTAAGTGTTAAGAGTCCTAACTAACAGTTGGACAGGGTTTTTTTTTCTTGCTTCCTGTATCTTACATAAGTGATAAATGTGCTGTGCTTTTCGTACTCTGAATTGGGAGACTTGCTATGGCTTTAATGCTGCCACACTTCTCTCTGACACTTCTTATGGAGCTAAGTGTACTTAATGATTCAAAGAAAATGTCTTACTGTTGAGCATTTATCTTCATGTGGAGCCTGCACTTTGTGAAGCACAGTTACAGAACAGTTGTTTAAGAAGCACAGGCACAAGAATTATTTGGCCAGGTACAACAGCACATGCCTGTAATCCCAGCACTTTGGGAGGCTGAGGCGGGTGGTTTCCCAGAGGTTGGAGTTCAAGATCAGCCTGGCCAACATGGTGAAACCCCATCTCTACTCAAAATACAAAAATCAGCCAGGTGTGGTGGTGGGTGCCTGTAATCCCAGCTACTCAGGAGGCTGAGGCAGGAGAATTGCTTGAACCCAGGAGGTGGAGATTCCAGTGAGCCAAGATCGCACCCCTGCATTCCAGTGTGGGCTACAGAGCAGGACTCCATCTCAAAAAAAAAAAGACTCACAGAAGAGAGAGTGCCTGCAGCAACTGTATTCGTATTTTCAGTTAGTCATACTATAAGCAGGAAGTGTTTTGGCTTTTGTTTTGTTTTGTTTTGAGACAGATTGTCTGTCACCCAGGCTGTAGTGCAGTGGAATGCTCCAGACTCACCACAGCCTCTACCTCCTGGGCTCAAGCAGTCCTCCCACCTCAGCCTCCTGAGTAGCTGGGACTACAGGCATGTACCACCACCGCTGGCTAATTTTTAAATTTTTTTATAGAGACAAGGTCTTGCCATATTGCTGAGGCTGGTCTCAAACTCCTAGGCTCAAGCAATCCTCCTGTCTCAGCCTCCCAAAGGGCTAGGATTACAGGTGTGAGCCACCATACCTGGCTCCTAAAATGTTCATATTTTGTTTTTTTTCATTATCTTAGAACAGAGACTAGCACAGCTGGTGGACATCACTTTTTAAAATAAATCATAAAAGTGGGGCCAGGGGCAATGTGTAACTTAATTCCTTTGATTTAGAGAAGGGACATTTGTTATGGGAAAAAAGTAATAAATGCTGTCTGTTTTAACTGACTTCTTTTTCAAGCAGGACGATCTGCTCAGGGCATTCCAAGCCCAGTGTCCTCAATGGTACAGAAATCGCCCAGGATGGCCCCTCCAGTGGCAAAGTCAGGCTCTCCCCAGGTATGTTTAAATTCAGCTTGCAAGGTTTGTATTTATTTATTTATTTATTATTTTTTGAGAAGGAGTCTCGCTTCTTCACCTAGGCTGGAATGCAGTGACGCAATCTCAGCTCACTGCAAACTCTGCCTCCCGGGTTCAAGTGATTTTCTGCCTTAGCCTCCCAAGTAGCTGGGATTACAGGTGCCTGCCACCACACCTGATTAATTTTTGTATTTTAGTAGAGATGGGGTTTCACCATCTTGGCCAGGCTGGTTTGTCTTCAACTCCTGACCCCGTGATCCACTCGCCTCAGCCTCCCAAAGTGCTGGGATTACAGGCGTGAGCCACCGCGCCTGGCCTTATTTGTGTTTATTAATTTACTGCCCCAAGCATACATATAAATTTAATGAGTTTTTATGTTTTAGAATTCAGACCTTGGAGGTAGTAACTGGGACTATGTAGTAGTAAATACCAAAGTGTGAGATTTGAATACTTGTATACTCATAAAAGCCATTTATCTATTTTAATTTTTTATTGATGTGTAATACACATAGAAAAAAATACACATGGTATGTGTACAGCTCAGTGAATTGTCACCATCTGAACATACCTCGGTAACTAGCATCCAGATCAAGAAACAGAAATTTTTGAGAACCTGACTGGGTGCAGTGGCTCACGCCTGTAATCCCAGCACTTTGGGAGGCCGAGGCAGGTGGATCACCTGAGGCCAGGAGTTTCAGACCAGCCTGGTCAACATGGTGAAACCCCATCTCTACTAAAAATGCAAAAAATTGCCAGGTATGGTGGCATACACCTGTAGTCCCAGCCCCTCAGGAGATTGAGGAGGAGAATCACTTGAACTCGGTTGGCAGAGGTCAGAACCTGAGTTCTTTTTCGCCTGTACTCTTTTCGTTACTACTCTTGACAAAGAGTAGCTGCTTTTTTGATTTCCAACAGCATAGATGAGGTTAGCTTGCCTGTACCTTCTATCAAGTGGAATTGTACAGAATGCATTCTTGTATCTGGCTGATGCATTCTTGTATCTGGCTGCTTTGTTCAACATTATGAGATTTATCCATGTCATTGTATGGAATTTACTGTGTGATTATATTACAAGTATTTGTTCTACTCTGACAGGCATTTGAGTAATTTCCAGGTTTAAGCCATTGTATGTAGTACTGCTGTGACCATTCCGATTGATGTCTTCAATGAACACATGTACAGGTTTCTCTTGGGTGTATCCCTATGAGTGAGATTGCTGGGTCATAGACTCTGCATGTATTCCTCGTTAGTAGATTCCCACCAAGAGCGTATGAGACTTCTGGCTGCTCCACATCTTTGCCTCTCTTGGTATTTTTCATCTTTTGTTGTTGTATTGTTTTGTGGTTTTAATTTGTATTTCTCTAATGATTAGCAAAATTGAGCTTTTTACCATAGTATTATTGGCCATTTGCATATTTTATGTTGTATCTGTTCATGTCTTTATTCTATTCTTCTATTGGATTGTCTTTTTCCTTCTGATTTTTAAGTTAGTTCCTTGAATACACACACACATACACGCACATACAGTGCAAATACATTCTCACTGTGAATTGCCTGTTCGTTGTCTTTTTGGTTTCTTCGATGAATACTTGTTCTTCATTCTAATGTAGTTGAGTAGATCAGTTTTTTTCTTTTATGCTGAATGCTTTTCATGTTTTGTTTTAGAAATCATTTTCTATTTCAAGGTCAAAAAGATGTTTTTCCTTAAAGCTTTATTTTATCTTTCATATTTAGATTTGTAGTCCGTCATCTCAGTTTATTTTTATGGTGTAATATAAAGAGAATTGTGTTCCCCACATGCTTACTTGAGTGCCCTGGGAACAAGAGTTATGTCTTTTTCTTCCGTGTTCCCCTAACCAACCCTTCTCCTACCCTGACACATACCTGTACTGGATACATAGTAAGTGCCCAGGTCACAGTTCACACTGTGGCATGATGCATGACACACAGTGTTTGCCAAATAAATGTTTGCTATTAATGAATGCTGATGTGGTCTAAGACCTCTCTAATGTTAATCGTTGTAAGTAGCAAATAGTCTAAAGGCATCTCAAATTATAGCATCTTTAAAGCAGAACTCTTGATTTCTGTCTCCCCAGAGGCTAGTCCTTTTCCAGTGAGTAAATAGCACTAACAAACCAGATGTTTGCACAAGCTCCACGCCCAGAAGCATCCTAGATCCCTCTTTTCACAGTATGTGTCCCCAGTCCAGGCTGGCAGGAGTCTTGTCACCTCCACCCTCTGCTGTGTCACATGTCATAAGCCCACAGCCCTGTCCCCTTGCTAGCATCCTGTGTCAAGCTATTGCCACCTCTCACCTTTTTAACCTCTCGACTAATCTCACTGCTATGCCTGCTCTAGATAGCAGTAAGCGGGATCTTTGAAATCATAAAGGAGATTTAAACTCTCCTAAAACACCAGTAGTAGCTTTCTAACACCTTTAGAATAGAATCTGAACTCCTCGGTGTGACCTGACTCACCTACCCCTGCCTGCCTTCCTGACTCTACCCCTGCCCTCTCCAGTGCCTCCCCTGACTTCACAGAGCCCATGTTTACTTTTTTCTTTGCCAAGGTGTACCAAGGTTTCTCCTGCCTCGAGATATCTCTGTGCTTGACTTTCTTGCTGCCTGGCAGGTGCCTCCTGCAGATCCCATAGCTTCTTTCTGCTTGCAGCCTCAGTTCAGATGGCAGCCCACAGTGAGGGCTTTCTTGGCCATCTCTTCTGAAGTAGTGCCCTCTTTTATTCTCTGTGTTTTCCTGTTTGTTCTCCAACTGAAATTATCAGATATGTTTACATTGTATTATTCAGCATGTCCCAGTAGGAGGTAAGTTCAATGAGATTTGGGCCCTCATCTGCTTGTTCACCTCTACTTGCATTTTCTAGAATATGCCTTACACAAAGTAGAGACCCTATAAATAAGGGTTTGGAGGAATGAGTAAAGAAACAATGACTGTGTTACAGGAGCGCCACTCCCTGTGATAGGCACTGATGTGATTGCTTATAGAAGCCATGGCTTGTAGTATGGGATCAATTTTTAAACCTTTTGCCTTCCATTTCAGCCAAAGTCACTTCAGCCTGCTGTTGCAGAAAAGCAGGGACATCAGTGGAAAGATGCAGATCCTGTGATGGCTGGAATTGGGGAGGAGGTAAATTTGTTTCTTGAGGGCTTTTTTCTGGAAGTAGCTGACAGACTTGGATGAGTCAGAGTGCCAACTCCTAAATGTCTAGTTCATTCTAATGTTGAAGCCTGGCCTATCCCAGCAGTTTGAGCAGTTAATAAGCACAGTAGCAATGACATTACTGTTTGTCATTCAGACTGAGTAGTTCCTCATTTGTGGCTTCTACAGATTGCACACTTTCAGAAGGAGTTGGAAGAGTTAAAAGCCCGAACTTCCAAAGCCTGTTTCCAAGTGGGCACTTCTGAGGAGATGAAGATGCTGCGAACAGAATCAGATGACTTGTACACCTTTCTTTTGGAGATTAAAGAGACCACAGAGGTTTGTGTTTATGGATACTTTTCCTGAGTTGAATTGCATTTAAAAATGTTTTCTCCTACAACTCCATGGGTGTATATACTTTGTTTCTTCAAGGACTCCCAGTCCACAACCAGTGTTGTTTTTTTCGCATGGCTGAGTAGTTTTCCTAGAATCCCTGAGTTCAGATCCTACCTTCAGCACTTAATAAATTATGTGACTTTGGACAAGTTAATCTAGTTAACTCTGTTTCTCAGTTTTCTCATCTATAAGATGGAGTAAGTTTCTACCTCTTTGAAACATACCACATACTATGTACTCCATAAAGTTTATTATAGTTGTTAATTTGGTGTATTTGAAATTTTACTATCTATCTTTCATAGTGTTAGATTTTTAAAAAGCAGGGTATTTTAGAACATACACAGTATGAAAATATTAAATGTTTGGTGTTAATAGTGTTAATTATTGTTACTGTTGTTATTTCTTACTGTATGCCAGGCACTGTGACAAACACATCACTTGCATTATCTCACTGAATCCTCACAACTTTCCTGTGTCATATATACTGTTAACCTCTCTGTTTTGCAAGTCAGAAAACTGAGGCTTAGGTAAATTTGTCAAAAGTCACCCACTTTGCAAGTGGTAGTGCCAGCATTCTGTTTCAGACAGTCTGGTTCCAGAGTTCCAGTGTTAAATAGCATGTTTGGAAAGAGGAAAGTTCTTTAGAGTATTAGCAGTAATTATCTTCACATAATAGTATTGTAGCTACTGTCCATGGTTTTGTGTTTTCCACATTTTCAGTATTTAGCATGTAGTTTTTTTTAATGGGGATGAAAAATAAATGTTTAAAAAAAGTGTCTTTCTAAGCAGTTAAATTCTTTTTTTACATGACTTAAATATATTCAGAGGTTCATTGTGTTCAGTGTTTGAGAAACACCACCTTCCTTGATCTAAACAGAGAGTTTTGAACTTACAACTTTTTGTATCAACACACTATTGTACTTTTTCTAGTCGCTTCATGGAGATATAAGTAGCCTGAAAACAACTTTACTTGAGGGCTTTGCTGGTGTTGAGGAAGCCAGAGAACAAAATGAAAGAAATCGTGACTCTGGATATCTCCATTTGCTTTATAAAAGACCACTGGATCCCAAGAGCGAAGCTCAGCTTCAGGTAGGAGATCTATGTAAATCTATTTAAAAGATTTAAAAACAAACTCATGTAACAATAGCTATCTTTTCTGTGTATAGATTTGGATGATGGCTCTTTATGAAATTGTTAATTTTCTGCTTATAATTTACCACACTTCCCGTAAACCTCCTTAACTGTGGCTAAGAAAACGATATACTTCATGTAATTATGTAATTTTTTTAATACTTTTTTTTTTTTTTTTTTTTGAGACAGGGTCTTCTGTTGCCCATGCTGGAGTGCAGTGGCATGATCTTGGCTCACTGCAGCCTCTGCCTCCTGGGTTCATGCAGTTCTTCCTGCCTTAGACTCCCAAGTAGCTGGGATTACAGGCATGCACCACCACTATGCCCAACTAGTTTTTTTCTTTTCTTTTTAAAATTTTATTTATTTAGTTTTCTTCTTCTGCCCTCCCCCACTGCCACCCACTTTATTTTATTTTATTTTTTTGGAGACAGGGTCTCACTATGTTGCCCAGGCTAGAGTGCGGTGGCGCCATCTCGGCTCACTGCAACCTCCACCTCCCACATTCAAGTGATTCTTGCGCCTCAGCCTCTGGAGTAGCTGGGGATTACAGGTGTGGGCCACCACATCCAGTTAATTTTTTTATTTTTAGTAGAGATGGCCTTTCACCGTGTTGGCTAGACTGGTCTCGAACTCCTGGCCTCAGTGATCCACCCATCCTGGCTACCCAAAGTGCTGGGATTATAGCCACCATGTCCCGCCTGTTTTTTTGTTTTGAGACAGAGTCTTGCTCTGTTGCCTAGGCTATAGTGCAATCTCAGCCCACTGCAACCTCTGCCTCCTGTGTCCAGGTGGTTCTCATGCCTCAGCCTCCCAAGTACCTGGGATTACAGGCATATGTCACCACACCCAGCTGATTTTTGTATTTTTAGTCAAGATGGGGTTTCACCATGTTGGCCAGGCTAATCTCGAACGCCTGACCTCACGTGATCCACCCACCTCAGGTTCCCAAAGTGCTGAGATTATAGGCCTGAGCCACCATGCCCAGCAACCTGGCCTGTTTTTAATTTTTGAGAATCAAGTTAACCATGAAGGTTAGCAGTCACCCAAAATATAAATAAAATTATTCCAGGCCTATAATAAGTTAAATAGCTAACATGTTAAATAATGCTAGATTCAGTTGTTAGTGCTGATACTGTTTTTTGCTTTTGCGAACAAATGAGTATTTCTCAACTTGGGAAGATGACTTACATGTTCTCTGCTGTGAATAGAAAAGTTTAGAATTACTTTCAGCACTGTTTTGTCTTTTACAGTTAATTTTATGGATGGGAGAGCAAAAACTAAATGGATGCACTGTCTGAGTACCAGAATGGAATGGAAAATTCCCTGACCATGTTGAGATACTTCATAGGAGCTGAGAAAAAAATGAGAATTAATCAAGAACATTTGTTCCCTGGGGGCCTAGGCAGACACACCCATTCTGTTTCCCTTTGCATCGTACCACTTCTCTGCCACCTCTGCCTCCCAGGTTCAAGCGATTCTCATGCTCCAGCTTCGCAAGTAGCTGGGATTACATGCTCCTACCACCCCGTCCATCTTATTTTTGTATTTTTAGTAGAGACAGTATTTCACCATGTTAGCCAGGCTGGTCTCAAACTCCTGACCTCAAATGATCTGCCTGCCTTGGCCTCCCAAAGTGCTGGGATTACAGGTATGAGCCACTGCACCCAGCCAATTTTGTTTTTTATTTTAAAGTATTTTTATGTAACTTTTTTTTTTTTTTTTTTGCATTATTAGAGACAGAGTCTCGCTTTGTTGCCCAGGCTGATCTTGAACTCCTAGCTTCAAGCAGTCCACCTGCCTTGGCCTCCCAGAGTGTCGGGATTATAGGTATAAACCACTGCACCCGGCCTCATTTTAATTATACAGTTTTAATGATCATATTAAAACCTATTCTGTTTTCCTTGTTTATTATGGTTCTTAATATAGAAGAATTTTAGAATTATTTTGTTTTGATACATCTTCCCCAAACTATCAGAAAAGCAAGTCATTTGCCTTTTAATTTTTTTCTCATAGGAAATTCGGCGCCTTCATCAGTATGTAAAATTTGCTGTCCAAGATGTGAGTGATGTTCTAGACTTGGAGTGGGATCGGCATCTGGAACAAAAGAAAAAACAAAGGCGAGTGAGATCTCTCATCTGCAGTGGGTTGGAGTAGATATTGCTATGGCCATTTTACAAAGGTGATTTAGGAACATGTGAAAATCCCTGCAAACGTTCATTCTTTTTGACCTAGTCATTCTACTTCTAGAAATATTTTTCTACGGAAACAACAAATGATGCTCACAATAATTACATAAAAGAATTTATATATTGCAGCATATAAATATAAACTATATAAAGTATAATTTATGATAGTGAAAATTTGCATTCAACCTAATTATCTTAAGGTACAGGAGTGGCTAAATATGGTCACTTTCTTTTTCTTAATTACAGAATACCCTGTAACCATTGACTAGCATGTTCTCCAAGAAATTATTTAATATATTAAATATATTTCTTATCTTCTATAAAATGTATAGAATATATAATTATTTCACTGTAATTATTAGATGTAATATAAAAATAAGTAAAAAGGCAAAAGCATATTGGCTAATAACAATGTGGAGGTACAAAAGTAAATAGATGTATCAAAATATTTATAGTCATATCTGCAAAATGGGATTAAGGAAAATTTTCCTTCATATGCTTCTGTATATTCCAAATTTTGTTTTTGAGAAAATATTTGTAATTAGTGTGGATAGTTAAAAGGATGAGAGGAATGATGGCAAAGGAATGCATAAACCTTTTAGCATAGTTTTTATCCCTAGATATTTGGTTTTATGCCACGTATTTTCCACAAGGAATAGAATGCAGTGTACCGAGAGAACATGAAGTGCCCATTAGAAATGTGAAAAACAGATCAGCCCTGAAATGTTAGATTTTTGAAACACCTACACTTAATTAATAGATTAGTTAGCCCAGTGTGAAAACAAACCAAGAAATGGTATATTTGATGTACTTTCAGTGGGACAACCTGGGTGTGACATCAGGGACAGGACTAGAATACGCTTATAATTTAGTAAGCTGAATTCAGTAAGTTACATTTTGTGGAGAAAGGCTAGAAATCCCAACTGGAGGACCCTCAGCTTGGAGCATAGATAGGTGTGAGGAGATAGAAGTGAGAAGCTCTTCTCCCCCACTATCTAAGGGGAGGATTCTGTGGACTGGAGCACTTGTCTCCATGGGCAGTGGGGCCCCATTAGAGAACCAGCTCACACACTTAGTTCTGATTCATGTTCAACCATATGGTTTGCTTTCCTACAAGGGAAATAATGGCCTAACCTGACAGTGGGAACATTCTGCTCTGCTCGATGGTTATATTTCTCTTTGGTAATTAACAAATTAACCTTGTAAGAAAGTGCATGATGCTAAAAGAGAAGCCAGTCTTTTTTTTTTTCCCCCCCTTTATAACAATTCTGTGGATTTACTATTTAGGCTTTTCTGAGTTCCCTTTCCGTATAGTTCAAGTTCTTAAATCTGTACAATTTTCTATTTTGATAGCACTTCTCTGTTTTCTAAGAAGTACCTATTGAAATGCCTTTTTTTTTTTTGGGATGGGGTCTCACTCTCTCGCCCAGGCTGGAGTTCAGTGGCACGATCTCAGCTCGCTGCAACCTCTGCCTCCTGGGTTCAAGTGATACTCCTGCCTCAGCCTCCTGAGTAGCTGGGATTACAGGCATGTGCCACCATGCCAAGCTAGTTTTTGTATTTTTAGTAGAGATGGGTTTCACCATGTTGGGCAGGCTGGTCTTGAACTCCTGACCTCATGATCTGCCTGCCTCAGCCTCCCAAAGTGCTGGGATTACAGGCATGAGCCACTGCGCCTGGCCTGAAATGCCTTTTAAAAATTGTATGTTGAACTACATTGTTACTGGAGGCAGTCACTCAGTCAACCCTGAACTCAAAGAGATAATGGGAAAAGATGAAATAAATCCAGAGGTTTCTCTTTAGCAAGCATTTTTCATTCCATGATTTGTGTGAAGAGGCAGAATATACATAGAATCACTTGTTGCTTAAGGTGTGTTCTGAGAAGTTCATTGTTAGGCGATTTTGTCATCCTATGAACATCATAGAATGTACTTACGCAAACCTAGATGGCATAGCCTATTACACCTAAGTTATATGGTGTATAGCCTGTTGCTCCTAGGCTACAATCCTGTACAGCAAGCTTGTCCAACCCATGGCCCATAGTACAGCTTTGAATGCAGCCCAACACAAATTAATAAACTTTCTTAAAACATTATGAGATTTTTTGCAATTTTTTTAAACTCTTCATCAGCATTAGTAGATTTTATATAGCCCAAGACCATTCTTCTTCCAGTGTGGCCCAGGGAAGCCATGAGATTAGACACCCCTGCTATATAGCATGGTTTTATACTGAATACTACAGACAATTGTAGCACAAATTACTAGGCAATAGGAATTCAGCTCTACTGTAATCTTACAGGATCATTGTTGTATATGTAGTCCATCACTGACCAAAATGTCATTATGTGGCACATGACTGTATTGACATACCCTAGCAAAGCAAATTTGGTTTGTAATTGGTGTGGGATTATTCCTTTTGTTTTTATTTGTATAATTTTTCCTATTCCCTCTGCAAATTAATGTAGTAGAAGAAAATTTCAGAGCAACTTTATTTCTAGTGAAAAGCGGAAGCAAATAGACCTGTTCCCCTCTATAGTCAGATCTACTTCACAGAGGCAGCTCCTGTTGTCCCTGTCTTGTTTTAGTTCTTAGGGGCAGGTTACCTCCCTGATACTAAATCTTGTGCTGTCCCACTATTTCTTGACAATAGTCTGAAGAATTAACTAACTCCTGTAGACTTTCAGTGAACCTGTTTTTTTCTTTTTAATTGAATATAATTGACAGTCAGAAAAACAGACAAATTCTAAGTAGAAAGCTGACTGGCCTTTCCCCTGTTGCTGACTCACACCTCATTCCTTCCCTTTTCTTCCTAGAGTCTCTTTCAGATTTCACCTAATTTATACTGTCCTTTGCTATAAGCCTGGCCTGCCTGTTTCCAGCTGTTTTCTCCACATTCCTTTTTATCTTCATTAGGCTTTTATCTCTTTTTTATTTTCTAGTAATTTCTTGATGGTTCATGTCTACTCTTGGTTCTCCATTTTCATTTTCACTGTTACCATTGTAGTCTTTTGTTTGTTTGTTTGTTTTAGCGGGAGATTGCTTTACTTGAACATTCGTGTTTAATTCTTTTCCATGGTTGTCAACAGGCACCTACTTGTGCCAGAGCGAGAGACACTGTTTAACACCCTAGCCAACAACCGGGAAATCATCAATCAACAGAGGAAGAGGCTGAATCACCTTGTGGACAGTCTTCAGCAGCTCCGCCTTTACAACCAGACTTCCCCATGGAGCTTGCCCTCGGCTGTGCCTTCCCAGAGCAGCATTCATAGGTGTGGAGAGAACTTGCACTCGATAAATATGGGTGAATGAATGCATGAACAGATATTTAGGGGAGTAGTCTTAGAGTCATTCAGATGTAGGTTTGCAAGTGACTCTGCTGAATCTCACCTTGTGATCCTGGTCAGGGTCTCACCCTCTCCGATCTTTTATTTCTTTGCCTAAAAAATGGGGATGACAATACCTGCTTCATGGGATTGTTGGAGAGTTAAATTAAGTCTATAAAGTATTACACTGATGAAATGGCTGCTGAATAGATGATAGCAAGTGAGATACCATAGTAATAGTGTCATGGTTTGATTGAAAATCAACTGATAGGATTAAGTTGTCTGACTTGTCTCTAAAACCAAGATTTGCCATTCTGCTTGAATGTGGGGACTTTCAGACCCTGGCAGATTGACAGTCTGCCTTGAGTTTTCCAAAATGGTTTTGTGTTTATAGGCCAAATGTGTAGATTTTAATTATTCTTTCTTTTGAGGCACCATCGTGTTATGTTGTGAATACTGGGGATATGCTCATGTCTTGCATTTATATTTAGGAGAATAGTGTACCCCCGAGAGCTTCAGATCTTTTAGCTCCTAGTTGGTCTGTGTGTAACACTGTCCTGTTTCAGTTTTGACAGTGACCTTGAAAGCCTGCGCAATGCTTTGTTGAAAACCACCGTAGAATCTCATGCCAAATCCTTGCCCAAAGTACCAGGTAATTGCATCCTTCCCAGTCTTCTAGCTCCCTTTGTTCTCTTCCAGCTACTGATATCTTAAAAACTGAATCTTAAGCATTTATGGGTTTATGGATTTCTTGCAGCTAAACTGTCCCCCATGAAACAGGCACAACTGAGAAACTTCTTGGCCAAGAGGAAGACCCCACCAGTAAGATCCACTGCTCCAGGTAAAGAGAACTGGTAACTGGGCCTGTACATAGTGATAGGGTACAGAGTGTGTGTGTGTGTGTGTGTGTGTGTGTGTGTGTGTGTGTTGGTTTTTAATAGGTGATAGAGCAGCAAGGTAGTCATTTTGGTTTTTCCAGTTTTCTGCAGTCCTCAGGTTATATGGTACTGATTCACAAGGGTTTGAGATAGCTGGATCCCAGCCTCTGCTTTAGCCAGAGAAGGTTTACTTTTATGATTTATGTTGGGTTTAGAGTAAGTTTGCATTTGGGAAAAAGGCTTTTTTAAAAACAAATAACAGATAGAAAAAGATAAAAGATGGAGTCTTTCTATGTTGCCCAGGCTGTTCTCAAACACCTGGGTTCAAGTTATCTTCTTGCCTCAGCCTCCCAGAGTGCTGGGATTACAGGTGTGAGCCACTGTGCCTTGCCACAAAAGGCTTTTATGAATATAATAATAAGAAAATATGGTTAAGCAATGTTGGTTAAAAACATTGGCTGAAAAGAAGCCATATAATTGGTGAAATAAATTTTTTCCCCATTATCTAAAGAATAACTTCAATTAAAAAAAAATTGTTACAAACAGCTTTAGGTGTAACTGCCTTGTTTTACGGTCCATATCCAAATTTTTCTTTGAGATTCTGTTTTCGGTTAAAACTTTTTAATACCAATAACAAATGCTTTTGGTAATCAGAATAACTAAAAGAAACGTAATCTTATTGATTTATTTTTCTGTAATCACATAGGGCTAAATTAGATAAATAATAGTCACAGACAAGTGAAGTTTTAAATACGTTTTTCTTCCCTAAATATACCTTCTTTTAGTAGATAATTAGGAAAAATATGGAAAAGTATAAAGGAGAATAAAAAGTATTAGCTGAGTGTGGTAGCATACACCTGTAATCTTAGCTCTTTGGGAGACTGAGGCAAGAGGATTGCTTGAGCCCAGGAGTTCAAGGCTGCAGTGAGCTATGGCCATGCCACTGCACTCCAGCCTAAGCAACAGAATTTCTTTTTTTTTTTTTTTTTTTTTTTTTTTTTTTTTTTAATTTTTTATTGGATTATAGGTTTTGGGGTACATGAGCAGAGCATGCAAGACAGTTGTGTAGGTACACACATGGCAGTGTGCTTTGCTTTTCTTCTCCCCTTCACCCACATTTGGCATTTCTCCCCAGGCTATCCCTCCCCACCACCCCCTCCCACTGGCCCTCCCCTTTTCCCCCCAATAGACCCCAGTGTTTAGTACTCCCCTCCCTGTGTCCATGTGTTCTCATTTTTCATCACCCACCTATGAGTGAGAATATGCGGTGTTTCATTTTCTGTTCTTGTGTCAGTTTGCTGAGGATGATGTTTTCCAGATTCATCCATGTCCCTTATGTATCTGGGTGCTCCTGTGTTAGCAACAGAATTTCTAAAAAGAAAAATTAAAAGTTACTCTCTTTCTCAACCCAGATATGGCCTCCTTTAGTTATTTAGACTTAGTTCCAGACTTTTTTCTTTGCATATACGTCTGATTTATTTAAAAATGAAATTGAGATTATAACCTTTAGTTTTGTGTCTTGATTTTTTTTCTAATTTAAAATCGATGGGCCGGGTGCGGTGGCTCATGCCTGTAATCCCAGCACTTTGGGAGGCCGAGGAGGGTGGATCACGGGGTCAACAGATCGAGACCATCCTGGTCAACATGGTGAAACCCCGCCTCTACTAAAAAATAAAAAAAATTAGCTGGGCATGGTGGCGCGTGCCTGTAATCCCAGCTACTCAGGAGGCTGAGGCAGGAGAATTGCCTGAACCCAGGAGGCGGAGGTTGCGGTGAGCCAAGATCGCGCCATTGCACTCCAGCCTGAGTAACAAGAGTGAAACTCCGTCTCAAAAAAAAAAAAAAAAATTGATGAGCCCTTACTATTAAAAAAACAAAAAACAAAAAAATGGAAAATAAGTGCTGGTGAAGATATGGACAAATTGGAACCTTTGTGCACTGTTGGTGGGAAAGTGAAATGGTAAAGCCACTGTAGAAAACAGTTTGGTGGTTCCTAAAAAAATTAAAAATGTAATTACCATATGATCCAGCAATTTCACTTCTACGTATATACCCCAAATAATTGAAAACAAGGCTTCAAAGAGACACTTGTATCCGTGCTCGTGACAGCATTATTGATAATAGCCAAGAGACAGAAGCAATGTAAGTGTCTGTTGATGAATGAATGGATAAACAAAATGTCTGTCTATACAATGGAATTATTATTCAGCCTGATAACAGGAATTTTTGACACGTTACAATTTAAGTGAACCTTGAGGACATTGTGCTAACTGTAATAAACCACAAATAGACAAATACTGTATCATTCCACTTCTATGAAGTATCTAGAGACATCTAATTCATAGAGATGGAAAGGAGAATAGGCGTTGCCTGTGGTACTGAGGTGGGGATCACAGGGAGTTGTTGTTTAATGGGTATAGCGTTTCTGTTTTGCACATTGAAAATAGTTCTGGAGGTGTATAGTGGTGATGATTCCACAATGTGAATATACCTAATACCAATGGAGCATACACTTTAAAACACTTAAGGTGGTAAATTTTATGTTGTATTTTACCAAATTTTAAAAATTGTAAAAAAATTTTAAAGTTAAAATCATAAGCTTTTCCTCTGCCTTCTGTGTTTAAATATTCTTTGAATACATGCCTTATAATGACAACACAATATTTCCTTGTATTAGAAGGCCATAATGCCTGTTGCTAATCTCGTTGCCAGAATTTTACTCAGAACATCCTTGTTCACAAATCTTTAACCCACATCAGATTATATATTTAGATAGAGTCCTTAGAAGTGAGATTTATGTAATTTATTTATTCATTCATTCAACCAATATGATTGCCTAGTTTGTTCCAGGCAATGTTAAGTAAGAGAAACATGGCCTCTGCCCATGAGAAGCTCTCATTAAGAGGACGAATTCAGACATGAGGCAGATAACTGCACATGATACTCATTTAATATTAGTGTGCATGCTGGGAAGAATAACTCAGCATGGAAACACTTTTAATTTTTAAAATTGTGAAATACAACACACATAAAGTGCACCAAACAAAAACATCTATTCCTGTAGCCTTACCCAGGTCACGAAACAGAATGTTGGCGTTTTTTAGAATCCCTCTTTATACCCCAGTTTTCCTTCCTCCCCTAAGGCACCATTATATGGGCTTATTTGAGAGTTTTGCCTTTGCCTTTTTTTTTCCAATTTGACATTTTTTTGTTATTTTTAATTTAGTATTTTGAAAAAACTGAAACTTCCAATTGCAAGAGCGCAGTAAGCATCCACTTAACCCTCATCCATATGTTTACTAATGTTTTCCACAATTGTTGCTGAACTATCTGAGAATAAGTTGAAGACAACGCCCCTTACTCCTAAATATTTCAGCATGTGTTCTCCAAGAACAAAGGTGTTCTCTTACACACCATAATACAGTTCACAGGTTTGGGAAATTTAATGTATATAATTATCTCATAGACAGTTGATACTCAGATTTTGCCAGATGTCCCACTTACCCCTACAGGTTGATTGTATCTCGGATCCAATCCAGGATTCTGCATTGCATAAGTTGTCATTCTCTTTAGTCTTCTTTTGTTTTGTAAGCATACCTTCCTAAACACTGTACTTTGGTTTTGCCTGTGTTTTGGTCTTTGCCTACTGCATAAATCCATCCACTTATTCTCTGAACGGGCTTCTCTTGTTCCACATCAGGCTTATAAGATGCATCCATGTTGTTGCCTCTAGCTATTATTTTCGTTGCTATATAGTATTCTATTGTATGAATATGCTGCACCTGTTTGTTTATTCTCCTGTTGGACATGTGCTCCTTTTAGTTTATAGCTATTCCAGAAAAGGGTGTTCTGAGTATTCCTGTACGTGTCTCTCAGAGCATGTGTGGACTCTTCCATTTGGTTACATAGCTAGGAGTGGCATTGTTGTCTTACAGTCTGTCCATATGCTCATCTTTCATAGATTCCGCCAAGCAGTTTTACTAACTGGTTGTACTTTATCATCAGCATATGAGTGTTATTGTTCCACATCTTTGCCAAGGTTGATATTGTCAGTCTTTTTTCTTTTAACTATTCTGGTAGAATTCTTTTGTAAAATGTTTTAACTATTTGGATATCTTCTTTCGTGGAGTACTGGATTAAATCTTTTGCTCATTCATTTATTATTGAATAATCTGTCTTACTGATTTGTAAATGTTTTTATAAATTCTGGAGACCACCTTTGTTGGTTATGTGAGTTGTAGATAGTCACTTTGCCTTTTTGCCCTCTTAATTATGTCTTGGTGAACAGGAGTTCTTTTTTGTTTTTGCTTTTGCTTTTGTTTTTAGAAACAGAGTCTTGTTCTGTTGGCCAGGCTGGAGTGCAGTGGTGCAGTTGTAGCTCACTGCAGCCCCAACCTCCCTGCCTGAAGCGATCTTCCTGCCTCAGCCTCCTGAGTAGTTGGGACTACAAGCACAGGCCACCATGCCCAGCTTATTTTTTTATTTTTTGTAGAGACATAGTCTCACTATATTTTTCAGGCTGATCTTGAACTCCTACCTTATGCTATCTTCCTGCCTCGGCTTTCCAAAGTGCTGGGATTACAGGTGTGAACAACTGTGCCCAGCCCAATGAGCAGAAGTTCTTAATTGTAAAATAGTGAGGTTTATCAGCCTTTTCTTTTATAGTTAGTACTTTTTGTGTTGTGTTTAAGAAATCCTCTATCTCCAGGTAGTGAAAGTAGGTATGTACCTTTACTATCTTCCAGAAACAGGAATGTTTGCTTTTCACAATTGAATCAGCTGTCTACCTGGAATTGATTTTTTTTAAAAAACAACTTTATTGAGGTATAATTTACATATAAAACTCACCTGTTGTAAGTGTACAGCTGGATGATTTTTACTAAATTTACAGTATTGTATAGCCATAACCGCATTCCAGTCCTAGAACATTTCCATCACTTAAAAAGTTTCCCCATGATTGTTTGCAGTCAATTTTTGTTCCACCCAAGCAATCACTGATCTGCTTTCTTTCTCTGTGGATCTACCTTTCTTTTGAGATGGAGTTTCGCCGTTGTTACCCAGACTGGAGTGCAATGGCACGATCTCGGCTCACCGCAACCTCCGCCTTCTGGGTTCAAGCAATTCTCCTGCCTCTCCGAGTAGCTGGGACTACAGGCGCGCACCACCATGCTCAGCTAATTTTTGTATTTTTAGTAGAGACGGGGTTTCACCTTGTTGACCAGGATGGTCTCGATCTCTTGACCTCGTGATCCACCCACCTCGGCCTCCCAAAGTGCTGGGATTATAGGCGTGAGCCACTGTGCCCGGCCGGATCTGCCTTTTTAAAGAAATTGCATATTTTCTCAAGACACAAAAAGGAAAAAAAAAAAAATTGCATATATTATGGAGTCTGATAATGTTTAGGTTTGGGTTATTTCACTTAGCATGGTTTTGTTGTTCACTCATGATGTATGGCATGTATCAGTTCATTCCTTTTTATTGTTGAACAGTATTCCTCTGTATAGATACACCATATTTTATGCTATCAAGAATTGATTTTTGTGTGTGATACAAGGTATGGCTCGTGTCATTTTTTTGCATTTGGATATCTGCTTGTCCTAACACTGTTTATTGAAAAGACTCTCCTCCCTGCTTAGCAGGGCCACTTCTGTTATAAATTATTTATGCATATACATGTATGTTTGTTGATCTCATACAATGATTAGAAAGCACTACTGCCACACTGTTTTAATTCATGCTTGAATACGTCTCAATACTGTTCTCTTGCTAGATTCTAGAGGTGTTCTGTCCAATGTGGTACTCTGCTTTACATTTAAATTAAATAAAATTGCAAGGCAAGGTGGTGCAGCATGCCTATAATCCCAGCTGCTTGAGGAGGCTGAGGCAGGAGGATCACTTGAGCCTAGGAGTTCTGAGACCAGCCTGGGCAAGGAGTAGTTAGACACTGTCTCAAATAAATACATACATTTTAAAAAGAAAAATAAAATTTAAACTTTAGTTTTGCAATCCCACTAGCCACATTTCAAGAGCTCAGGAGGCACACGTGAATAGTGGCTACTGTAATGGGAAACACATATAAAGAACATTTCATCATTGCAGAAAGTTCTACAATCCAGAGTAGGGGTTAGCAGATTTTTCCATAAGGGCCAGCTAGAGAATAGTTGAGGCTTGCATGCACTGTGGTTTCCATTGCACTTACCTAATTCTGCTGTTGTAATGGGAGAGCAGCCACAGACCATGTGATGAAAGGTGGGTGGATCACGAGGTCAAGAGATCGAGACCATAACAACATGGTGAAACCCCATCTCTACTAAAAATACAAAAAAGGCCGGGCGTGGTGGCTCACGCCTATAATCCCAGCACTTTGGGAGGCCGAGGTGGGTGGATCACGAGGTCAAGAGATCGAGACCATCCTGGTCAACATGGTGAAACCCCGTCTCTACTAAAAATACAAAAATTAGCTGGGCATGGTGGTGCGCGCCTATAGACCCAGCTACTTGGGAGGCTGAGGCAGGAGAATTGCTTGAACCCAGGAGGCGGAGTTTGCGGCGAGCCGAGATTGTGCCATTGCACTCCAGTGTGGGTAACAACAGTGAAACTCCGTCTCAAAAAAACAAAAAAAAAATTAGCTGGGCATGGTGGCGCATGCCTGTAATCCCAGCTACTCAGGAGGCTGAGGCAGGAGAATTGCCTGAACCCAGGAGGCGGAAGTTGCGGTGAGCCAAGATCGCGCCATTGCACTCCAGCCTGGGTATCAAGAGCGAATCTCCATCTCAAAGAAAAGGGGGGCGGGCGCGTCTGTATTTCAGCAAAACTTTATATTTCTAAAAAGAGACAGCTGACCTATGGTTGTAGTTTTCCGACCCCTGCTCTAGAATGTTTTGGCTCTCTTGGTGTTTTACATCTTCATATTAACATTTAAATTGTCTTGTTAAATTCCACCTCCCTGTACCTAGAGTAGTCAAAACCATAGAGACAGAACTAGAATGGTAGCTGCCAGAAGCTGGAGGAGGGAGAATGGGGAGTTAGTGTTTCAAGGGGACAAAGCTTCAGATGAAAACATTTTGAAGATAGATGGTAGTCACAGTTATACAGCATTATGAATATATTTATACCATGGAACTATACACTTAAAAATGGTTAAGATGGTGCATTTTGTTATGTGTATTTTACCACAATATAAAAAAGAGGAGGGAGGCAGGAGAATCGCTTGAATCCTGGAGGTAGAGGTTGCAGTGAGTCGAGATCGCACCATTGCACTCCAGCTTAGGCAACAAGAGCAAAAACTGTCTCAAAAAAAAGAGAGGCAAGGGTGGATTTTGTCTTCCTCAGCCTTCAAAAGAAAGTTGAGATTTCTTTGGAATTGTATTGAGTTTCTATATCAACTTGAGAATTGACATTTGTGCATCAGTGAACTCTTAGTTCTCAACCTGGGTACATATTTGTATATTTGGGTGTTCTTTAATTTCTCTTAGTGTTTTATGCATGTGAAACATGCATCTTTTGTTAGAGTTATTGCTAAAAATTTAGTATTTTTGATGCTTTTATGATGGTAGACTTTTTTCCCTTAAATTTTATGTTTTATGTTGGATATAGTATAGAGAAATACAGTTGATTTATGTATATTTACTTATAGCCAGCAACCTGGCAGAATTCATTTATTTTAACACATCTGTAGCTGTTTCTTGGCCTTGTAGCTATGGAAACAATGATATCCTCCATGCATACTAATGGTGATGTGTCTGCCTTTCCAGTCCTTTTATTATTATTATTATTTTTAACCTGACTTCACTGGCTGGAACCTCCAGTACAGCATAAAAGTGTCATGCATTTATCCTTAATTTCAAAAGGAATACTTCCTGCAGTTAATCCTAAAATGTGAGGTTTGCGGCATCTACTGAGATGATCATATGACTTCTATCCTTTTGTTTCCCTGCCCTCAGTCATGTGGGTTTCTACCTTTCCTAATCTGAACTAGAGTGGAATGTAAACAAAATAAGATTCTTTAAATTTCAGTGGGACCCTCTGGCTAATGCCAGGCAGTTAACTGCATCCTTGATCACAGCAGAGAGCAGCACCCATTATTGGTGGAGGCAGCACCGTTGGCATAGTGAGCAGTCCATGCTGCAAGCTTCTGTGAGTGAGCATGGCCATTGCATCTTTCAATTCATGGGTCTGCCTCCACCAAAGGCAAGTGAATTGCATCAGAAAGATGAAGGAAGGAGCTAAGGGACCCCTATGTTATATGGGACCTTGGAGGTTACATAGATATTCCAGTGTTTCTTTCTATCTAGTTCTTGAAGGTGATGTGGTTATTTGTGTCATCTTTTGTTGTTACTGTCAGGAACTACAGTAGGATTTTAGAGAAATTGTGGAGAGCAGTTTGGTCCCAAGAGAATGTGGGTTTGTACTAGTTTCCTATGGATGTCATAACAAATTATCACAAACTTGGTGGCTTAAAACAGTACCTAGTTGTTATCTCACAGGAAAATTTTCTGTGATGATGGAAATGTTCTTATCTTTGCTGTCCAGCAGGGTAGCCGCTAGCCATATGTGACTGTAGAGTACATGAAACGTGGCTAGTGCAATTGAGGAATTGATTTTTCATTAATTTGTTTTTAATTGCTTTAAATTTAACCACATATGGCTAGTGGCTACCAAATTGGATAGGACAGCCGTAGCACATAGCATTGGTTTTCAGTGGCATTTGTTTATGTTATATTTACATTGTGACAGTAAAATCTTGCAGAGCCATGTGCACATAGGACACAAAAGTCAATAAATATTTGCAAAGCCCTTTTAAATAACTTGGGGGAGGGAAGAAAAATGACTAGGTTCTTTGGTTTTTGTTTTTCCCAATATATAGGAAGTATTCACTTGCATTCTGAAATTTATGATAGAAAGAAACATGACATAAGGCCTTACTGAATTCTATTTTCTCTTTTGGTTGTTTTTTTTTTTTTTTTTTTGCCTCTGTTGCTCAAGCTGGACTACAGTGGTGCGATCTCAGCTCACTGCAGTCTTCGCCTCCTGGGTTCAAGTGATTCTCCTGCCTTAGCCTCCGGAGTAGCTGAGACAATAGGTCCATGCCACCACACCCAGCTAATTTTTGTAATTTTTAGTAGAGAAAGGGTTTCACCATATTGACCAGGTGATCTTGAACTCCTGACCTTGTGATCTGCCCGCCTCGGCCTCCCTTTTTTTTGGGGGGGGACAGGGTTTCACTCTGTTGCCCTATTTTTTTTTTTTAGAGACAGGGTTTCACTATGTTGCCTAAGCTGGTCTTGAACTCCTGGCTTCAAGCAGTCCTCCCACCTCAGTCTGCCAGAGAGCTGGGATTATAGGCATCAGCCACTGCACCCAGTCTCTTGTAATTTTTTTAAACCTAATTGTCTGATTCAGAAGAATCATTAGATTTATCTGGAAATGTTTGAGACACTCAGGACTGAGGACATTCTTTTTCATGTTATGTTGGACCTGTTCTTAGAAGCCTATCATTGGATGGTGATGGTAATGGTGTGATTGTTCACCCCACCATGGAAACTTGCCTGTTACTTTTCTGGTATATTATTATTCTACTGGTGAGGGCTCCAGGTCTTCGACTTTGACACCAGCATTAATTCTGTCTCTTACTTTTTCACATTCTTTAACAGTCCCAAGATGTTCTCATTCATACAGCTCAGTTTTTCAAATCCCCATTTGAGCAAAGATCCAAAACCATTTTGTTCACATTTGACAATACCTGTCCCTGCTTAAAATAAGTAATAATTATATCATTTTATAAGTTGAATTTTTTTTTTTTAATCAACAGTGAAAATTGCATAGCTTTTGGGCTTGCTTTTGCTTTGAGTTGTCTAAATTGTGTTTTATTTGGGCTTTTGTAGCCAGCCTGTCTCGATCAGCCTTTCTGTCTCAGAGATATTATGAAGACTTGGATGAAGACAGCTCAACGTCATCTGTCTCCCAGTCTCTGGAAAGTGAAGATGCACGGACATCCTGTAAAGAAGAGGAGGCAGTGGTCCAGGCCCCTCGGCATGCCCCTGTGGTTCGCACTCCTTCCATCCAGCCCAGTCTCTTGCCCCAGGCAGCACCTTTTGGTAAATCTCACCTGGTTCATGGTTCTTCACCTAGTGTGATGGGAACTTCAAGTAAGTAAACAGTGGGAAAGAAAATTGTTTTTTCCCTATGATGTTTCTAATGAAGGAATTGTAACTGGGTTTTATATTATCATACCAATATGATGGTTGGCTCCAGCCCACTGCTACTACTACTTTTTTTCTTTGAGATGGAGTCTCTCTCTGTCACCCAGGCTGGAGTGTAGTGGTGCGATCTCAGCTCACTGCAACCTCCACCTCCTTGGTTCAAGGAGTTCTCCTGCCTCACCCTCCCAAGTAGCTGAGATTACAGGCATGTGCCACCACATTTGGCTAGTTTTTGTATTTTTAGTGGAGACAGGGTTTCACCATGTTGGCCAGGCTCACCAACTCCTGACCTCAGGTGATCCACCTGCCTTGGCCTCCCAAAATGCTAGGATTACAGGCATAAGCCATCATACCCAGCCGCTCAGTCCACTTCTGCTAGTATTCTAGAAATTAGAAGACTAATTCAAAAGATGTGTGTTCCCCTTGAAAGCAGTTGCTAGGCCAATTGTAAGGAAGTAGATGCCCTCCAACATTGTGTACTGTAACAGCTTTCCTGCTGAGCCAGCTTGTTTTTTAAAACAGGTCTTTTTTAGAAGTAAAAGGAGGGGGCTGTTTGCTTCAGTTATAAAGCAACATTCACACTCATGTCTCAAATCCTGGCTCATTTCAGCCTGAGTTGTGGCATATTCTGCCTCAGAACTCCCTGGCTCCGATGCTCATGGTCAGTATTGGCTCACTGTGCTGACCACTGTTGTGCTCCCACATTTTCAGTGCAGTGTCAGGGCTTTGCATCCAAGTGACTTCTATCAGAGAAAAATACCAGCATTAGGTACTAGAATAAAGAGAATTTGTGAGAGGGAATCAGGGACTTGGTCTCTGTTGGTATAAAAGTTACATCTCAATTAGTATCAGGAAACCACCATGTAAAGTATCTTAGTAGAGGTGGGTAGGCAAATTGCATGCAGTAACCAAAAGATATAGATGCCAGCCTGTTAGTTTACTGGTAGTTTTCTGTGTTAATGCTAATTATAGCATTTTCCCTACAGTCGAACATAGAGAATTTTATCAGTGTAACCTTTGTATGTTCCTGTTCTCTCACCACTCACACTTTTTCTTTTAGTGACTACATCTACTAGCAAAATTATTCCTCAAGGGGCTGATAGCACAATGCTTGCCACGAAAACCGTGAAACATGGTGCACCTAGTCCTTCCCACCCCATCTCGGCTCCCCAGGCAGCTGCTGCGGCAGCACTCAGACGACAGATGGCCAATCAGACACCAGGTAAATGCTGTAGCCCCATACATGTACAGAGGCTGATTATGAGCTGTCTGAGTCACAGGCAAGGACAGCAGGTGGCAAGAAGCAGTGGGCTCTCTTTGGTGCCCTTCAGAAGAGGAGATTGATGTGACAACCCTCTCCCCTTTGTGGAGGGAGTTCTAAGAAGGCAGAAAATAGGCCTGAAATTCTTTGTTTTTAAGGGGAGGTATTAGAACTGCCATATTTAGTTAAGCAGGAAATCAGTTGTTGTTTTTTGTTTTTTAAAAACACAGTTGCTAATCCTACTTTTGAATAATGTCTGCTTAGAGACCTAAAATTATAGCCTTTGAAATTAGATCATCTAATAACATTAGAATCATCTTTTAGTATCTTACAGATTCCAACTACCCTGAGAGGTAGGTATTAGAATGGCTGTTTAGGCTGGGCATGGTGACTCATGCCTGTAATCCCAGCACTTTGGGAGGCTGAGGTGGGAGGGTCACTTGAGGCCAGGAGTTTTGAGACCACCTTTGGCAACATAGTGAGACCTTATCTCTAAAACAAAACAAACATGAATAAACAATAAGAATGACCATTTTGTATTTGAGTAACCTAAGGTTCAGAGAGGTGAAGGTTACCCCACCAATGAGTAGCAAAACCCAAACTCTAACCCTCTGCTCTGTTTCACTACGGCTTTTTTTCTTCTCGTCTAACTATATCTTGCATGAAGCCTTTTCTTTTTTCTTTTGAGACAGGGTCTCACTCTGTTGCCTAGGCTGGAGTGCAGTGGCATGATCATGGCTCACTGCAGCCTCTGTGGTCTCCTGGACCCAGGTGATCTTCCCACCTCAGCCTCCTGGATAGCTAGGACTACAGGCTTGCACCACCACACCAGGCAAATATTCAAAGATTTTTTTGTAGAGATGGGATTTCTCCATGTTGCCCAGGCTGGTCTTAAACTCCTGGGCTCAAGTGATCCATCCATCTCTACCTCCCAAAGTGCTGGGATTACAGGCATGAGCCACTGTGCCTGATGAAAACTTTTTTGTAACATAAAATTTAACTTTTACAGATGGAAGCTCTAATAAGCCAGTTAGCACTTAACTTTTCGTCAGTGGTTTGTCATCATCCCAAACTTTCTGCATTAGGATTTTACAGTCTGCCTAGTTGGTCTCAAGGACTTCAGTTATCACAAGTTTTATAAGCTAGTAGAGGCTTATAAAAACCACAAGTTTCTCGACTAGAGGCTGCCACCACTTCCCTCTGAAACAGTTGGCAGTGTTGCTGGCATTTATTGGGTAGAGGCCAAGAATGCTGCAAAAAAATCTTTAAAATGCATGGGACACCCCCACAGCAAAGGGTTATCTAGTCCCAAAATGTCAGTAGTGCCAGGGTCAAGAAACAGATATAAGCCAAATATTTTTGTTTTAGCTGAGTAGAATTATTTTTTAGATTTATCACTGCTTAGAACAGTTACCAATATAGAGTTCTTTTTAAAAGACTGGTTAAGACATAATGGTTAAACTTAGGCAAAAAGAATTAACATTGAACAGTGATGAAAGATTCTAAAGAAAAATTTAAATATTAAAACCTTTATTAAGACATCTAAAATATATATTGAAGAACAAAACTGAGATAACTTTTAAGGTACCTTTGAGCTTTCTAAAAATAGAATTCTTTGATGTTCTCTTTAAATATTACTTGGACCAAGCAGACTCTTGCCATTGTGCTGAATAGGCTTGAAATCAAGCTGATCAAGTTGATGATTTGTAAAAACAAAATCTACCAGGATTTAGGATTGTTCCACTCTTAGCAGGAGGTGGTGTGATCTGCATTATCATGTTGGATGCAAAAATTTCTAAGGTGTAGGCACCTTTGAATATGAGAGATGAAAGATGTGCAGTCGTAGGCAAGATGTTCTGGTCACTTCCCTGAAAGAGGGAATGAAAGAGAATTAACCACAGATTTATCCTTCTGCTTATGATACTGCTTTTACCTTGGCCAGTGATACAGTTAGAAGTGATCCACAAACTTTGCTCAGGCTTCCTTAATCACTAATTATAGAATGTCATTAAGTCTTTTGGAATACAATTTAAAATTGTAAGACACAAAGTAAAAGCTGGTAAAGATAGATAAGTAGGTGTCAAATATATGCCTCTTGGCCTTTTCCGCCATTCTTGTCCAAGCTCCATTTTCCACATTTTATTCATTATGCCTGTCTGTCTCACCAGGCCATGAGCTCCTTTAGAGAAGAAACTGTAGATACCTTTTGTATTCCCAGCCCATGACACAGAGCCTGGCACATAATAAGCACGTGGTAAAGAGAGACAAAGTGAATGAGTGGCAGAAATCCTGAGTCCAGATGCTGTTAATCCTCTAGCTCTAGCTGTTCTTTTCCAGGACAAGCCAACAATGTGTAGAAAACCTGGCTAGAGAATTATTTTCCCCTACTGTATCACATTTGATTAAGTTGCAGGAAGCCTCATTCCATCACCTGTGTTAATGGAGTAGGCCAGATGTTCCTTTGAACACAGTCCTGCAGAACTACCTAGAGTAGATTTCCTTCATATGATAAAACTCTACTCTGCTTGGGCTCATGTCTTGGTTTTTCATTTATATATTACTAGAACTTTTTATCCTTTACTGGAATTAATATGGTGTTCTCTTTTCTCTGTTTAAATAGCTGTAAGCACTTTGACTGAATCAACATTGAAGAATGTCCCTCAAGTGGTAAATGTGCAGGAATTGAAGAATAACCCTGCAACTCCTTCCGCAGCGATGGGGTATGTTCTGACTTTACAGTGTTTCAGCCCCTAGCTACTTCTGTAGTCGCGGTGGACTGCCTGCAGAGGGCAGCAGCGCCACTGTCACAGTCTGGTTTTCCTGCCCTGCCTTAGGTTATAAGGGCATGTGGGCGGCTAAGCCTGCCTACACGATACGTTTTCAGGAGATTGTCCTATTTAACTGGCCAGTGACAGTTGCCTCACAAACCTTTAAAGTTTATCTTGATGCTGTATGCTCAGTTTCTGTTTGCCGTGTATAAGTCTGTGTGGTTCACATTAGGTGTGCAGTTTGATTTTTCTTTTCTTTTTTTTTTTTGAGACGGAGTTTCGCTCTTGTTACCCAGGCTGGAGTGCAATGGCTCGATCTCAGCTCACCACAACTTCCGCCTCCTGGGTTCAGGCAATTCTTTTGTCTCAGCCTCCTGAGTAGCTGGGATTACAGGCACGCACCACCATGCCCAGCTAATTTTTTGTATATTTAGTAGAGACAGGGTTTCACCATGTTGACCAGGATGGTCTCGATCTCTTGACCTCATGATCCACCTCCCTTGGCCTCCCAAAGTGCTGGGATTAGAGGCTTGAGCCACTGCGCCTGGCCTTTTTAATTGTCCTGGGGGTTCCAGAGTTGATGCTTTGGGTCTGATGCAGACTTGATTCTGGAAACTTTAATCTCAAGGGTGACACTTTCCTCCCTCATTTCCCTTCTCCAGGTATTTCTGTTCTTCCCATTTCTTTTGCTTTTGTATTAAAAAAAAAAAAAGTCTTTTAAGGCCGGGTGCAGTGGCTCATGCCTGCAATCCCACCACTTTGTAAAGCTGAGGTGGGGGGATCACAAGGTCAGGAGTTCAAGACTAGCCTGGCCAATATGGTGAGACCCCATCTCTACTAATAATACAAAAATTAGCCAGGTGTGGTGGCATGTGCCTGTAGTCCCAGCTACTCAGGAGGCTAAGGCAGGAGAATCGCTTGAACCCAGGAGGTGGAGGTTGCAGTGAGCCAAGATTGCACCACTGCACTCCAGCCTGGGCGACAGAGCAAGACTCCATCTCAAAAAAAAAAAATCCTTTAAAAGACAGCAGCTCTGTTTGGAGACTCTAGCTTCTCTGCCATGCTGTGTTTAAGGGCTAAGTCATTGCTGGTGGAGCTCACTTATTTTTGTTGTTGGTGGTGGTGGTGGTGGTTGTTTGTTTTTTTGAGACAGGGTCTCACTCTGTCACCCAGGCTGGAATGCAGTATGATCATGGCTCACTGTAGCCTCAACCTCTTGGCCCAAGCCATGCTCTCATCTCAGCCTCCCAAGAAGCTGTTGGGACTACAGGCAATGCCACCACACCCAGCTAATTTTTTTCATTTTTTGTAGAGATGAGGTTCTTACCATGTCACCCCAGGCCGGTCTTAAACTTCTGGGCTCAAGTAATCCTCTTGCCTCATCCTCGCAAAGTGCTGTGATTACAGGCAAGAACCACTATGCCTAGCTCACTTGTCTTTAGTCCTCATCTGTGTTCAGAATTCAAGGTGCTGACTCCCTCCCACTGCCCTGGGCAGGTTCACAGAACATGCCTGTGCCCTGCTTTGCCCTGCATATTTTGCGATCACGATCCCTTTAAACCAGCCACCATCCCCTGTGGCATAGGAAAGAGTTGAGGGACATTTCCTCACTTAGAAAACTAGTATCAGATTTCAGGGAGTTAGTATCTGGTACCATGATTAGTCTAGCGGCAAGAAGGGCAGCCACAGACTCTGTGGTTCTCCACAGGGTGTTCACCCTCTGCAGTCCCATAGAGCAGATCTGCCATGGCTCTGTTTTCCCTCTCTCAAGTGACCTTGCCTCACTAGTCCACTGGCCTCTTTTTTTCCATGTTGTTCTGTTTATCAACACTGCTTGTCTGAGGAATTTTTAGTTATCTCAGGGCCATACTAGCAGCCAAAAAACAGGCCTTCTCTGTTACTATTTTATAGTGACCTTGGAGCCTTGGTATGCTGTTTAGACCAAGATGGTATTTGTGGTTGCTGCAAACTTTTCAAGGGAAAGAACTATGCATTACCGTATAGGTACTGTAGCCAGATTCCCAACATAGGGAAGGCAGGGAAAAGCCACCGAAGGCAGAATGTTACGTAAGTGGGGAAAATTCAGCATATCGTACAGGAAGTATTATCTGGTATTTCTGAGATACATTCAGTGCTAGCATGCTAACTATATATGAGAAGCACCTTTTGGAGATTCTGCTTTTCCATTTCTCAAGCTTCATTTCCCTAAATGGTTCATCTGAGCTGATCTTTGATGAACACTTTGTTAAAGGACTAATAATGAGTTTACTCTTTCTGACAAGAAAAAAAACTCAGACTTAAGAAATCTTGAAGAAACTTTAAGATGTTCTGTTCTCCACAGACTTGGACTGTGGTCTACTTGTTTCATGTGTATGCCCAGCATGGTGCCTGAAACATAGAAGCACTGCTTTTCAATAATCATTTATTGAAGAAAAGGTAAACTCCAAACATAAATTGAAAAATGAAAATTGATATTTACTGTCACTCCCCAGGAAAGATTGAGAGAATATGCTCATTGTAAAATAACTTCAGACTCTTTTAAACAGTAGTTTCCTAAGTGTATTTTAAGTATTTAACTTTGCAGCTAGCTTTTCTCAGTGGTATTTTACAGAAGGTTTATTATAGGGTGAGCTTACGTATTTCTGCCATTGGTGTATTTTATATTCATTGGCCTCATCCATTCAGTTCACTGGAAGAGTGTTTATCTGGCGCCAACCCCCAGCTATTCAAACTCCTTTGCAGTGCTCCATCGCTTGATCAGCAGATTCTTACACAGCATCTGCTGTGAGCATGATGCTACCATGGGTACTAGAGATGTGGTAGTGAATAAGACATACCAAGCAAGAAGACAGCCGGGAAACTGCCAATTACACAAACGCTTATTTAGTTGTAATGTAGTAAAGTCAGTGAAGGAGGAGTACAGGGTGCTAGGAAAGCCAAAACAAGGCAGTCTGATGAAGTCAGGTTGAGAAAGTGTTTGATGAGGAAATGATCTTCTAGCTGAAATTTATATGATGACCAGAAGTTGCTAGGCAGAGTGGTGAGAAGAGTGTTCTGGAAAAGGGAGTGCAGGAAGTGTGAAAGCCAAAACCTGGGAAGGGGCAGAACATGTTTGAGGAGCAGTGGAAAGGTGGCTGGAATGACTAGAGTCCTGGCAGGAAGGAAGTGGAAAATGAAGAAAGTGGGGCAAATGACATTAGAAGAGGTGGGATTTTTATTTTATTTATTTTTTTGTTTAGTTGTACCAAAGTACACCAGATACAGCATTCCTTTGAGAACTTTTGGTGTGCATTCATTCATTTATTCATTCTTTCAACAAATACTTAATGAGCATTTTCTGGGTGCCACATACTGTTCTTAGGTGCTGGAGGTAAACTACCCGTTTTGTTGTAACAAAGTAGACTGAAAAAACTAACAGACTGGTGATTATTTGGAGAGACAAACAATAATCAAAACAAATAAGTGAAATATATAATATACTAGATGGTGATATGGTGTGATGGAGAAAGTTAAAGCAGGGGAAAGGATTAGTGAGTATTGTCTGAACATGGTTTTATAATTTTAAATAGGGTGGCCCTGGAAAGGTGACCTTTGAATGAAGAGAAAGGCCAGACAGCAGGTCTCATGAATATCTCAGGGAAGAAAGTTCCAAGCACAGGGTCTGTAGCAGGAGCATGTCTACAAGTTCAAGAGCGAGTCAGGAGGAAGAACGCTGGGGGATGAGGTCAGGGAAGATGTTGGTGGACAGTGTCTATTTGAGTTCTTTGGGGTATGTATGTAGGAGTAGAATCACTGGATCACATAGCTCAAACTGGTTTATAGAGGTCCTGCACCATTTTTCATTCCCAACAGCAACGTATGGGGTTCAGTTTCGCCACATCCTCACCAACACTCGTTATTGACTACCTTTTTTTGAGATGGAGTTTCGCTCTTGTTACTCAGGCTGGAGTGCAATGGCGCAATCTCGGCTCACCGCAACCTCCGCCTCCTGGGTTCAGGCAATTCTCCTGCCTCAGCCTCCTGAGTAGCTGGGATTACAGGCACATGCCACCGTGCCCAGCTAATTTTTTGTATTTTTAGTAGAGACGGAGTTTCACCATGTTGACCAGGATGGTCTCAATCTCTTGACCTGGTGATTCACCCACCTCGGCCTCCCAAAGTGCTGGGATTACAGGCGTGAGCCACTGTGCCTGGCCTTGACTATCTTTTTGATCATAGCCATCCTAGTGGTATAAAATGGTATCTCAAACTAACAGTGATTTTGATTTCCATTTTCCTAATGGCTAGTGATGTTGAGCATCTTTTTCTGTGCTTATTGGACAGTTGTATCTTCTTTAGAGAAATACCTATTTAGTTCCTTTGCCCTTCTTTAAAATTAGGTAAAAATCTAGTCCAGTTTATCTGTTTTTTTCTCTTGTTGCTTGTGCTTTAGGTGTTACATGTAAGAAACCATTGCCTAATCCAGGGTCATAAAGATTTACACCTATGTTTTCTTTGAAAAGTTTGTGGTTTTAGCTCCTATTTATATCAGGTCTCTGATCCATTTGGAGTTAATTTTTGTAAATGGTGTGAGGTAGAGATCCAACTTCATTGTTTTTAATGTGGATTTCCAGTTGTCCCAGCACCACAGCATATTTTTTCCATCCTTCCTTTCAACTTATTTTGTCTTTTTATTTAAGATGGAATTCTTGTAGCACAACAATGTGAATGTACTTAATACTACCGAACTACATGTACACTTAGAAATCATTACTTTCATGATGGCAGATTTTGTTACATGTATTTACCACAAAAAACTTTTTTTTTTTTTTTTTTTTTTTTTTAATAAAATTGTTTTATTGTAGACTAGGGGTCCCCAACCCTGGGCTGCAGACCAGTAAGTGTCTGTGGCCTCTCAGGAACCAGGCCACACAGTAGGAGGTGAGCGGCAGGCAAGCGAGCATCACCACCTGAGCTCCACCCACTGTCACATCAGAGGCAGCACTGGATTCTCATAGGAGCATGAACCCTGTTGTGAATTGCACATGCAAAAGATCTAGATTGCGTGTTTCTTATGATAATCCAACTGAATAAAATATAAAATTATAGCCTCATGATCTAAGATGGAACAGTTTCATGCCGACACCATCCATCCTCTGCTGTCCATCTGTGGAAAAAATTGTCTTCCACAAAACCAGTCCCTGGTGCCAAAAAGGTTGGAGACCACGGTTGTAGACAGTATGTAGTGGGCTTTAGCTTGCTTTTTTTTTTCTTGACCATCTAGGACTTTTAATTGGAATGATTTGATCACTTACCTTAAGTGCAGTTATTGACATGTTTGGGTTTAACTCTATTACATAGCTATTTGTTTCTGTTTATCCCATCTGTTTGTTGTTCAGTTTTTCTGCCTTTCGGATTGAATATCTTTATGATTCTATCTTTTTTGTTGACTTATTGGCTATAACTTGGTGTTATTTAAGTGCCTACATTAGGGTTTATAATAAACATCTTCAACTTATCACAGACTATCTTCAAGTGATATTATATTACTAAAGAATAGTGTGAGAATCTGACAACAGTATTCTGTTTTCTCCCTTCACCATCTTTATGCTGTTGTTGTACATTTACTTCCACTTGTACTGTAAACCTCATGACACATTGTTATAAACAGTTGACTATCTCCCCCTCCCCAGCCTCCCCAAGACAGAGTCTTGTTCTGTCACCAGAGCAGGAGTGCAGTGGTGCTATCTTGGCTCACTGCAACCTCTGCCTCCCAAGTTCAAGTGATTTTCTTGCCTCAGCCTCCCAAGTAGCAGGGATTACAGGCGCCCGCTATCACACCCAGCTAACTTTTATATTTTTAGTAGAGATGGGGTTTTGCCATGTTGGCCAGGCTGGTATCAAACTCCTGACTTCAGGTGATCTGCGTGCCTCAGCCTCCCAAAGTGCTGGGATTACAGGCGTGAGCCACTGTGCCTGGCCTCCTTTTTCATATTTAATGTGGCTTTTTTCAAAGCTCTAATGCAGTTCCAACTTACATTATTTAAGTTACTTAGCATCTAAACATTCATACAGGAAATACAATTTGCTTTAACAAACTTTTGGATACTATTTTGGAGAATGTGTCTTGAAGACATTAAATTTACCAATGGAGAAAGTAGGTGGCAGTTATATTTCTGTTGACAGACGTCAAGCACTCCCAAGAATTGAATATAGAGTGTTTGTTTTCGGTATATTCCATCATTTTGATTCTTTTTCCCTGTTGATTTGTTTCTTCGGTTACTCTTGATAAGATAAAGATGCATGTGAGAGTGATTAAAATTTACCAAAATAAAACATAACCAGGTCTCTTGTTTTTTGTGCTTTTTAAAATCCTGAAATAAGTTAAAGAGCAAGAGGTTGAAGCCTTTTACAACAATGGGATGAGTATTTACCTTGTTAAAGTTCACTAAAGTTAAAGGTACCAACAGCAAAGAGCCCAGGTGACATTTTAATGCTTCACAACCCAATTTTATAATTGTGTGTAGAGTACACATCCATAGAACATGCGTGCATTTGTCTGCCTGAGTTGGCATGTAGTGCTGGTAATGTGTGACCAAAAACAGAAAAAAAAAAATAACTCTTCTGTGTTTTAATGTTCCCCAAGAACCCAAGTTTCCAAACTCTTAGTGATATGTGCCTTTGTTGCTCATTTCTGAACCAGGAATTGTATTGTTGCCAGTAATGTCCATGTCATTTGTAGACTCATTCAATAAAGAGATGTCTCTTTGGGGCTCTATTACAACACCACTTTCTCTTTACAGTCCTTTGATTTTGTTTTTCATGTATAGAACAAAGAATATCTGATGAATTTCTGATATTTTTCAGCTCCATATTGCTAAAAAGTAGAATAAAGTCATCTAAAATACAGGTACTTCTGAATTTGGCTTTTCTATATCTTGAACATTTGTAGCTATTGATTTGCATTGTTTTGGTTCATGATCATGCACAAACCTTTGAACATACTTGTTTGAGAGTATACTGTTCTTTTCTGTTCGCTGCCTTGGATCTTGGTAGAGATTTCTTGAATCTGATCTGTTAGTTCGTTTCTTGGCTGATTGCACTGAAGAGCATTTCTCTGCAGGGGTGTCACGTGGCCTGGGGTGTAGGTACTGTGAATCCTAATTTTGTGTGTTTAGGGATTTAGGATACCCAGGAGATGCATAGCATTATCACAGGTAAATAGAATAATAATTACATTTGGTTTTATTCATGTATAATTTACTGTCATGTCACAACTGAATTTTGGCTATAAAAATTTTTCTAAAATTTGGCTAAATTGCTGCTTTTATTTTTATTTCTGATTTCTGTTTGTCTTTGGGAAAGCATGAAAGAGTTTCCTTTCCCTTGTGATCCTTTTGAGCTCAAACCCTTTCTCTAAGCAAGTCAGCTGTGTCCACCCAGGTAGTGCTCAGGGCCCAGCAGTCTCACACCTTCTTTTCCTCTGGTACAGATTCAGCAGAGGTGAGGGGGGAGCACTGTACTTGTATTACCTGCTTGGTAAGCTATCTCAGGGGAACAGGGATGTGTTTCTCCAGAGAGATGCACATGTATAGCTGCTTCTGGCTTCAGCAGAAGCATGAAATGGGGTTTGTTTCATTGAACATAAGTTTGGGTTTTCTTCTTTCTTAGTCTAATAAAGTCTGTTTAGGAAGATTCCTGTGTTATTCCAGCAGAGAATCTCAGTGTGCTCGTGAGGTTTGTTAAGTTGTTTGATAATTTTCTTCTGTGAGTCACAAGCCTGTCTCTTATCTTCTAAGTTAATTTTTTGATAGAAAATACAAATCCTCCCTAAATCTAGGGGGACTCTGAAAAATAACCAAATTCTACAACTACTGCTGTTATATATACCAGTCAGAGTAGCTCTGGGCTGACAACAGATAAATTGGTTGAAAAAATTGCCCCTAGGAGCCAAGAACTTTTGTGTGATTGCACTAACAGGTAGTTTTCCCATATGTGAACACTAGTTATTGAAATAACAGTTCCTTGCATATAGTATTCACCTACTTCATAGTTAACAAAAGATGATGAGTGCTCTTTCTGTGAATAGGGGTATAATTTTCATGCTGTAGCAAAGATGCAGGTTGGGAATGGAACCAGTGGTACATTTGAATACCTCGGATGCAGACCTGGTGAGCCCTGGGCTCTTCGGGATAGCTGCTCTGAGAAGCTAAGATCTCTTCTTTGGGTAGCACCGTTGTGGCAGCAGTGAATTGGATGCATAGGTGGCAGAGAACTAGATGCTTCCCACAGAGCCTGCTGATCGTCCTTTTAGACTTGGGTAAGAGAATCAGGAATTCCCCATGTGGTCTACAATAAGGGGAAGGGTCAGGGAGGAGGAGGGCTTATACTCTGGATAACAAAAAGATCTAGTTCTTGAATGGTTACTAATTTTTTTCTTAGGATTGGAGAAATAAAATAAGTTTAAGGCTACTGCTTTGACTCTCATGCTAAAACCCAAAGTTCATTTTTTAAAATTTATTTTTCAAAAAAATGTCAAATGAGTTGGAGAGGGGTCCCATGTATCTGTATCCTACCCAAAACTGGTATTCTATATTGGACAGAAGGTTGGCTTGAGAATGAATGTGATTTTTACCCAGTTATGCCTTTCTATGAGTATATGCTTTGTGTGTTTTTCAGTTCTTCAGTGCCCTACTCCACAGCCAAAACACCTCACCCAGTGTTGACCCCAGTGGCTGCTAACCAAGCCAAACAGGTAACTTACTGATTTTTATACGTTTTGTTTTGGGTTTTTTTTGTTTTTTTTTTGAGTGGGAGTCTTGCTTCATTGCCTAGTCTGGAGTGCAGTGGCATGATCTTGGCTCACTGCATTCTGCTTCCCGAGCTCAAGTGATCCTCCCATCTCAGCCTCCCAAGTAGCTGGGATTACAGGCACCCACTGTAATTTTTGTATTTTTAGTAGAGATGGGGTTTCATCACATTGGCCAGGCTAGTCTTGAACTTCTGACCTCAGATGATCCACCCGCCTCAGCCTCCGAAAGTGCTGACATTACAGGTGTGAGCCACCATACCCGGCCTGATTTTTACATTAACATTCATGCTGTGTCTGTCTGTGTAAGTGAAGACCATACTGTTTTTAAGTCCTGATTTTGTTTAAATGAACCATAAGTCTTATAAATGCCCATGATCCTTTCCCCACAATTTATGCCACTCTTGACATGGCTGTTAATCAGAGTAGGTCAGTTGGGACATGATATTGTCTTCATGGGCCATTTAACGTTCTGTACCTAGTAATTTTGGGTCATGATTCTAATGCCATACATTTATATATGAGGTATTTTGCTTTGTAGTTTACTTTAACATTATCTCAGTTAAGCTATACAACAACCATGTACAGTAGGAGGATAGGTGTTTAGATATGTCTCACTGGTGAAGCAGCCTAGGCTTGAGTGACTAACGTAAACTCTCACAATGAGTAAATGGTGGAACCAGAGCTGGGACCCCAGGCTTCTGACTTCCTCCTGTCCATTGCTCAGATGGTTGGAAGGTCGGTCAGAAGAGTGCTGAAACTCTTCCTAAGAAATCCTGGTTTATCTGCCACTCTTACGTCTGTCTCTGAGATGAGTAGTTTGTGTTTGAGATCAGAATTTGAGATGGGATATCAGGACTTGCCTACTCTAAGTTCTCAAATATGTCTCTGTTCCTTAGTTTACCATAACTTAAAATGGCATTTAAGCATTTAGCATTTGATCTTTCTTCTGGAGGTATTTGTGTTCACCATGAAAAACACATGATAAAGTGTAAATCATGACAAGTGAGTGAAGGAACTTGAGATGGATAAGTCCAACAGTTTTGCTTTTGCTTTTAGCATAACATTGTAAATGCTTTGAGAGCTAGAACCATTTTATTCATTTACTCATTCATTAATTAATCTACCTAATATGCAAGTGCTTTTGATGTGTCAAGCACTGTGCTAGGCACTGGGAAGATAGCCGTGAACTAGGCCAGTGTGACTGCCTTCTTGGAGCTCGCAGAGTATTTCTGTTTTCATCCTTTAATATGATCTTACACGTGGTTGCTTAAATTGAGACCTTTTTTTGTTTGTTTTTCTTTTTGGTAATTTAAAAGTGTTTGTACTTATTTTAAATTATATTTTTACGTTTACATTTTACATGTTTCTTTGTTATAAAGACCGGTTAGTGGTTTAACATAAACATTTTGCTTGTTTTCTGTTATAGGGGTCTCTAATGAATTCCCTAAAGCCATCTGGGACTACACCAGCATCCAGTCAGTTATCATCTGGTGACAAAGCTTCAGGTCAATTTGCATTTTTATTTTCTTGAAAATAAAGGTGAAAGAAGAACTCCACAATAGGGGTTATTGTTCTAGATCACTGAGGCAGTTGCCGTAGGAAACAGGAGTCACATTTGACAAGATCAGGAGCGTTCAGGGTAGGTAGTATGGCCATAGACAGGAGCTCATATTTGAAAGACTTCAGGTAATGAAGAATTCTAGGAAATTAGTATGCCCTTCAATGGCTATGTAGACTTCTGGAATTTTGAGGTTAGTTCGAAAAATGATAGAGCAATAGGAGAAAAACCTCCCTCTAAATTATTTTCTTAAAATGAAGCAATAGTATTATCTTTTTCTTCCTTGTTGGATGATCACAGTTGAGAGAGGAGTGGATCCGAATGCTAAACGCTATTACTTCCACTGAAAGGAATTAAAAATTCTGTTGGTTCACAGTGACAAAAAGCCTATAATGTAGAGAAAGTAAAACAGATGTAAGATTTCAGAGTATATAAGGAGTCAATATTAATTAGATTTTTATGGCTCCACGTAACTTCTCCTACACTAACTCAGGCATGATTCTTATTAATTTGGTTTTCACAGTAACCGTGAGTGTTTGACCAGACACTTTGTCCAAGTGTCATTACCCAAACCAATTTGATGCAGAATGCTTTTACTTATTTACAATCTAATTTTCATGTGGGTCTTCCTCAGTGTCCCCTTTTGTTGGCTCCTTTATCATAGCCTACTTAATTTGGCCTGTATTACTTCCTTTTGCAAGGAATTACCTGTGTTGTCTGCAGTACTGCATTTTTACAACGCTCTGGATTCTGGCTTTTGTTTCAGTCATGCTCTTAAGTGAGTCTTCAAGCAAATTCTGTTAGGAATTGAACTTCATACATTAGCAGCCAGCTTCTCATAATCTCAGTTATACAATCTTTCTGACTTTCTCTGTAATCCCAAACTTTCTGATTGGATACTGGGTTTATCTTTAGTAACTGTTCCTTGCAGAAGAAAGCCATTATTGCATAAGCCAGAGTTGTATTCTAGAATTCAGAATGATATGAAACCATAGGTGGTATCATGTACGCCTCACATGAGAAGGAGGTATCCAGCACTTTTCAACTGGGACCTAAAGCTTTATGTTAAAAGGAAAATTTTATAGTGGAATTGTCAAAATTTTCAATTATTCGGGATTCAAGTTAAGAAATTTATTTTTGGGAGAGAGATCCACGATGGCCGACCACTGGCAGCTCAGGCTTGTAGCTCCCAGTGAAAGCACAGAGAACGAGAGGACGCCACACTTTCAGACAAATTTTTGTTGCTCGAGGACCAGGAGATTCCCAGCGGAGGATCCCCACGGGTCGCCAGCGCGACTCTTGCAGCCGGCGCTGCGGTTTTGCCGGTGCCCCGGCGCAGCGGTTCTTGGTGCAGAGTAAACAAGACTGGTTCCCCTTTTGGCCAACATTTGGAGCTGATTGAAGAAGGGATTCAGGAGGGAAGCCAGATGGGAGACTCCCGGACAGAAAAGCACCAAGAATCTGAATGCTGTTGTTTTAGCCGGCGCAGTGGGTTGCTCAGATTTTGGCGCTGGGAATAAACAAGTTGGACGTCCACTAAGAGACCTAATTTGAAAGTTGGTAATTACAAAGATGACAGGTAGATAAATTTACAACAATGGGAAGAAACCAGCCTAAAAAGTCTGAGAATACTCAAAATCAGAATGCCTCTCCCTCTACAGAGGATCACAGTTCCTCATCAACAGGGGAACGAGGCCTGATGGAGAACAAGTACATTTCATTAACAGAATCAGGTTTCAGAAGGTGTATAATAAAATTCTGTGAGTTAAAAGAACACGTTCTAGCCCAACGTAAAGAAACTAAGAACTTTGAAAAAAGATTTGACGAAATCCTAACGAGAATAGACAATTTAGAGAGGAATATAAGTGAATTAATGGAACTGAAGAATACTATAAGAGAACTCCTAAAAGTATGCACAGGTTCTAACACTCGAATTGATCAAGCAGAAGAAAGGATATCAGAGGTCAAAGACCAACTTAATGAAATGAAACGAGAAGACAAGATTAGAGAAGAAAAGGTAAAAAGGAATGAACAAAGTCTCCAAGAAATATGGGACTATGTGAAAAGACCTAATTTACGTTTGATAGGTGTACCTGAATGTCATGAAGAGAATGAATCCAAGCTGGAAAATATTCTTCAGGATATTATCCAGGAAAACTTTCCTAACCTAGTAAGGTGGGACAATACTTATCTCCAGGTAATACAGAGAACACCACAAAGATATTCCTCAAGTAGAGCAACTCCAAGACACACTGTTAGATTGTTAGATTCACCAGGGTTGAAATAAAGGAGAAAATTGTATGGGCAGCTAGAGAGAAAGGTCAGGTTACCTGTAAAGGGAAGCCTATCAGACTTACAGCAGATCTCTCAGCAGAACCCTATAAGCTAGAAGAGTGGGGGTTAATATTCAATATCCTCAAAGAAAAGAATTTTCAACCCAGAATCTCATATCCAGCCAAACTAAGCTTTATAAATGAAGGAAAAATAAAATTTTTCACAGACAAGCAAGCACTCAGATTTCATCACCACCAGGCCTGCTTTACAAGAGCTTCTGAAAGAAGCACTACACACAGAAAGGAACAGCCAGTATCAGTCATCCCAAAAACTTACCAAAAGATAAAGGGTATCTCCATAATGAAGTATTTATATCAACTAATGGGCAAAATAGCCAGCCAGCATTAAATGACAATATTAAACTCACAAATATCAATATTAATCCTGAATTTAAATGGATTAAACTCCCCAATCAAAGATACAGACATGCAAACTGAATAAAAAAGTCAAAACACATCGGCACTCTGTATCCAGATCCATCTCATAAGCAAGGACACACAAAGACTCAAAACAAAAGGTTGGAGGAAGACTCACCAATCAAATGGAGAGGAAAGAAAAACAAAACAAACAAACAAAAAAAAAGGAGTTGTAACTTTCATCTCTGACAAAATAGACTACGATAGTAACCAAGACTAAAAGAAACAAAGAAGGACATTACATAATGATAAAAAGATCAATGCAACGATAGGAGTCAATGATCATAAATACATATGCACCCAATACAAGGGCACCCAGATATATAAGACAAGTTTTCAATGACGTATAAAGAGACTTGGACTCCCACACTAATAGTGGGAGACTTTGTCACCACATCGTTAATATTCGACGGATCTACGAGATAGAAAATTAACAGACATTTATGCTTTGAACTCAGACCTGGAACAAGTAAACTCAGTGAATATTTATAGAATTCTTCACCCCAGGTCTGCAGAACATACATTTTTTTTAGTATCACATTACACCTATTTTGAAAGTGACCACATTAAATGGAAGCAAATCACTCTTCAGCACTTGCACAGCATTTCACAGATTTAAACGAAATATTGGTTGGCTGTTTGTTTGTTATTTTCTTTCCTTATTCCTTCCTGTCTCCACTGTTAAGCACAATCATCAGCATAGAAGAGGTTTTTAATACCTATTTCTAGATTGCATTCCAGCCTGGGCAATAGAGCAAGACTCCTGTTCTCTCTCTCCCTTTTCTCTTTCTCTTTCTTTCTTTAAAAAAAAAAAAAAATTTATTTTTATTTCTGGCTAATATTTTAGAAAAAGTTTTTGAAAGATCATATACCCTCACTTTTTTTAAGGACTTCATTGGAGAATTTTTTGTCATTCTTGAAGTTAGAATCAAAGAAACCTAAGGAACTTTGCTTTATGCATGTCTGGGCAAGTAGTGTGACTTGCAAAGAAATTTCCAAGATTTACCATTCACTGCTGATCATGAAGTCCTCTCTTTCATTAGGAGGTCTTCTGTTTTCACTTGCTGGGTAATCAAGGTTTAGAAAAGCACTTTTTATTTTTGGTAGGAAACTTCCCTGAAAGGTGCTATTTAAGAGTTTGCAAAAAGTTTCTTTTTTGAAAAAGAGCATTTCTAAAACCTCTAGAGAATAGTTCTTTTATTAATTAATAATGGAAATCCCTTCATTGTTTTTCTGATTGTAAAACTATTGCATGTCCAGAAAAGGTCTGTGGTGTAGAGCTATATAATGTAGAATGTGAAAGCTGCCTTACAGATTCTGTATTCCAGAGATCATGATTTTATGTATATCTCTTGAGGTTACTTCATTGTTTTTTTGTTTTTTGAGACGGAGTTTCACTCTTGTTACCCAGGCTGGAGTGCAATGGCGTGATCTCGGCTCACCGCAACCTCCACCTCCTGGGTTCAGGCAATTCTCCTGCCTCAGCCTCCTGAGTAGCTGACTTCATTGTTTTTTAAAGAAAAATATCCTATATACTGCATATTCTATATATACTCATTTTGTAACTTATGTCCCCTTCTCTGCCCCCACTTACAGTAAATGTCTTGGTCTTTCCAGGTCTGATACAGATCCACCTTACTCTTGATTTTGTATTTTTTTCTTCTTTTTGAGACAGAGGCTTGCTCTGTCACCCAGGCTAGAGTGCAGTGGTGCCATCTTGGCTCACTGCAACCTCTGCCTCCTATGTTAATGCGATTCTCCTGCCTCAGCCTCCTGAGTAGCTGGGGTTGCAGGCGCCCACCACCGCCCCCGGCTAATTTTGGTATTTTTAGTAGGGACTGGGTTTCACCATCTTGGCCAGGCTGGTCTCAAACTCCTGACCTCATGATCCACCCACCTCTGCCTCCCAAAGTGCTGGGATTACAGGTGTGAGCCACCTCACCTGGTCCTTACTCATTTTTAGAGCTGTCTACAACCTCATTGTATAGTTACACCCTGTTAAATTTAACTAGTACTCAGCTGATGATTTAGACTGTGATTTTTCATACTGTACACTATGTACCAGTAGTTTTAAAAATATTTGTACTACTGTCTACCCTGTGTTTATTTACTTTAGAATGTTCTTTTTTTCTTGTTGTTCTTTGGTTTCATTTTGTTTGATTTGGGCTTTCTAATGCAGTTTTCCTCTTCTCTGTCCCCCACTTCAGAGTAGAGCAAGGCCAGGCACAGTGGCTCTCGTCTGTAATCCCAGCACTTTGGGAGGCTGAGGTGGGTGGATCACCTGAGGTCAGGAATTTGAGACCAGCGTGGCCAACATGGTGAAACCCCATCTCTACTAAAGAATAAAAAATATAAAAAGTAGCTGGGCGTGGTGGCCCATGCTTGTAGTTCCAGCTACTTGGGAGGCTGACGCAGGAGAATCGCTTGAACTCAGGAGGCAGAGTTGCAATGAGCCAAGATTGAGCCACTGCACTCCAGCCTGGGCAACAGAGTGAGACTGTCTCTAAATAAATTAAAAAAGTAGAGCAGTAGGGAAAAGATTGAAGATTGTACCCAAACTATAAGTAAGTAGTTAGAGTGAAATTGAACATGGGGAGAATGATAGATAGCACTTTTAACCTTCTTGCATGTCTCTATATTATAGCAATCATGTTTTACATCTATAATTTTTTAAAAAGAGCATTATTATTTGTTAAATGCCAACAAAATATATGGAAAATGCAGAAATATATGTAGAAGTAAATAGCCTTAAAGTCACTACTCAGATATATTTAGTTTATGAACCTATTTCTCTTTTGGATTTTTGTGCTTCACTGTAGATTAATTTCAAATAATTATAAAGTTACATTATATATAGTTTTATTTACTTTTCTGGGGAGGAGCCTTAGCCTCACATTATAAGCATTTTCTCATACCGTTGAAATCTATAAGAATGTACTTTTTTTTTTTTTTTTTTTGAGACGGAGTTTTGCTCTTGTTACCCAGGCTGAAGTGCAATGACACGATCTCGGCTCAGCGCCACCTCCGCCTTCTGGGTTCAAGCAATTCTCCTGCCTCAGCCTCCCAAGTAGCTGGGACTACAGGCGCACACCACCATGCCCAGCTAATTTTTGTATTTTTACAAAATTAGAGATGGGGTTTCACCTTGTTGACCAGGATGGTCTCGATTTCTTGACCTCGTGATCCACCCTCCTCGGCCTCCCAAAGTGCTGGGATTATAGGTGTGAGCCACCGCACCCGGCCAAGAATGTACTTTAAAAACTACATTTAAACTGTACCAGAACTATTTTGGTATCTTTTCTGGAAAAGAGAGTATGGCACACCTTAGAGTGGAATTAACATTGACAGAGCCACAGAGCAATTTTAGATACCTCAAGTACAAGTGAGGCAATGTACTCAGCCCCCATGGCCCCTGGTGTGTCACAGAAGGCGCATGCAGTGTTGAGCAGCACCGCATGGGCTGAGCTACAGGGAATTCTACACTGGAATGATGTTTCTGTGTTTTTGTAATATTCTTTTTTTTTTTTTTTTTTTTTTTTTTCATAATTTAATGGCCAGGGACAGCCAAGATAGAAACAACCGTGACTTCGACCCCATCTGCTTCTGGGCAGTTCAACAAGCCTTTCTCATTTTCTCCATCAGGGTCAGTAATGAACTTAAGTTTTGTGGCATATTACTAGCATCTAGCTTCCCCAAATTCCCCTTACAATTGTAGATATATTTAGCCAGTCACGGTGGCTCACACCTGTAATCCCAGCACTTTGGGAGGCCAAGGTGGGCGGATCACAAGGTCAAGAGATTGAGACCATCCTGGCCAACATGGTAAACCCTCATCTCTACTAAAAAATACAAGAATTTGCTGGGCCTGGTGGTGTGAACGTCTAGTCCCAGCTACTCAGGAGGCTGAGGCAGGAGAATCACTTCAACCCAGGAGGCAGAGATTACAGTGAGCCAAGATCATGCCACTATATTCCAGCCTGGCAACAGAGTAAGACTCTGTCTCAAAAAAAGAAAAAAAAATTTGTAGATGTATTTATATACTTATTAAATGTGTATGAACCCAGAGTTCTTACCACGTCAGTAATACATCTGATGGTAATGGCAGTAGTTTAATGTTTTTATATAAATTGATTTTCCCTTTGCATTTCAAGTCAATACATGTTTATTACATATTTGTGTATCTGTTTTGTTTTTTTTGCCTAAGCCTCATTTTCTTTGGGTTGTGAGTCTGTTAAATTGTATTGTTCATCTAGTTTGTCACACTGAGATGTTTCCATTCTGACACCATTTTGGGGGCCAGATGTGACATTCAAATTGGCTTTGCTGGACAAACATGGAACATGTTTGGCTCATGCCTATACTCCTAGAGCTTGGGGACACCAAGGTCAGGGGATTGATTGAGGCCAAGGAGTTGGAGACTGGCCTGGGCAACATAGCGAGACCTTGTCTCTACAAAAAATTTAAAAATTAACCAGGTGCAGGGGTTTACTTCTGTAGTCCCAGACACTTGGGAGGCTGAGGTCATAGGATCCTTGAACCCAGCAGTTTGAGGTTACTGTGAGCTATGATCACGCCATCGCACTCCAGCCTGGGCAACAGAATAAAACCCCATCTCCAAAAATAAAAAATAAAATAAAATAGGCTTACTGCATTGAGAGTGCAATATACTAAACTTCTTAGAGAATGTAATGAAAGATAATAGCCATTTTAAATTTGAGGTTTTATATAGATGTAGAAGAATCTGTTTTCGTTTCTTTTTTTAAAAAAAAAGTGATGACTGTACTTGTAAAGCTGAGTTGTTCTTAAAAATGAAAGAATCTTTTAAACCTCATCTCAAGATGAGCCTTTGTTAAGGTGCCTGTTCTCTGTGCTATGAGCACTCATGTTGAAACCTGTGTGAGCTGCTGAAGCATTCTCTTCCCTGCAGTGATGGGGTTAGACTCTGTGGAACTGAGATCAAAACATGTCAAAAGATTTTTTTGCTGTTGAAGCATTGTGCATTCAGTCCCATTAGAAAAGCCTCTTAAGTTCTTCAGTTTATACTTTTGTAACTGAAATCATACTAACCACAGTCTCTTTTTCCTGATTTTAATGTATTTTTTGAATGTCCTTCAGCCTAACATGTTAAGAGAAAAGAGGGTATTAGAATATTATTTGAGGGGGAAAGTAATAATATGTATTTTTTCTTTATTATAAATCATTATGTTTTATACTTCCCAAAGGTAATTTGGAGCAAATTTTAAAGAGTAGGTCAGTGCCAAGAATTATTGCATCCTTAAAGATGGCTAATAATCTTTACTTCTGTGAAATGATACTCTTCTTCCCCCCACCACACCCTTTTTTTTCTTTGCGGCAGTTTCATTCTGTAACCCAGGTCGGAGTGCAGTAGTGAGATCTCAGCTCACTGCAATCTTCGCCTCCCGGGTTCAAGCAATTCTCATGCCCCAGCCTCTCAAGTAGCTGGGATTACAGGTGTATACCACCACACCCGACTAATCTTTGTATTTTAGTAGAGATGGGGTTTTTGTCATGTTGGCCGGGCTCATCTTGAATTCCTGGCTTCAAGTGATCTACCTGCCTCAGCCTCCCAAACTGCTGGGATTGTAGGCATGAGCCACCGTGCCTGGCCCTCTTCCCATTTATACAATAACTTGGAAAAGTTGGGATCATTGAATCAATGGCTTGAGTCTTATTAGATAAAATGTCTTCACCAAGAAATGTTATGTTTTTATTTTTAATGTGATGGTCAAAAGTGTCTAAGTTATTCCATTATTTACTATTTTTGATGTGCTTGGTTCCTTATATTTTAAAACTAGTTTAAAATCTGATTTGAAGAGAGAGAGAGAGAGAGAGTGTGTGTGTGGTGTGTGTGTGTGTGTGTGTGTGTGTGTGTGAGAGAGAGAGAGAGAGACAGAGCAAGACTCTGGCTCAAAAAAAAAAAATCGCAGTGGTGCAATAATGGCATACTATAACCTCCACCTCCAGAACTGAGTGATCCTCTTGTCTAAGCCTCTCGAATAACTGGAACTACAGGTGTACACCACCACACCTGGCTGATTTTTGTTTTTTAATTTTTGGGTTTTGGTTTTGGGTTGTTGTTGTTGTTGTTGCTTATTTTTTGGGTTTTGGTTTTTGTAGAAACAGTGTTTCACCATGTTGTCCAGGCTGATCTCAAACTCCTGGGCTCAAGGAATTCACCTGCCTCAGCCTCTCCAAATGCTGGGATTACAGATGTGAGCCACCATGCCTGGCCTGAGTTTTTATCACAGTGAATAATCTGTTCTGATTTACACTTGTGTGGAATTTTCTTCCTTGGCTACGGTGTCTTCACTTACAGCATAAAGAAAATGTACAGAGGGAGAGAGAAGAGGGTGAAAGGAGTTAGAAAGTTTTTGAACTAAGTTTTCCCAGCCCTAAAACTCAGTTCTGTCAAAATGACAGAGATAAGCCTTCTATATCATTCTATTCAATGTTTTCCCTAGCAGGATGGGGCTCTCCAACATGCTCATCAGTCTTGGTGTGCGTCCTGAGAGGCTCTCCCTAATCCAGACCTTCCTTCTGTCCCCTCACTTGACAGACCATCTGCTCCAGCCCGCATTCCCACCTGCACATTCCTCCTGTGTCTCTACTGCTGTAGCTTTGCTCATTTGCAAGAAGTCCCCACTCAAACTTCTCCTACAGGAAGCCCAGCCGTCCCCCAACAGGCCCTCAACCTCTATCCCCGTCGTGTATCCTCCACAAACTGCTTCTTTCTGCTTAGAGGTTGTAGAATAGCTTTACTACTTCTGAGACAGGTGCTTTGACTCTGTTTATCTTCTAGATTTTAAATTCCTGAGGGTGGTTTGTATGAATGAATTATAAACTGGAATATTAAGAGGACAGTATTGTGCCTTGATTTGTTCCTTTTTAATTTCTCTTTTTCCACTTGTTAGGACTGGCTTTAATTTTGGGATAATCACACCAACACCGTCTTCTAGTTTCACTGCTGCGCAAGGTACAGACTCTGTGTTGAGTAGCATTACTTACGTGTTTTCCCTCAACAGCTACAGGTTATTTTTGTCCAGATGTTATCATTTGACTTGCTCCTGAGTCTTACTTACAGTATCTGCAGTAACCTCAGTGTTGATAATGTACATCAGAAATATTCTGAATGTGGGAGCCACGGTGGCTCAGGCACTGACTTGTCCTGGCGCTTAAGGAGGCGAGGCTACTCTTTCAAGGCCAGTCTGGGCAACATAGTTCATCCATTGGAAAAAAAAAGAGAGAGAAATATGCTGAATTTAAGAAACTGATGTGAAGGATTTCTATTTTCATAATTAAGGACAAGGAAAGGATTTGCTTCTGGAAAATCAGGACTGTGCTTTAACATTTAAATGTTAACATATGAAATAAAATTTCTCCATATTTTATGTCTGTAATTTAAAATTTCATCAATTTTTAGGGTGATTCTGTAGGGCAAGATAGACATAGTAACAGGCTGTAGAAATGAAAGACCACACTCTTTTTCCTTGATGACCTGCCAGCAAACACACTCATCCCATGTATGTTGTTAAAAATCCATCAATAGCATGTTTTTAATATTTAAAAGAATTTAAAGACCTATAAAGAAACCAGATCTATTTGTTAAGTGTCTTCCAGTTATCCATTTACAATTAAGTATTTTATTTTATCTTATTTTATTCACTTAGAGATGGAGTCTCACTCTTGTCACCCAGGCTGGAATATAATGGTACGATCTCGGCTCACTGCAACCTCCACCTCCTGGGTTCCAGCAATTCCCCTGCCTCAGCCTCCCAAGTAGCTGGGATTACAGGTGCCCACCACCATGCCCAGCTAATTTTGTGTTTTTAGTAGACATGGGGTTTCACCATGTTCAACAGGGGTTGGTCTCGAACTCCTGACCTCAAGTGATTCGCCTGCCTTGGCCTCCCAAATTGTTGGGATTATAGGCGTGAGCCACTGCACCCATCCCAGGTCTTTTATTTTGTTTTTCCAAGACGGAGTCTTGATCTGTTGCCCAGACTGGAGTGCAGTGGCACAGTTTTGGTTCACTGCAACCTCTGACTCCCAGGTTCAAGCAGTTCTCCTGACTCACCTTCTGAGTTGCCGGGATTACAGAACAGGCTCGTGCCACCACCCAGGTGTTGTTTTGTTTTTTGTTTTTCGTATTTTTACTAGAGACAGGGTTTCACCATGTTGGCCAAGCTGGTCTTGAACTCCTGACCTTGTGATCTACCCACCTTGACCTCCCAAAGTGCTGGGATTACAGGCATGAGCCACCATGCCTGGCCCAAGTCTTTTATTTTAAAAAGAAAGCATTTATTATAAAAATGTGTTTTCATTGAGGAAGATACGGAAATATTTAAAAGAATACAGGAGTTTAGAATCACATCACACCCCTTGGTAATAATTATTGCCATTCTTCTGTATTTCCTTCTGGGGGTTTTGTCTTTTACTTTTTTTTTTCCATTTAATACAGTCTCTTATAAATTTTCCAGTATTATTTAAAACCTTGAATAATTATCATTTAAATGGCTTCATAATTCTAATTTGTAGATACGCCATAATTAAAATATTGGACATTTAGGTTATTTTCAAATTTTCCCTATTATAAATAAAATAGTGACCATCTTTCATTTAGTCACTCAACAAATATTCTTTGAGTGTTTTATATATGTCTACCCAAGTGGCAGTTTTCTTAGTGGAAAGGGGAGCTCCTAACCTCTCAAAGTGGGCCAGGGAGCTGAAAGCATAAGAGCACTCCTAAACCTGGTCTGAGTTTGGCACTTAATGGGTTGGTAATTTCATTCCTTTCTCTCTCGAACAGTCATTCTTAAAACTTCTTTTTAACTTTTGCCTACTTCGATGTAGTAGAAGAACCTTCAAGGCCCGCCTCCTTTCCATTCTCACTTTCTAGAGGAAAAAGAACCAAGTGTTATAAAAAGATTGGAGAGGAACAAAATAATTGTCAAAATTCATAATAGGAATAAAATCATAATTTTACATAAACATTGTCATTAAAAAGAGAATAAACCACAATCCAAAAACTGTAAACAACTAAGTACAAATACAGATGATACAAAGGGATCTTTCAGGAAATTATAGGTAGTAGGGGTGTTGCAGAATTCCCAATAGTTTGTGATAGGCAGACGTCTTAAAACAATATTGGCCAGGTGTAGCGGCTCAGCACTTTGGAAGAACAAGGCAGTAGGATCACTTGAGCCCAGGAGTTCAAGACCAGCCTGGGCTGTATAGGGACACCCAGTCTCAACAAAATCTATAAAATTAGGTAGGTTTGGTGGTGTGCACCTATCTATCTTCTAGCTAATTGGGAGACTAAGATGGGAGTATCACTCAAACCTGTGAGATCAGGCTATAGTGAACTCATCACGCCACTGCACTCCAGCCTGGGTGGCAGAGCAAGACCCTGTCTCTAAATAAATAAATAAAGCAATATGCAGTTAGAAATCTCAGGAGACACTTGTAGTAGGCTAATTTTGGTTTATAAATTTTGTTACTCTTTTATTTATTAACCACTGTTGTTTGACCAGGCCTTGTGAGTGCTTTACCCATATTTCATACAATCTTTGTAACAGCTCTGTGAGGGTAGTACTGTAATTATCTAGATTTTCCAAATGGAGGAATTGAGGCCCAGAGAGGCAAAGCAGCCTTTCCAGATTCACACAGCCAGCAAGTAGCAGACTGCACAGCTCCAGAGCCCACGTCCTTGACCAGCAGACCATACTGCCTCTGTCAAATAGCCAATGTAGTAGAACACTAGTAAGTAGCCATTAGTTGTACGTTAAATGATTTTTTATGGACCGACAGTTTATTTGCTCAAAAAATGAAGGAAGAACTTCCATTTTGAATCAAATTCTTTGTCTATCAGGAGGTCCACAGGCTAGTGCTGTGCTGAGGCTGTTATTAAGGAAAGCATACAGTTAGGGTAAATTAAGGGAAGAGGCCTTTTATTTCTCTTTGGGATAATATGTTAATTTCACATATTCTAGATATTCTGTATTTGTTGTGATTTAACAAAAAAGAATATTCGTTCCTTTCCACCTCCTTAGAGAAAACTGCTGTGAGAGCAAGGCACCCTGACTCTGGAGAGGGAAGAAAGAACTTTGGCTTAGAAACACAATAAATGGAAATATAATGGGTCATATTTTGTGCTAAATCCACCCCATTTTCTAATTTCTTTTTCTTGCTAGGGGCAACACCCTCCACTAAAGAGTCAAGCCAGCTGGACACATTCTCATTTGGTGGGGGAAGCAAACCTTATGAAGCCATTCCTGAAAGCTCACCTTCCTCAGGAATCACATCAGCATCAAACACCATCCCAGGAGAACCTGCCCCATCTAGTAGTAGATCTGTGGCACCTTCTGGAATTGCTCTTTCCACCACCTCTAGTAAACTGGAAACCCCACCGTCCAAGTTGGGAGAGCTTCTGTTTCCAAGTTCTTTGGCTGGAGAGACTCTGGGAAGTTTTTCAGGACTGCGGGTTGGTCAAGCAGATGATTCTACAAAGCCAACCAATAAGGCTTCATCCACAAGCCTAACTAGTACCCAGCCAAACAAGACGTCAGGCATGCCTTCAGGGTTTAATTTTACTGGCCCCTCAGTGTTAGGGAAGCTCTCAGAGCCCCCTGTGACCTCCTCTGCAACCACCACCACAGTAGCACCACCAGCAGCTACCAGCACGAGCACTTCCTCAACTGGCATTTTTGGCAGTCTGCCAGTCACCAGTGCAGGATCCTCTGGGGTAATCAGTTTTGGTGGGACATCTCTAAGTGGTGGCAAGACTAGTTTTTCATTTGGAAGCCAGCAGACCAATAGCACAGTGCCCCCATCTGCCCCACTGTCAACTACAGCTGCCACTCCCCTTCCAACATCATTTCCCACATTGTCATTCAGTAGCCTCCTGAGTTCAGCAACTACTCCCTCCCTGCCTATGTCCTCTGGCAGAAGCACAGAAGAGGCCACTTTATCAGCTTTGCCTGAGAAGCCAAGTGACAGTGAGGTGTCAGCATCAACAGCCTCACTTCTAGAGGAGCAGCAGTCAGCCCAGCTTCCCCAGGCTCCTCTGCAAACTTCCGACTCTATTAAAAAAGAACCTGTTCTTGCCCAGCCTGCAGTCAGCAACTCTGGCACTGCAGCATCTAGTACCGGTCTTGTAGCCCCTGCAGAGGCTACTCCAGCCACCACTGGGGGCCCTGATGTCAGGACGGAGTCAGTACCACCTGCCTCCACCTTTTCCGTGCCTGGGCAGACTACTGTCACAGCAGCTGCTATCTCAAGTGCAGGCCCTGTGGCTGTAGAAACATCAAGTGCCCCCATAGCCTCCAGCACCACACCCATTGTTGCTCCGGGTCCAGCTGCAGAGGCAGCGGCGTTTGGTACTGTCACTTCTGGCTCATCAGTCTTTGCTCAGCCCCCTGCTGCCAGTTCTAGCTCAGCTTTCAGCCAGCTCACCAACAACACAGCCACTGCCCCCTCTGCCACGCCCGTGTTTGGTCAGGTGGCAGCCAGCACTGCACCCAGCCTGTTTGGGCAGCAGACGGGAAGTGTAGTCAGCACAGCGGCTGCCACACCACAGGTCAGCAGCTCAGGGTTTAGCAGTCCAGCTTTTGGCACATCAGCCCCAGGGGTCTTTGGACAGACAACTTTCGGGCAGGCCCCAGCCTTTGGGCAGTCAGCGAGCAGCGCTGCAAGTGGCTTTTCCTTCAGTCAACCTGGGTTCAGTTCTGTGCCTGCCTTTGGTCAGCCTGCTTCCTCTACCCCCACATCCACCAGTGGAAGTGTCTTTGGTGCCTCCTCAAGTACCAGTAGCTCCAGTTCCTTTTCATTTGGACAGTCATCTACCAATACAGGAGGGGGGCTGTTTGGCCAAAGCAACCCTCCTGCTTTTGGGCAGAGTCCTGGCTTTGGACAAGGAGGCTCTGTATTTGGTGGTACCTCAGCTGCCACCACAACAGCAGCATCCTCTGGGTTCAGCTTTTGTCAAGCTTCAGGTAAGAATTTGTGGAAGATTTTTACTTTGTTTCCCTCTCTGCTATTCGAAACATTAGCAACAGACCCATATTACTTTTGTAATTAAAAGAAAGGGGAGACTCAGAACCCAAAAATAATTTGTAGGTTAAGGAAGGCAGCGTGGAGCACATGCGGTGTCAGGAACTTGTTTGCCTAATTGACTGGATCTGTTACAGTTTAACGCAGCTCCAGTCTTGCTTCTTAACAAGTTGTCGCCTGCTAGCTACCAGAATGACAGTTTCGTGGGGAAAAAACAAGCATCTTTAGTTTAAGGTCCTGGCAAGTAATTTAATGACTGATAGATAGGAATTTTCAAATTTGGAAGGCACTTTAGAGGTCATTATGCCCAAAACCATCAAGTGTCAAGGAGACTGCGCTCATGTCAGGTAGCGCTAGTAGAACCAGCGGGAGAGTCCAAGGGACATCATAGTCCACCTCTCTGCCAGGGTTTTCTGTCCCCTCTAACACCATCTTTCTTACTGTAATGGCAGATACTAACATTTAATTTGGGGTTTTTTCCTTTTTTCAATGTTGTGACTTTTTGTAAAAACTACAGTTTACTGTTTTTGGCAGTGAATTTCTTCACTATTGCATTTTCCATTTTAGCAGCTGCTTTTACTTCCAAAAGTTATCAATAGGCAAGGCAATTTTAAAATCTGTCCTGAGATTTGCTTTCTGATAGTTACCTTATGAAAGGCAATTCTTCAGCAATAGACTCTGGGAGAAAAGTAAGGATCAATGATTTCATGGTGGGCAAGATTACTAGTAACTGCTAATTCATTATTCAGTGAAACTTGAAAATGGTTCATAATTTATTAGAAAGGAAATGTTTTCCTTTCTTCCTTCAACAAATGGTTGTTATATTTATTACTAAATTCAGCTATAAAGACACAGTGTCGAAAAGACAGACACGACTTTGAGACCCACCCAATGCCCTGTGAAGAGGCCATGGACCACTGAATGATGGGAAATGTGCCAATTTGGTCCAGAGAATGGGGAACAAGAAGGCCCTGAGAGTCTCTTAAAAGAGAGGAGGACATTTAACACAGTCCCTATCTCTACTGCGCCATTTGTTCTGCAGTCAGAACTTGAGAAGACCTCATGCACAGGCATGGTCATGCTATTTCAACAGATTCAGAACCCATGAAGGAATCTTCTTCTTTCATTTAGTAACTGTGTGGAAAGGTATCTGAGCTGTCTACTTCAGCCCTGGTTGAGGAATTGAGTCTTGTCCAAGCTCACCTACCCAATCAGTGACAGAGATGAGAACTGAAGCCGGGTGTGATGGCTTACGCCTCTAATCCCAGCACTTTGGGAGGCCTAGGTGGGCCAATCACTTGAGGTCAGGAGTTTGAGACCAGCCTGGCCAACATGGTAAAACCCCATCTCAAAATTCAAAAATTAGCCAGGTGTGGTGGCAGCACCTGTAATCCCAGCTACTTGGGAGGCTGACGCAGGAGAATCGCTTGAACCTGGGAGGCAGAAGTTGCAGTGAGCTGAGATCACGATACTGCACTCCAGCCTGGGTGATAGAGTGGGACTCTGTCTCAAAAGAAAAAAGAAAAAGAAATGAGAATAGAACTCCTGCCTTCTCACTCCTTGTCTGGAGCTCATTTGTTCAACTCAGCACTTCAACCATGTTATGCCATCTGGAAGAAAGATAAACTACCCTGAAAGAATGTGTTGTTTGAGATTCAAAAGAAACCAAGGAGTAGAAATATTTGTAGTATTAAGTCAGCCCTTAGAATTTCTGATCACTGAAAGTAAGCTATTCTTAGCCCCCATCCACTTCGGGGTTTGGTAGGAGAGATGGATTCAGTCCTCAGAACTTTAGAACTTAAACTATTTTAAAATGTTAGCAATGGAAAGGGGTCTTTAAAGTATTTTCTCAGAATCTTCTCCACTTCCTAGATGGGGAAACATTTTATTCATAAGTTGATTTATTGTGAGCTATCTTAGCACACCTGAATGCCATTTAAAAAGAAACAAACTTTAATGTAAAAGACTTATCCAAATCGAATTTTTGTTTTCTTTGTATTTTATAGGTTTTGGATCTAGTAATACGGGTTCTGTGTTTGGTCAAGCAGCCAGTACTGGTGGAACAGTCTTCGGCCAGGTAAATATGCATTTGTCTTCATTCATGTCAACATTTATCAAACCCATCCAGTTTTCTGCACTGTAATATAATCAGTTTATGTTGTATGTCGACATTCATCAGATAGCCATGTGTGGTTCTTAAGCTGTACTCCCTTCAGCTGCCTTAAAGATGCAGCAGTCTCAGCCTCTGATTAGAGAGGATCACTAGAATTTTGATCCTCCTTCCATAGTCCCCTGGGAAAGTACTTTGAAAGCACATTGCCTGGTTTCTTTTTTCTTTAGATACAGGGTCTCACTCCATTGCCCCAGGCTGGAGTACAGTAGCGCAATCACAGCTCGCTGCAGCCTTAAACTCCTGGGCTCAAGCAATTCTTCTACCTCAGCCTCCCCAGTAGCTAGGATTATAGGCACACGCCATAACACCCAGCTCATTTCTTATTTTTCTAGAGACAGGGTCTAGCTGTGTTGGCCAGGCTGGTCTCAAACTCCTGACCTCAAGCAATCCTCCAGTACTGGGATTACAGGCATGAGCTACCACGCCTGGCCACATTGCCTGATTTCTATCAGTCCCCCTGCCTATTAGGCCAAAGGTTGACAAACTATAGTTTGTGGGCTAAATACACGCTTTAGCTTTTTTGAGCCTTGTTGTTGTCATTTTTTAACTTCTTAATCTATGAATGGGGTGTGTGTGTGTGTGTGTGTGTGTGTGTGTGTGTGTGTGTCACATGCAACCTCTGCCTTCCATGCTCAGGTCATCCTCCCACCTCAGTCACCCAAGTGGGTGGGACTATAGGCTTATGCCACCACACCCAGCTTTTTTTTTTTTAATAGAGACAGGTTTTTGCCATGTTGCCAGGCTGGTTTTTAACTCCTGAGCTCAGGGTGATCTGCCCACCTTGGCCTTCCAAAGTTCTGGGATTACAGGTATGAGCCACGGTGCCAGGCCAATTTTATATTTTTAAGTAGTTGTTTAAAAAGAAAAAGGAGGAAGATTTGGCAACATATGTGTCTCCTCTGCTAAGCTTTATGTAGCCTGGGGACTCCTTTTGGTGAACCAAACTGTTTCATTTTATGTAGCTAACAGTTATCTATGTTGCCAGGCATAATTTTAAGTGCTTTATACAAATTAACTCATGTAAGCATCACAGCACCTCCATAAGATAGGTGCTATTATTATAGCCATTTAAAAGATGAGGACACTGAGGGCCCAGAGAGGTTAACTTGACTGGTACATCAGACACTAGCTGCATTTAGATCCTAGTAACCTCCTAAGGAGCCCTTATGAAGAAGGATACGCTGATTTATCAGAAAGGATTGTGATTTTCACTTTCTGAAGGTAGAATTTGTATTAGTCCAGCAGTTAATAAGGTGGTAGGCATAATATATGTTTCTTATACATCTTCAGTATGAAATTTTCTTTATCATCTCTGTTTTCCTTTGAAGATGGGCTCTGCCCTGTCAATGATCTTTCTTAAAAGAGAAGTGAAACTTATGATTTTCAGTTTCTGGTAGTAGAAGATTAGATCATTCAAACCAAGTTCTCTACTGAAGACTGCTAAGAAATGCTAGATAAAACATAAAAACCCTATTTTTAAAAGCACCAATAAACCAACAAGGTATTTTACCAAGACAAGAGGAAAATGGGAACCTAGAGAAATAAGGTGGACCCAGAAGCCTGTTGCCCTGACAGCATTTACTAATCTAAGAAAATCTTAATTTTCTATTTAATAACTCAAAGGTAAAGGGACAGAAATCACCAACTAAGTTATGCACAAAGCGGGGAGTTCTAAAAGAGAACCTTCCACAATCAGCTGGGACTCCACATTGACAGATCTCAGCTGGTGAGTAGACTGACACGGTTCCAGGGTGATGCTGCCTCCAGATGTCTGGCAGGGGCAGCGCAGGCCCACTCTGAAGGAAAAGAACTATACCTAGGCTACAAATTACTCTTACAAATAATTTTTAAGGATATGGATTTCTGTACCTAAATTAGACACAGAAAGAAACCAGTATCTATGAGCAAGAGCCAGAATGAGCATCAGAAATCACCTTTGAACAGACAACCTGGACGATAAATCAGCTGGGGCTTACAGAGTTTAGAAGAAATCAAAGATAAACTTGAAAATGCTAGTAAGGAATAGGAAATCATAAGACCTGTTATAGCAGATTTGAAGAACAACCAAATAGAATTTCTAGAAAAATGTAATGATTAAACTCAGTTTTAAACTCAGTGGCTTTATTTGGAGCAGATTAGACCTGCTGAAAGGAGCAGTGACACACTAGAACAGAATGTGGTAGTCGACATTTCCAGCTTTCAGGGCTATCGATAGCCTCTGTCATAAGCACTCAACGCTGCCATTGTAGTGCAAAAGCAGCCGTAGACAATATTTCAAGAAATGGGCATGATTGGTTCAGTAAAGCTTTGTTTATAAAAACCGGGAATGAGCTGGATTTGGCCCCTGAGCTATAGTTTGCTGACCCTTGAACTAGAACGTAGGTGAAGTTGAGTTACCTGGAATGCATCACAGAGAGCAAAAATGTAAGATATAAGAGAGAAAAAATCCTGTGGGAGAAAGTCCAACATACATTTAATCAGAGTCCTGGAAGGAGAAGAGAGAGAATGTGTGGCAGCATTAGAGAAAGAAACTGCCAAAACTAACCAATAATAGTTAGAAGCCCAAGAAGTACCAAGTGAGAACGCATAAAAGGAAACTGATTCTGAGACCTGTCCTAGTGAGACTGCAAAACGCCAAAGGTGAAGTATTAAAGGCAACGAGAGATAAAAGAGAGATTATCTTTTAGGGAGCCATAGGCAGACTGACAGCAGACTTCTCAGCAATGACCATGAAAGCCAGAAGACTGGCCACCTAGCATTTCTAAATCCAGCAAAAAATATCTTTAAAGAGTGAAGAGAAATCAAGACTTTTTTCAGATAAGCAAATACTGAGAGACTTTATGTCTAGCAGACCTGAAAGAAATTCTAAGAGATACTGTTTGGAAAGAAGGAAAATTTGACCTTGCTGAAATTACGGCTTTCTTAATTTTAGGGTGAAACAAGCTATTAAATAGGAAAATTGTCGCCTATCTAACCAACAGAATAATTGTATTCAGAATATGTAAAGAATTCCTGTAATTCAGAAAGAAAGAAAGACAACTATACCCAAATTAAATTCTAAGGCTGATAGTACCAAGTATTGGTGAGTAAGAACAGCAACTATGGACTCAAATATTGCTACTGAGAGTGTAAATTTATATTAACCACTTTGGAAAACAATTTGGCAGTATCAAAACTAATATACAGAATCCCTCTTGGCCCAGCAAATCTACCCTGAATATGTAACCAACAGAAATGAGTGCCTTTGTTCACCAAAAGATATGGTTAAGAATGTTCACAGCAGAATTTTCTTAATAGCTAAACACAGGAAAGAGCCCAAATGCTTATAAGCTGAAGACTGGATGAATAAATTGTGGTATATTTATACAGCCGAATACTACAGAGAAATAAAATGTACTGCTCCTATAACTGGCCTAGATTTGTTCTTTTTTTGTTTTTTGTTTTTGAGACGGAGTCTCAACTCTGTTGCCCAGGCTAGAGTGTAGTAGCATGGTCTTGGCTCACCATAACCTCGACTGTTAGATTCAAGCGATTCTCCCATCTCAGTTTCCTGAGTAGCTGGGATAACATGTGCATGCCTAGCTAATTTTTGTATTTTTAGTAGAGATGGGGTTTTGTCATGTTGGCCAGGCTGGTCTCAACCTCAGGAGATCCTCCCACCTCAGCCTCCCAAAGTGCAGGGATTACAGGCGTGAGCCACCATTCCCAGCCCTAGATTTGTTCTTTGAAGAAACTCATGTACATATGTGTCAGGATCCAAGCGTATTCATAGCAACATTGTTATAATAACTTAAAACTAGAAACAGCCCACATATTTATCAACATTCATATGGGTAGGTGAATTCATAATTTATGTTATTCCACAGTAGACTTTTGAGATAGGGTTTCACTCCTGTCACCAAGGCTGGAGTGCAGTGATGTGATCTCTGCTCACTGCAGCCTTCGCCTCCAAGGCTCAAGTGATTCTCCTGCCTTAGCTACCCAAGTAGCTGGGACTACAGGTGCACACCACTGTTCCTGGCTAATTTTTTATGGTTTTTTTGTAGAGACGGGGTTTCACATGTTGCCCAGGTTGGTCTCATACCAACTCCTGGGCTCAAGCAGTCTGCCTGCCTCGGCCTCCCAAAGTGCTGGGATTGCAGACATGAGCCACCATGCCCAGCCCTCTTTCTTTCTTTCTTTTTTTCTTTTGAGACAGGATCTCACTCTGTCACCCAGGCTGGAGTGCACTGGTACAGTCACAGGTAACTTCAGCTTTGATCTCCCGGGCTCAAGCAATCCTCCCACCTCAGCCTCCAGAATAACTAGATCCATAGGTATACCACCACGCCCAGCTAATTTTTAAAAATTTTTTAATAGAGGTGGGGTCTTGCCATGTTGCCTAGGCTGCTCTGGAACTCCTTGCCCAAGTGATCCTCCCACCTGGACCTCCCAAAGTGCTGATGAGATTACAGGCATGAGTCACCATACCTGACCCCATAGTAGAATATTATCCAGCTATGAAAATGAGCAAATTTCGGCTGCATGTATAGCTGACAAGCACAATGTTGAGCCAAAGAAATCTAAAACATCACTGTGATAAACTCCATATTGTTATTCCCCTTCCACTCCATATTCTTCCTCCAAAGAAATTATGTTTATAATTGGAGGGGCCAAAGATTAAAATCAAGGTTTTTTTCTTTGATGGCAGGAGCCTTATCTTTTTTATTAATTGCTATATCTCCAGTGCTTAGGACTGTGTCTAGCACATGATAGATAGTGTGGAAATGAATGAATTTTCAGGTAACAGAAGTATCCTCAGAAAACTCCAAAGATGCTAGGTAGATTCTGGCTAGGATGTTAAAGGATATAGAAAACCTTCACTGCCATAATAACACCAAGACAAATCCAGATAATGTAGACAT